ATCATAAACTCTGTCCCAAAACTCATCTTTCCTTCTTAGATCTTGTAAACTTTAAAACAACCTACCCACTTTCAGTTTGCCACACTCTTATAATCTGCCTTTATTCAAAACTAAAATTAAAAAGCTCGATCTTTTCTCCCTTTCTTCCAAACCTTTCTCTCCTTTCCTTTGCCAGGGCTATAGACACCCGGGCCTTTCCTTAACATCACCAGTTAAAAGAATTGTAGATACCTGTCTTCAAATTGATAATGTTTACGGGCTTTGGAGTTTGACGATGTAAATCTTGAGCTTATCAATAAGTAACATAATGTATCACAGCAAAAGTAAAATCTTACCTTTTCGTAAAACTGAAGTCGGATGCGAATGTTTTCCGTTGGGATGTTTGCTTCTGTTTAAACCACGTTTGCTCATTTTCTGCCTTATCATAACTTTGAAATGCAAATTAGTCTACTAAATCTTTATTCAAATTTCATAGAACGCCAGCTGCATAAATCTTTGATACGCAGAAGGAGGCTTTATGCAATAACACGGAGAAACAGTGGCGTCGCCAGCTCGAAAAACCTGGGATGGACAAAACAACCTTTTTCGGCCACGCCTTTATCTTTTGTAATTGATTGAACAACTTTTGACCATCTGTTAAAAACAGTTTTATCTCCTTATCGGTTTGCTGTATCTCTTCGATTTGTCCTTTGCCAGTTGCAAACGAGAGCGTAGCATGGAGGCTTTGGTTTAAGGGTAGAGACTTAATAGCCAAACCATACATATTACTCGGTGGATTTTGATATGCCCCTCCCAGCAACACGTTACAACCGTGACCGATCTTCTTCTTCTCCTTTGTCTCCGTTTCTTATATCACGTAAGGCAGAGAGTAATTTTTAGCCTAAAAGAACTATTAAACAAGACGGAATTGGCGGGGAGTACCACTTTTGAGTGGGGAAATTTTGATTACCATTTTCGAGTTCTATATCAACTGGGGATAATGAATTGTGATGGTAAATGGGGATTTGCCGCTGTTTTGGGGTAAAATGGGGGTTAAATCAGGAGAAATTCCTTTTTATCCTCTGCGAAGAAGGAACATGGCTGGAATGACGTTTTGAACAAAATAGATCTGATCTAGGCAGTGAAACATGAAGAATAATTTACCTTTCTCGGTAGAAGTACGTTTAAAGTAGTAAAATGAGCTTCAATTAGTCGCGTGACGTCAACTAACCCGAATGTTCTTGTATGGATATCTTATTAAAAATGGGCAAAGTCAAATCATCTTTTTATATCAGAAATTCAGCTTCGCATGCAATGGACTATTAAAACTTATGTATTACTATGGTCATACATTTAAGATGAACGTGGAATATAACTGAGGTGATCAAGGGCAAGAGCTGCAAGCATGAATGATAGATAGGAACTGCACAAACAACGAGAAGCAATCCAATACAAATGAATACAATATGACAAACCAAAATTTACGAATAACTCATAATTTTGCTAGGACTTAATTTAATAATTGTCTTTCTTGACACGTAAGGAAAATGAATTTGTTTTTTGAAGTCAACAACTGAAATAGCTTGCGCCATTTATTTAGCATACAGAGGAAGGATCATTGTACAATGAAACTCAACTGCAACATGGTTACAAAATATATTTTACAGAAAGAATTGACAGATTCGTGTTCAAACTTATGGAAACCCTGAAAGCAATACTAGAAACAAGAACAAGCCCCATACATATTCATTATCTAAAGAACGTAAAAATTTGATGACACTTAGGCCTTGTTTTAGGCTCAAACTATATTTAAACTTAGGTCGCATTTCATATATATATATATATATATTTCATATTTTATACGTATTTATACAGGGTGCAAATTCAATAAAGTTTACTGTTTTACAATTTGGTCCTGTTAATATTAAAGTTGCTAATAAAGTAAATACAAATAAATAAACAAATAAATTTACAAATAGAAACTGAAAGATATGGAAAAAGACCGAACCCTAGAGAAGAAGACAATGTGAGATTGTAACCTAGATTCCCTGCCAGTCCGCCATTGACTGTAAGCCAACAATCTTTCCTTAGTACAAAACTCAAGAATTGCTTTTTAAAAACGCAAACATTTGATTATACTAAAGCGTTTCGTTTGGCACTCTTCAGAGTATAAAACGTCAGAACATTCATAGATCGAAAACTCCACGCTAGGAAATATATATACCCAGTTGTGGATCGAAATAGGCCAATCAGAAACACGAGCACATGACTGTTGAGGTTGCCCAATCGGTGCCACTTCCCTATTGAAAATGTTAGCAATGGAGTCCTAAGGTGAAAACGATCTCCTTTTGTCTACACAATAGTGGTTTTTTGTCCTTATGTAGATAGATTCCAAAACTACTAAATTATTCCAAAAGTAAGGCAGGATACAATTCGTACATATAAAATACCGGGGCAATACTTTTCGAACTAAAGTGTATTTGCAACTAGAGCAATACTGTTCTACATACTGAAGTGTAAGTGAACAGGTGGTATACAGTAGTTTTCATAATGTTTAAAGCACTACAGGCTTTCCGTTCTGTAGTGTAAGCTGCAATGGGTTCTGTACTATATAAAGCAACCAGAGACGATGCAATAATAATAGGATGTCTCTCTACCTGATGAAAGCTTGATTAAATAACCAACCAACAGAGAATGTTCTGCAGGTTAAACTAGATTGTGAACATACGAGGGATATTGTTTGAAAAGTGCACGAGAAATGCAAAATGTTACCAGTAAAATTGATAGGAAATGTCCACAACAGAAATGACAAGTCATCCTATGTTTGTTATTGTTTGAAGCTAGTGGATGTTGTTGGATGATGGAAGTATACAGATTACAGCCCACTTTCCGCGAAACAGCTGCTTGGCGATCTCGGAAAATTTAACCATATTAATTTTTGGATAGACCTATGCTTTCAAAATAACGGTTTTCAAATCTCTAAATTGATTGACCACTAATAGTTTGCAAAAAGTTTATACTTAGTTAATATGCCTTTGACCTCAATTGGAAAGGGCCTAATTTGAAGTGGTTTTCACCATTAATACTGGCCTCAAGAACTCATCAAGCGGTTTTTAATGCAAAGTTAGTTGAATCAAATGCTTTGATGCAAAATCCATGTTGTTAAGTTTAACCAATAGTTCTAAAGATTTATGATTAGCCTAGAACGGAGCTCGAGAAGTGTCAATAGAATATTTCTGGAATATCTAAGTAGTCGTAACAGTGTATGCTGGAAGTGTTGCGGTGTTGTTAAGTAAAAAGACCATTTCATTGTTCTTGACATTTGGTTGTCGAAAAACGGCAGAAACCGCGGAAGCGGATGGGGGGCTACGGAGGCTTTAGCCTCCTAATAATTTCCGAAATGTACTAAAACCTTTACAAAAATTGCCTTCTCTTGGCTTTTAGCATAAAATGTTTTAGCCCTTTCAACCTCTGTAATTTGCCCCACAGTCCTTGGAAAGCGGATTAAATATGTACGTTGCGTGTGGTGCTTCATCCAGAATAACGATAATACAGTTAGCAAATAAATTTAGTACCAGAATGAAAATATAATAGTTTGATTCTTAAAAACACGACGTTTGGAGCATGTACTTGTTATCAAGTCAAACGAGTACATGCTCGTTTATCAGTATCTTGATAACGAGTACATGCTGGAAACGTCGTGTTTTTAACAATCAAACTATTATATTTTCATTCTGGTACTAAATTTATTTGCTAACTGTATTATCGTTATTCTTGAAAAGTGGATATGTTATAAACGTATCAGGGATGGAATGGAAGGATTCAGCGTTAACCTCTAATTTGAAATTAGTTGTACAAGGAAAGAAAAAACGAAGAAATATATCGTAGCAGGAGCAAGCAAAAGAATGGTGTTGAGGGGAAAGGAGGGGGAGAGGGGCAAATCGCAACCTAAACTTGGTTTCTAAGGTAGGGTGTGACTGTTGGCAATAACAGGTGGTCAAAATGCTTTCCCCGCACCCACTTTTAGCAATGCCCCTTTCTCGTTATGAAAATCTAGAATAGGTTCAAGTTAAGAAAAGCCAGGACACCTATTTCTAGCTGCAAAGATACTGGAGAAATAAGCCATAGCGGTACTTACGCAGCTAGCTGAACGATGACCTAATACATTCAAAGAAACTTGAGATCATCCGAGTTCGGAATACTCTTTAAATAAAGATAAGCAGATCGGTACATTTCTTAGTTTTTTTGAAAGGAGAAAATTATGCTGTAATTTATCTTTCTCCAAAGATCTTTTCTGCGTAAAACAGCTGCCAAGAATGGGCGTGTTCCTGTTCAAAATTCCCCAGGTAGGTCCAAGCCAATAGCTATCGAAACTCGAATGTTTATAACCTTGAATGAAACAAAAGAAAAAGGCCACTCATACTTGAAAAATTCCCTGAACTTGCTCGACCAAGCAAACAGCTTTGCTGACGCAATGCGCTCTTTTTGGTGGAAGTTTAACCCTTTCAGGAATCCTACTAGAGCCCGAAAAGGGCCTACGAGTGGCTAAAAAAGATCCTTTGAAGAAGTTTGGATGATATCTGTAGCGTCTCTTTACGCGATGCACACTTGCTTCAATAATGTATGTTCCCGAAAATTCGAAGCACCAAAGCATAAAAAAAATGGTTCGAGTAATAAGGGGTTCGAGCATGCCTGGGGACGGTTTAAAGGGAATGCAAACATAGATGGAATGAAGTGAGCCCTTGGAATCCGATCTGTTTGGAACTGAGAAGAAGCGGAATTTCATTAAAAAACAACGTTTTCAGTACAATCAACACAATTTCAGCAAACACAACGATAAAAAAATAGTTGATAGATACAAAGGGCAAGATTTACGATAATCGTAACTGCAATGGTTCAAAAGATTATCTACAAAATCATGTCCAAAGTTTCATCAAAATAGGGAAGAAAACAACTGGTTAGTAATAAGAACAAAAAATGTGTGATGTAGAAACAATTTATTATAAAGAACCCAAAGTATCTCTGAGTGATTGGTATACATTTTAAAAACATACATTTGCATTATCATTTAGAGAAGAACTCAATTTTAAAAAATTATCATATACTTTTTTAAAAAGATTCAGTAAGGAGTCATATACATTCATTGTTGATGACATTTGCAAATTTTCAAATCCTTTCCCTCTTGTCCACAGTACGAAGTTTAAAAAACATTTCATCTCCATAAGATGCTATTACTGTATGAAAAAGGATTATTTTGCCTGGCCATTACTTATCATACATACAAACTACTGGACAATCAATGAGCTGGCTAGTAAAGATTTCAAATACTCTACCAAAAACTGTTATACAGATTTCCTCATTTTGTATAAAATCTGGTAATACTAAAAGGGGGTAGAGAAATTTTGGGGACCAAAATCACTTGCTACTTTGAAAATATAGGGCCATACTAAAGTCATTGAGAAAGGTAAAACATTACTTTAATCATACTTTCAGTCAGGGGTGCAGTGGCTGGGGGTAAGGGATACAGTTCCTTGGCACCAGAACTGTTGGAAGTTTGCTTTGTGGTCTGGTCATTTTAAAAATATTATGGATTATCTAGAGGACCCCTGGCTGACAATGTACAACATGCAAATATAAAACAGCCCTTTGCTAAAATTATGACATTTGTTGCATAGAAGACAAGCTTTCAGATTGACAATGTATGGTTGCCATTCCATCAGTATATAATAAAGTATATATATATTTGTTCTAAAATCATCCAAGTGTATATATTTTCATTTTGGGGGAAACAGTACTTTAAATGTTACATCATTTGATGTTACATCTCACAAAAAAGCCAATGAGCTGATACATGGACAGTTTTAAGGGTGGCAAGGATTGCTTGTCAAGGATCCTACACACATTTTGAACATACCAATTCAAACACATACATTCCTTAGAATAAAAATTTTTTATCAATAGAGTCAACCATTATTTGTTGCAAAGTCTACTAATTACAGAGCAAAGTCTTTGCAACTATCAAGCATTCATACTTTGTTCTCAGATAAAAGTTGTGCTGATATTTGTTGCTCTTCATTGGCAGGCTGGTCCTCATCTTCATTTTTCCTGTCTTTCAAGTTCCCAAGTTTTCCGTGCTTCTTTCTTTCAAGAATATGCAAGATCATGAAAACTGTCCACACACCACAAATTATGGCATACCCTCTGAAAAGTTTGCGACCACCAAAATGCTTATACAGGATCCCACCAATTAAGCTTGAGGATCCACCAGCAATACCAAAGAAAATGCCATTCATGATTCCTAAGAGGGTTGCTTTCATTCCCTTAGGAGCTAGATCAGAAGTATGATACACTGTTGCATTCCAAAAGAGAGCAAAACAGATACTGTGAAGAAGCTGTAAGAGAAGAATGTACCAGGCATTCTGGAGAACAGAGAACCCTAAAAAGCGTACAGTATACATCGCAAAGGACAGAGCAATAGCAATTAAGTTTCCTCTAAGAAGTTTAATAACAGAATTTGAAATTGGAAACATTATGACTTCTGTTGAGCAAGCTACCAAAATACTCAGGCCCATGATGATCTTTGATCCTTTGAGGTCCTGAATATACAGGAACATAAAGCCATATAACAAACCATTAGCAATACCCATGATTAAAACAGTAAGGAAGAAGAATGACACATTGAACTTTTTGAAGGTCTTGATCAAGCCCTTTGTGAGGTTTGGCTTCTTCTCTCTCTCCTTGTTGAGCAAATTGCTTTTATGCTGGTGACCACTCATGTCCAAAAAACAGCAACTTATAAACAATGAAACATTGCTACCCAAGAAAATGTAAAACATTGTAAAATAGTTTGGTCCTTTGCTTCCTGAAAGTTCAATGCCGACTCCAGAGGCAAAAGCTGCCAATCCAAATCCAACAGCTCCCCAAAGCCTTTGCTTACCAAAATCTGACGACTTCACTTTCTCAATAGTGTCTATAACAGAATTGTCAATGAGTATAGGGATGCCACCATCAAAAGCACCAATCAAGGCAAACCATATGATCATAAGTGTAAATAACTTATCTGTACTTGCTTTGCAGCGGGAATCGGAGCCCCCGCCATCGTTAACTTTGTTTGTTTTTATCTTTGTTTGTTGTTGGGATGATAAAGAGATATTCGGGTACTCCGTGGTCATCGAGTTGTTGGTGAGATCTATTCCTCTAGGAACCACATCTGTCGTCTTTACCGCTTCTGCATTACGGTCTTCGGTCATAGGCACTGATAGATTACCAAATTTCGTAGTAGGTTGTATGAACAATGGAGTCGTTACCACCAAAGAAGGCATTGTTGCAATTACCGTGCTGTTGTCATGTGCTTTTGAAATTACACCACAAGAGGTCTTTGGAATAGCCATGGGCACAAATGGCGCCGTAAAAGTTAGAATACTACTGATAACAATCTGGAGAAGTAGCACTAACTTGTATTTGCGAGTCTTGTCGGCAATAGCTCCCCACAACGGTCCGCTGATGAACTGAGAAAATAAACGTGCGCCTAGAACGAAGCCTGCTTGTTCAGCGTTCAGGCCATAGGCTGTTATAAATACGGGTATGTATGGCGTGACGCTGGAGTAAGAAAAATAAAAGAAGAAGTAGGCTGCTTTTGCTGGCAACAAGGCCTTGTTGACCGGTATCCTCTTCATTTTTCTCTTTGGTTGCTGCACAGTACAAATAGGCGAGAAGAACCAACCAACAACTGCAGTGCCTGACTTTGCAACCTGCAAAATTTTCAGGGTTCCTTTATATCAACGTCACGTGGAAAACGAATGGCAGTTGTGGGCAAAGTCCAGGAGGGGCATGAAAGGACACCGCCACGTATCATTCAGAAACTGACCCCCTGAAGGCTACTGTTACTTTCATAAGCCATGTGATTTGTTCTCCTTTTCACTCTATTATATTAGAACTTAAAACCAGTATTTTATGTTCAGACAGGCTGTCCTCTATGATTCTAAAATTTATAATGCTGAATTTTTCGCACTCTAAATTAATTCGTAAAATTTCGTAAAATCTCGTAAAATTTCCAACTTGTAAAACTTTTAAGCTTAATGCAAAGAGTGTTAATTTTTATATTTATACTTCAACAGATCCCAGAGTGATCACACCATTATGACCGGAATCTGATGCCCTGTACAAATAAGGTACTGTTATTATTTTTTGTGGTGTAAATAAAAACAAGTATAGTACCCTCACGAGATGAAGGGAAATCATTTCATTTTTCCATATATAACTTGAACAAATACAGTAAATCCTCGAAACCCCCCCCCCTTGAAAAAGCCCTCCCTCGAATAAGCCCCAACCCTAGAACTACAAATTGTCAATAAGCCCCCACCCTCAAATAAGCCCCCGCTGCTACCGTAAATTCTCGAATTGGACCCCTCAATTTGATGATTTTTGCCATCTGATGTTGCCTATGGCGTTTTATTGAATTACCAAAACAAATTCATACTTTTGGTATTAATTGATTAAATGCTCATAAAGAAATTCCTACTTAAATAAACGAGGTCTTTTAATAATGTCTTCTTAATGTCTACAATAATTTTATAAGCCCCCACACTCGTATAATCACCTCCCCCCTCGAATAAGCCCTATCCAAAAATATAAAAAATAAGCACCCAGGGGGCTAATTCGAGGATTTACGGTATTCGTATTCATCACTTCATTTAAGACTCCAAAATCCGACAAAACATCAAGTACCAGTTCAAGACATTTCTATGATTGCTGCTCATGGAGTAAAATTTGTTCAATATGTCCCCTGATTCCCAAATTACGTTTTAACCCGGTTTCTTGGCTAAAATTTGCCAATTGCCGATTCCAAAAAATGATGATTCCTGTTTCCCCGAAAAAATATCGGGTACCCTCAGAATAGGGGGCCAGGAAGTACGTGGTGTTTTTACATTTTTGGTGGATGGTTCCCCTTCACCATGTTGGAACATGCGCCCACGCCCTGCGTACTGGCTGCTGGTAGAACCTTATTCATACGCCGACTTAAGTACAATGCTGTTGTAGCATATTGTATGTTGTAACATTATGTTTATTTGAGGCTTCTTATATGTTAATGCGTAGATTAAACGCCAAATATCTCGACTGAAATTTTCACAGTCCGATTTTTTGTTACTGTCTAAAAAATGTTTTACAGGCCGAAATTTTTTGCTAATAGAAAATAGTATGTCTTGCTCACAAACATTTAGCATATAAAATTGTATTTCACTCGAAGCTGAAGATTTCTCAAAATTTCTGTCTTATGAAGGCCTACATCTCAACCTTACAAAGGGAACTTGTTGTCAAAGCTAGCTATCAAGTGAAATTTCATCAAAAAACCTCCTCATCGTCCTCAGCAAGTGTTAAATAGTCCCCTTTCATACTTCTGTTCTTGTATATTTTTTGATAGACAGAACTTCAGTTTAAAACGTTGGAAGTTTTCTGTTCGAAAACGTTTTGTCCGAAATTTATTTGTCCAAAATTTTTGACGTTTAATGTATGTTTGAAAGTGACTAGGATCACTACATGTCGAGTCATGAATGGAAATTTCCTTTTTGGGATCGGTTACTCAGCGTTGACATAGGGCCTTTAGTGATCACATGAAAACAGAGTCTCGGCCGATCCAATACACGTTTAAAGTGATCACATGATAAGTCACGCTTTTACCTTATTGCCATTTGATCCACTGGGTGCAATCATACAAAGTTTAGAAAAATGATTCAGACAGGGCCATATTTGTGTTGTTTCCGCCACAGGGGGTTGCCCTCAAAGAGGGGGGGGCACAGCTTGCAAATTTTCCAACAACGGATTTAAATGAAGATTGTGACGTCATCAAGCGCATGCGCAGCTTTTTCAACGCAGGAGGACATGGTAAACAGTAAGCATTTTTTCAGTATCACTTTTACTAATTTCAATAAGTTGGTCAGAGAAAAACCATCACCCGTTTTCGAAAATTGGATGATTATAATCATCCGTATCAGTGTCTTGAACAATCTAAAGAAACGAACTGGACGATTTTCGGTACATGAGAAGTCTCCTTAGCAATGGTGTGTCAGCAAACCTTCCGATTGCTTCACAATAACTGAATGTCAAATAAGTCAAGCTCAACATTTATTTAACCTCTCTTGTCCTGTTTTTTTACACACTTGAGCTTTAAAAAAGTGCACTCATATATAGTGGTACCAGTTGGAAAGCTTGCCATTTCCCATACTAATGTACAGATTTGGATGGGCAGACTGTAAAATAAATAGCAACGAGTTTTATCTTCCTTCTTAAACTGATTAGTTCCTTTGAACTGAGAACTACAAATACTCTTTTGCCGAACAGATACGAAACTGCCCCCCCCTCCTGCGCGTGCCCCTTACCATTCCCCCAACTACAAAGCCCCTAAACCAATTCAATGCTGATCATTTCAGTATATGACATTGTCGAAATAACCCTTCTAACACTTGAGTTCACAAGAAACTTCGCTTGCAAACTTATTACGGACATTTTCCAGAATTGACCCCCGAGTAAAATAGTTTTGGGAAAGGTTCAAGAAAACCACATTTGGAAATCACATGAAATTAGAATGAGGCAAAAAATGGACCATCTGCAAGAATCCCAGCCTCAAGATGACCAAAATTAAAAAACCATAGAATTTATCGTCCTCCATCTTAAGGAGTTTAAAATCCGAATTTAAGTATAGAATGCAAATGATTCACCTATTTCCTGACATAGATAGATAATAGGAAGCAGGACACCTTGCGACTGATTAGGTGTTCTGTTTCATGTTATCAGGTGTTATGTCTTCGCATTTTTAAAAGGTGTGTGCAGTGCGCTCAGGGCATAAGTTACTTTCAGCACTAAATTCAACACAAAATTAAGATGCAGTGTACTTATCCAAACCTAGGCTAAGTTTCACATTAAAATTGCGTATAATATAAACGAATTCAGAAAGACTTTGCCAGGGCCAAAGCCACGAAATTGAAACTTGGGGGCCAAGGCAAAAAAGTAGGGGGCATGCTCGGCCCCCGGTGGCATGGGCCTGTTCCCAGTCAAGAAGAACTGCTACTACATAGGATCCTGAGGACTAAACTCTCTAAAAATGTTCCAACCCATTATTGTAAAGGGGAAGGGGGGAAGGGTCTACAGCCTCTGCTGGCCCAATAGCTACGCAGTGCCAGAATAAATTAGGATTCTATCATGGGTACCACATGTGAAAATGAATTCAAGTACTTCTGCTACCCTGTTGCCTTTCCCCATACGTGTCTTTGCTACGAAGGGGAACACTTCAAACAATATTTTTAAGAGTTTAATTGCAGATCTGAAGCGCAAAAAGGGGCTATATACCTTTGTAATTTTACAACTAAAAAAAGACAAAAAAGTGTAAAGAAGAAATGAACTTACTTTAAGCTTAAAGAAATATTTCTGGAAATTTTAATAACCACTTTGTTTTTACCCTAGTTTATAGCAATTTTCTTAATAAATTGATGAAAACTAATTCAAATTTCCACTTTTTCGATGAAGGTATCTGCAGTGAAGCACAGTTGACACTTAATTGAGCAAGTCAAAAACAAGGATTGCCGATCTAAAATGACGACATGCAAGACAAATTTTTAGACAAAAAATGAATTACTTATTTTACCCTTAAATACCATAAATTACAGAAAGGTACGTAATTTGAATAAGAGCCCACCTATGCATCCACTACGACCTTTTTCGAAAGTAGCAATAAGAATCATTTTTAGCTGCAGGCTACTGCCATTAATTTACTTACTGCTAGATTCACGTCTATCCAATTAACTATTTAAGGGTTATAGCGTAAATTAGTAAGATTAAATTGTGGGTCACATCGGCCTATACCAAGTGATAAATGCCAAAGAAACATAGCTGGGAATAAGATGCTTCCAGACACATATTTCTAACCAAAAGAATCATTATGGACAAACTAAGTGGCAGTTTTCAGCAAAGAGCTCTATTCATTCGACGGCACTATAGTTTTAGCATTGTGGAAAAGGGGTAGGGAGCAAATGCAAGAGTGACGCTAAAAAAGTTTCTTTTAGGGGAATATCCTGTGCATGGCCGTTGCGAGGCAAGCCTTGTTGGGAGGTGGGGGGGGGGGTGTAGACTTCAAATTTACCCGATTACACAAATATTGCCTGAAATTCTTTAGTTGCTGTCACAAACCACTGCAATACATTTTGTCAATCTTACTCTGTATATAATTCGCATCTTTCATTTTCATATGATAATAACGGGCTACCATGGTTGCCCCCGAAGAAATAGAAACTTTCGAATTTTGATGCTTCCAGCTTCCTGGAAAATGCACTCTTTTTAGCAAACTTCACTAAAGCAATCTTTTTGCGGTACAGAATTTGGAAATGGCTTTGAAAAAAGCAAACATTTTACAACATACTAAAAGTTTTTTCGTTTGACACTCCTCAGAGCATAAACGTCAGAATAAGGGTCCGAAAGAACAAGATGAAAAAAATTTACCCAGTTGTGGATCGAAATAGGCCAATCAGAAAAACGCAAGCACAAGACCGGTATAGTTGACCAATCAGGGCCGCGAGCCTAAAGAAAAATTACCACTGGAGTCCAAGAGAGAAAACGAACTCCTTATGTCTACACAATGGCGGCTTTTTCGTTTTTATATAGATCGACTCCAAAACTGCTAGATGGAAGGACGACCGGGCTCTGCCAATTATCCGAAACATTTCGTCATTTTAGAGTTTTGACCGATGGAAAAAGCTTTTAGTATGTTGTAGAATGTTTGCTTTTTTCAAAGCACTTTTTAAAGCAATCTTCCTAATCCTATTGAAAATCCTACAAGACACAATTTTACCTAAAGAGGGCCTGGATTTTATGATCGCGATATCAACCTGGCACGATTTTTGTGTGTCAGGTTGATATCTCAACTCATGGTGACTACTAATATGGACGGATTGAGGGAGGGGCAACTGTGTACGCAAATAGATTGATATCCCAACTGCGTACTTATTGCACTGCGTAGTTGAAAGGATAGACCGCCACCGATTGGCGGCAAAAAATTTATAATTATGGTATCTTAGGAATGGTCAGACACTGTATCCAAAATGGATTTTGACTGAAGGAAGGAAAATCCAAGGCAATATGTTTAAGCTTTTTTTAATTAACATGTCTCGTCTATTGTAATTTTGACTTGAAATAGAAAAGGTATTGGAAAGTTTCAAAATATCCTTAATATAACATAACTCGTAATGAAACTCCTTGTTAGATTTTAAAAGTACCCAAAAAAGATGGAGGAGAAAAATAAATAAAACATGGTTAACATAAAAACATTAACATTGAAACATCAAAAGAAGATATATCAACTAAAGATAAAAGATTAAGCAATTTTGTACAGTTGGGGTATCATTTTGTAACATTTGATCTTAAATTTGTCGAAAGTTAGGTGCTTTAGCAAAAAATACGTATGGCCATGAGCCTGTTTTTCGATAAACTTTCATTTTCATATTACAAGAGCAACCTTTATACATCATTTTGCCAAACTCAACTATTGTCATTTGCCATGGGTAAATGATTGAAAATAAGACCCACCCGTATTAATTATACTTTGCATTCTATTTAGATTTGCAATTTGAGATAACATTTCTTTATTTTGCAAAAATTAACATTGTTCTTCAAAGATACTTTCCAAGAAAGAAAGAATTGGACTAGCTTTACAGAAAACAGAATAAAATAAAAATGCGTCATTGAAAAGTACCTAACAATATCAATTGCATTATGTACATGTGACAAGCCTTTTAGACTGAAAAGCTATTTACATCTGCAAATTTACAACAATGGTTTTAACTCTAATACTATAAAACAAGTCTGGGTGTAAAATGATGTTAAATAAGTAACACAAAATGCTTATTACTGTTAATGTAGGATAATATGAGAAACAAGAAGAAAACTCTATCTTGGGGCTTTTTTGACCAGTATACACCTAGTGTTCACAAAACAGGAAAAAAAGATCAAAACACTAGTTTGGGCTGGAGCTAGATATGTTGCTATTTTTGGCAGGGATCTGAATACTGTAAGTCATACTTTGCTGTAGGTTTAAAACGAACTGCAAATGGGTACAAAATGCATTCCTGGATATCTAATGACACTGTTTCAAAAGACTTCCTTATTGAACTTAGAACGGAAAAAGTAGCCTGCGCATTTGTGGCCTGGGGCACAGGCTAGGAAGGAGAGATTACTTAGAAGATTACAGGGTGAAAAATGGAAATGTCTTAGAGTCTTTAAACAGTTTGCTTGGTTTAAAGCAAATAGGAGCATTTAACATTGTTATGGTTAGATACCCTTAGCCTTAATTTGCATCTGATATCTCACTTTTACTTGCAGCAAGTAAGAAAAACAAGACAGCCAATGGGATTGCATAGCCTTCCTACAACACTAATATATCTATTAATATTAACACTGATATACAATTTCAGGAAATATCATACATACCAGGAACACTTAATCTAGAAAATGTTATATCATACAGATAAATCTAAGAAGCATATTGGACCTAAACAAAAACAGCTCTATCCCCAGGCATAAAACCTGCCTACAACCTATAAAGTGTTATGAACAATTGAAAAAATCTGTGAAGATAACAACTACATAATGAATATTCCCTCATCGGCTTGAGCCTGCACAATCAATTTTAAAACAGATGCAATTAATGGTCTCTGGAGTTTCACATTGGCACTGGCAATCACAGAGTTGTCCAAACTAAAAAAAATAATGAACTTTTGCTTAAAAGCTCAAAGCTGTACTGACAAATGGGTTGACTTGAAATCATCCTGTCCACATATTAAAAATATTCACACAGCTTGAATTAAGTAAACAAGATTGATTTAGATTAAACCGCATATATATTACGATTTTGCATAATTTAGATGATAAATGTGATTTGCATAATTTTGCATAATTTTGAGGTACATTTGGTGTTTAATTTAATGGCTCTTTTTTTCATTTACACCCCATGATTTCATACAATTTTGATTCCAAGGGAGGGACCTCCCTTGCCAAAATCAAACTTTACATGCATGCTGAGCAGCCTTTACATTAAAACTGAGTAAAGACAGCATAATTAACTTGAAATCAATAGACATCAGTGAACATATTTTTAATTTTGTCATAAAAACATCAAACTATCTTCCTATAAAGAAAAATGCAGACTCACCCCACACTCTGGACCTTGACAATCTTCACAGCATTTTCCACCTGGTTGTGCACTCATGCAGCAACAAAATGTTTGATCACACCATTCTTTGGATGGGCAAACACTTTCCAAGACAACCTTTCTGTTAGGACAATTGAAGTTACAAGTCTCTGCACAACTTTGCAAAATTCCTCCTTCATTACTTCCACAACTACAGCTGCATGCGCAACATTCAGTCATCCATGGTGGAAAAATGCTCACACCTTTAGCCTTCAGGGAGACAAAGCCAAATATGCATGTGATAATGAAGTAAAGAATTTATGCTTTAGGTTTAATAAAGCATGACAAGCATAATAATAACATAAGGTATAAATTAATGAATCTGAATTTTTCACAAGGAAATGAAGGCAGAAAAAATACAAAACCTGTTATTTTTCAACTATCTTCTGAAAATAAGGTACATTATAGGCACATAATATTTTTAATAAGGCTATCCAGTGACAAGAAAATAGTTATTGAATGATGGAATTCAAATCTGGCTTCTTTGTAGATAGAGCATGATTCACCATGAACTACTGGTTAAAGTCAGGCTTCTCCGTTGAGGTGCGCTGTCACGCACGCGTGCCTTCGCACGCTCCTGTTGTTGCTGAGACGCACATTAAATCACGCGCCTGGTTTATAAGTACCCCCCCCACTTTTCTAAAATATGATCCTCGAGATTTGTCCAAAAATGATGTAAAACTCGTTGGGGGGGGGAGGGGTGTAGTATACTGTCTGCTTGTGTCAATAACAATTGTAAAATACTTCGCTATTTACCGTAGCTAACATTAATCAAATAATGGGGGGAAATTTATTTTGCAAAAAGGGCGTTTCCCCGCATTTGCGAGTGTCTGAAGGGCGTGATCGAAAAAAATTTCTGGGGGCTCTGCCCAAGACCCCCTCACTGCTGCAGCCCTGGCTACGCCACTGAAGAACCCTTTAAATCGCGCTCCTTGTGTTTTGGTTTTGAACAACTATTATACAAAGAGCCTTGCAGATTCGAAATCGATTGATAACCAATAAACTGTCATTTTGATCCCTGATTGTTATAATTGGATTTCAACACAGTCACGCAACTTTACTCATTCATTCTTTCATCCATGTTATCGGATCAAAGACCAAAGAAAGGAATGGGAACACAATGGTGGTTTCGATTTGGTGTAAACTTTGCTAAAAACACAAAAACATTATTTTATCAAATCCTCTTTGTATTGTAAAGTAAGTGCCAAAAAAGCAATTGAATCGTACGTCAATGGACCCGATTTTGATTCTTCCACTTCTTCTGACTCGGATTCTTTGTCGGAATTTGAGCTGGACGTTGACGAACTACAACAATAATGTGTTTATTTTTTTGCTTTTAGTGCTCTATTAAGTAGTTTGTTTAGAGATTACAAGGATGCTCTGGTTTTATTCCACTGTAAATTTGTCAAACTCTTTTGCTTCCTTTTTTGGATAAAGAGCAAGAAAAGCATGAAGTTTGTTTCTAGATACAAAGTATTTACACGAGAAAAGATTTCGTTTTGCCCACTTTAACGTAATATTTTTTTGGTAAAACGTGCGCCTTAGCAAGGCAAGGCACGCGTTTGAGCACGCGCCCACTAAAATACTCACGGAGAGGCCTGTAAAGTATTATATTTTTGCCAGTTGTCAAGAAATAGATGATAAAGAGATGATAAGCAATTACAAAGTTACATTTTATACCATAAGTATATCAACATCATGTGGTGCATACATACCAGAAGGCACTGCCTGACAAGAATCACTATGCAAAAGATTAAGAGATAGCCCCCAATACAAATGGCCACAATTGCAACAACTGGAAATGATTCATTTGCTGTAACTATTGCACCTGTTGTTGGCTGAAATATGAGAGAGGAATTTTACAGAAGACAAAAATGCTAAGGCATAACAAAGGGCATTCTGCTATGCAGGTTTCAGCTAGGCAGGCCATCCTGGTCAAGTAGGCTTGCTTAATGTGCAAGTGTTGCATAAAACACCCCTTCATAAAATAGCAAAGAAAAAAACTAGGCAAGCAAGGAAGCAAGCATGCGAGAAGGAACAGACAACCAGACAGGCATACACATCAGAAGGAAACAGGCAAGCAGGCAAGCAAACAAGTTGGAAGCAAACAAGTGGGAAGTGAACAAGTGGAGAGCAAGCAAGTGGACAAACAAGCAAGCAAAAAACAAATCAAACAAGAGTTTATGGCTATAGTAGTCTTACAACTTGTGCCCTCTCCTTCTCTAGATGAATATTCTAAAGCAATTACCCTGGGTACTAACCACTAAAGGATGGACAGCTAGTTGGCAGTAGGTCAGACTTTAAAGTTTGGTCTTTGCTGAGAACATGTTCCCCATGTAACAACTTTCCTCTTCATTTTGCCTGTGCATTGTTAAGAATTTGCATGAAGTCTGTGCATAATAATTGTTTTCTGCTTATGTTACCTAAGATCATCCTACCATTTAACACTTTTTGCTTCTGATAACAAGAAAAAACCAAGAACAAGATTATTTCCAATGTATTTGCTACAACATCTGCACACGATCTTTCATGGAACTTTCATTATATGAAAATTTGAATTTTATGGTTCTGGCATTCTCTGTGCAGAAAAAATAGCTTTACAGTCTGGGCAGCAGGCATGATGAATATAATAACTTAGTAGGGGACCTAAAAATGCACACAGTACTATGAGTCTAGTTTGCATCCCTTTATTTTCTTTGGTAGTAATTTCAAAAGTGTTTGAGGTGCATAAGTCCAGAGAAAAAATATTTGAAGAAAGAAAATGCTGAGTGCTACACCCCTTGGCAACACTTGCAGAATCTGCTAAAAATCAGTTTCTGCTAAAAATCTCAGTTTATATCTGAAATAAACTAAGATTTTTAGCAGAAACTAATAAGGCTGCATGCTGTACCTTATAGATTCTTTAGTTAGACATGCTGGTTTAAGCAGGGCTCGTAGTTCGTTTAAATCGGTTTTGATGAATTGGTTCTAGGCCAGCCTTGAATTTAGTCGCGGAGGCTTTGACCTGGACCACTCTTAAAGCATATGAACAGCTCTTACGATAAAAAATTGTCAAAATTTTATTGCACAAGTATAGTTTAGCAATCATGTTTCATATTGTAAGCAACACTCGATCGATTGCGCTTCACAAAGCAGTTCATTTGTTGACTGTGGTGTTTGATGAACACTTACAATTAATGTTGGCGCCATGATGAAAATTTACATTCGCACGGTCCATAACACTTTGAATAAATATAACATCACGCTGGACAAAAACCTGTTCTGCAGCAAATCAACGATATTCTTGGCTTTTAAATTCCAGTACCCTGATGCCAAAAACAACTCAAACTTGATGCATTGCAGCATTGTGGAGCCATAGCAATAGCAATAGCTACTTGCAATTCGAAGTCTCCTTCTGAGATCGAGTTTGAAAGACGATCTCAAGAAAAGATGGCGGCAACAACAAATTTGACAACAACGCTTTGCAAGTCCTTCAAATACCCGATTATTGTAATTCTTGGAAGTACTGGAGTAGGAAAAACAAAGCTAAGTATAGAACTTGCTAAAAAAGTTGATGGGGAGATAATAAGTGCAGATTCCATGCAGGTTTACAAAGGTTTAGACGTTGTCACTGCTAAAGCTACCCAGGCAGAGAGAGCAGAAATCAAACACCATATGATCGATATGGTAAACCCACTAGACAGTTTTAGTGTTGTAGAGTTTCGAAATATGGCCTTGCCAATCATCAGTGACATATCGTCAAAAGGAAAAGTGCCAATCATTGTTGGTGGAACAAACTATTACATCGAATCTCTTTTATGGAACATTTTGGTTACGGAGGATTCAGGGAACCAAAAAACATTAGCCAGCGATTTGGAAGACACTTCTCCAAATCTCTCCAAAATTGACTTTGAAGTTTTGAAAGACCAGTCAATTTACAAGTTTCTTCAAAGTATTGATCCTGTTGCTGCATCCAAAGTTCATCCAAATGACAGTAGGAAAGTGAAAAGAAAACTGGAAATATGGAAGGCAACTGGAAAAAAGCCAAGTGATGTAATTGTTGAACAACAGTCTTTAGATGGAGGCGACCATCTTGGAGGGCCTTTGAGGTTCACAAATTCACTTGTTTTCTGGCTATCGTGTGAGCAAACAGCCCTTGACAAAAGAATATGTGACAGAGTTGAAAGCATGCTAGCCAATGGTCTAGTTGAGGAAATTTCAGGATTCTATGATGATTATAATTCAAAATTTTTAACCAAGACACCAGGCTTTATTCCATACAAAGAAGGTATTTTTCAAGCCATAGGTTTTAAAGAATTTCATAACTTTTTGACAAGTAAATTTGATAATGACAACAAGAAAGAGGAATTGTTTAAAGAAAGCATTGAAACTTTGAAGAGGGTAACTATAAGATATTCCAAAAAACAAAATACTTGGATAAGGAACAGGTTTTTAAAGCGTCCAAGCCATTCATCACCCAACGTCTACAAGCTTGATGCTAGTGTAATTGAACAATGGAATGAAACAGCATTGCAACCAGCCTTGGAAGCAGCAACTTTGTTTTTATCAGGAAAGAAAATCCAGCTGTCACCAATGCCACGGCTATTTAAAGACCAAGCAGAAGATCAACATAAGCAGTATTTTTGTGAAACTTGTAATGGAAAGCTTATTGTTGGAGACAGTGTATGGAAACAGCACTGTCAATCAAGAAAACACAAGAAGAGATCTGCTAAGAGGAAAAAGCTTGAAGCCTTAGATGTAAAAACTGTTTAATTTCACCATTGGTGATTAATTTATTGTTTGATACTGCACTCAAGTCTCTTAATGATGTTCGAATACGGGTACTCATGAAGTCCCAATATCAAATAAAAAGAGATTCCAATATTGACAAATCATTATATAGGCAGAGCCCTTTTTACACTACGAAAAATATTTATAGGTTCGCCCAGAGTAAGTTAACTATTGTTAAAACAACCATAGAAAAGGAAACTGGGAGCTCCACTGGCATGTGCCTTCCAATGTTCAGAAACAGAGGTTAAGTGACCTATTTGTTGCAGCTTGAGAAGTACCCCTTTTTGGCCTCCACCAGCTTCTACTTTTATAACGCTGCCTAAATTGTTCATTTAACACAGTGGCCCTTACCCTACACAAATTCCAAGAGGGGTGTAAATGAGAAAGTGGGTAACATTCGCTTTTTCACTGAAACCAGTTAAGATAAAGAAGAATTCATCATCAGTAAACCAGGCTCAGACCATTCTAACATTTACATTACAATTAACAATCTTATGCATGTTCCACCCTCTTTCAGAAATAGGTTATCTTAACCTGTGTCCAACTAGGATAGGTTGTGTATACACAAGTTCTTCTGGGTAGGCTAATTAGCGCAGTGTGCACAGGGCTTAGAAAGTCATTGTTTGTAGGGTTTTGACAATGATATTTTCCAAATGCTGATGGTCCTTCTTAATTGGCCTTCAATAGTGAAATTCTTCTGAAACACCACTACCATCATCAGTTTGAGTTATGCTTTATTTTCTAGTCTACCAACAATAGCCCCTGTCTGAATGTTAAACTGTTTTCAATCTTGTATGATTTTCTGAACGATGTCCCTTATCAGACATCATCTAAATAATTATTTTAAAAAATTTTTCCTGGTACAATTTGCCTACATTTATCGTTATTTAAATTCATCATATTGTACCGCACGCATTTCAGTATATCATCTGAAAACAAAGACATCCCCACTTTTTTGCATCTCAAAACCTCAAAAGCAGAAATTTTTCTCCTCTTTTTCCTGTTCATGTATCTTTGTTAATTGCCAAGTTATCATTTTTTGCAGAAGAGAGGTTATGTATCAAATCAAAAGTCAAAATTTTGGATGATTGCTTCATCGTCAGTTTGAGTTCAGCAAGTTCTTTGTCTCCTCCCCCTTGTCACATTTTCATCGACATCATCTCTTTCTAAAAATGTCCTTTTAAGGCAGGAGTTCTGGGGTAATAACTTTGGCATTTACAGGTATTATGTTTTGTGGACAAAGTCAAAGAGAAGAAAAGCGTCTTGATACAATATTCATTCATGGATCAAGTCTAAAAGATCATGAATTCCACAGCCCCAATACCCGTTAATTGCTATTTACCCCCTGCGACACTTTTCGTCACGCAATAGCTTCAGGGCTTCGAAGATTGAAGATGAGAACGCTAGATAGATTCTTTCTGAAATGAATTATAAAGCCACAAATGCGTTGCATTGTATCTAGTGCAACTGCAACGAAGCATGCAAGAATGGAAGCAAATAAAAACGATAATTCAGTTTCTCTTCTTTTTCGATATTCCCCTAATTAACTTTATAACCTCTTCTGCTACCTATAAAACCTATATCTCTGCTCTCTAATTACCTAATTACACCAACAATGACTCTCGTTCCAGTCCCTCATTACTCACTTCCTCACACAACCAAAGCTTGTCGTCTTTCTTCAATCAATGAGTTATAGGTTTATTTGAACAAGCTTTGTTTCTGGTCTTGTTAGACCTGGACCTTCGGGGAGGTTTAAATTCTGAACAACATTTTTGACTCAATTTACAAATCGCAACAGCACGGTTTATGTAGTCAGTGGAGCGTTTGAAACAACCCGCAGTTAAAACATTGCAGGTAGGTAGCAGGCAGATTTATCATTATTATTGATTGCTGGGCATACAACAAAGCTTGTAAGCCGCCTGGATTTGCTATTTTTGGGGTTATCATGGAATTAAACCGCCAAATAAGAACTTCGAAGCATGCAAGCAGCCCTTCAAAATACGTCACAGCAAGTTCAACATTTTGGTTACTGTGGGTGCTTTTGAAGATTATCTTTATACTGGTTTTTTATGAATAATTCATGTTAAAGCTCAACTAACGAAGCCTTTTGGACTCTTTTGAACATAACCAGTTTTTGACCTTGAATGATCTAGCAGCCTATTAAAATAGCTTAATCTTTGTATTTAATTTTTTTTCCTTTGGTTGAGATTCTCAACGACTTCTTAGCACTTTGTGGTGCTCTGATTATCTTCATTCGTAAGCCGTTTTTTGACAAAGATGTGTAGGTTTGGATAGAATCTGCTTTGTTTGGATATTTGCAGAGGGCTCGGCCTACTTACCAGTTATTTAGTTCGTATGAGTTGATTGAATTGAAAAAACGTTTCAATAGATTAGAAATCACAAATTGTTGAAATCGTACGCCTGTGGTCTGTTCGTATAAGAAAGGATCGTACCTAAAAGAATTTCTTGCCTTGCTAAGCCAAAAGCTATAAGGTATTAAACAGGAAAGCTTGGCACCAGTGATGAAGGCCCTTTGTTAGCAGTTGAATGAACTTGCCATTTCTGTCTCTTTGAAAGTTGCTACATTAGTTACATAACCCTCTTTTTGAAAATGGCCAAACAACCACAGATTTCTGAATTATTGTTCGTATCATTTTGCTAAGAAAAATTTACCTTTCTAATCGACGATTCAGGGCCGTAAATCTGTCATGTGAACAGGGGGGGTCAGCAGAGCAAATCAATTTAAAGTGTGCCGTGGTTCATGGCACCACCAAGCAATTTATGGTATGGGTTATGAAAACAGTTGAGGGGCGAATGACTTGAAAAACAATAGTCAAGATTTTGGGATTTCTTAAGACTTAGTACATCTGACTGTGTGTGTATAGTTTGATAGATAAAAATTTTCAGAGACGGCCCACGAAATTGAACCTTGGGGGCTAGAATCAAGTTTAGTGACGTAGGAGGACCCACCATGGTTGGGTCCGACGCAAAAGAAAATTTTTGAAATTATACCTTCTAGAAAGGCTAAAAAAGCATTTCCCAGACTAAATTTAATAAAATACTAGATAACTCAGGATAGAAAATTCAACGTTTCTCAGTAGAATACAGATTATTGTTTATTGAGCAAAATTGTGTAGGGGAAGAGCTTTGCTTAAACTTTAGTGACAGACGTTGGGGAAAGTAGGGATGATGTTGCATTGATTGGTAGAATTTTACTTCCTGAACAGAAATGTGCGTCTTCCTTATTTTTGAGTGTTTTAAGTAGGCCATGTATACACGTCAAAAATGAATACATTCTAATGATACAGAAAGTGATTTACTAAATAAAAGCAAATAACAAACAAATAATAGAAATATGCGTAAATAAGTTGGTAGTAGGTCAAATAAAATATCAGTTTGCTTTCTTTTTATTTCATATTCTGTTTTCAAAAATAAAACGGTAAAAAACAGATAAAAACCCCTATGCTTACAAAAATAACGGCTATCAGCATAAGTCAACTTGCACTTGACACCATGACTTAGTAGCTGAGTTTTGCTGCAATAACAAAGAAAAACGTAGTTTGGCTCAAACTGCGTTAACCAGAGATTTGTTTCATTCAGAGAAAATGTTGATAATTTATCAAAAAAATCATTTTGCTCCAGATTTTTGGGGGGGTCCAGTCCCCCCCGTCCCCCCCGGGATTTACGGCCCTGCGACGATTCATTATTTCCATACATAACTAATTTTTTCCTCGACAGTGAACTATCAGACAATCGTAGTAAATCTTAGTAAGTAGCAATATGAATCTTAGTAAATCTTAGTAAGTAGCAATATGAAGCCATCGTTTTAAATCTCGCCATTAATTAAAGATGGGCTTTTGACAAGAATATTCTTCCTCTTTTCGCAGCTCAGCAGTGAAGACATTACGTTTTACTCTTTCTACTGATCTTATGATAATAATATTACTTGGATTGGCAATGCAACAGTTTATGCAAGCATCAACCACAACAGCAAATATCGAAAAACGAGATGTTACTGCGGATGATGCGGAGATATACGAACACGCCGCTGTGGCAGCTGATACAGTAACCTGCTCAGAAATAGGTCAGGATTAGTCTGTTTAATTTGTTCTCGCTCTTGAAGCATCATGAGTCAGAATGATTGTATGACAAAGCGACCTGAATCCCGCGATAGAAACTTTTAAAGATAATACCAAAAAGACACATGATATATGCAGCTTTCTTTCTCATCAATCCTCTTCTTCTTGACTATTTAGCTCTGAAGAATCCTTTATACAAGCACTACTTCTTAATACATCTCTGTCTTCATTGCTGTTACTTTCTCTCGCGTTTTTACCATTTCTATCAACATGTGATTACGTAACTATGTTCCAGCTCTCTCACATCTCCACAATTGCTCAGTTAAGTATGGGAATCGAAGGCAACCAACGCACAAAATGGCAGTGGTTGATAAAACCTCTAAATACTGATGAATTGTCCACTGAACCAATGATTAAAACTTTCCAGTTCTGTGACTGAACAATGTGCCTGTTGCTTCGTCTCTTTGCCGTCCTTTTGCTGACTGTCTCCACAAAAACTACCATCAAACCAATGAATCTGAAGGAAAATTACGATATTGTTACTGACAGACTACATAGGATTTTAAAAACGTAATGATTACATTAAAAGCCAAAAACGTTTACCGTTCGAAACATTTTGGACCTTAGAAAAGACACAGAAAATGTTTTCAAGGACAGCAAAATGCTCGCAAACATTTAGCATATAAAGGAAGCGTGTTGTTAATACTAGCGCTAAATTGAAACAGTATCTTGACAAACAAATTTATTCAACAAAAACAAAACATCTTCTTCGTCATCAACAATTATCATATCGTCATCTTTCATACTTTCATTGTAGTCAACATCGACATCTTTTCTTTGCTCATTTTCTCCATTCGTTCGCTTGTTTATTCCCTAGAATGAGTGTTGCAGGATGGGCAAGCTAGATTAATTCCGATTTATCAGATGGTATTGGCTTTGGCCCGTTTATCAAGTTTATTATTTACCTTATTTGAATCTATTGTTAATCGGATGAACCTCAAACCCAGAGATATCTTTGCTTGTATGTCCAACGAATCGAGATTGCAAGGCTTAACTCGATTCTATTGTTTTCTTTGAAGGAGTGGAAATCCTTCAACGCAATGGTTCAGTAGTGGATTCGGCAGTGGCATCCTGTTTCTGTTTAAGCGTCATCAATATGCATTCATCAGGACCGGGTGGTGGAGGTGTAATGCTTGTGTACATAAGAGAAAATAAAACTTTTGAGACTTTCAGTTACAGAGAACGTGCACCACTTTCAGCTACTGAAGAACTCCTAAAATCAAGGTCAAACGAAACACTTAGAGGTAAAATAAAATGGTCTGGTATTTCCTCAAATCATTGCTAGAGTATTTGCTTACTTTTTCCATACTCTCTCCTCCTTTCCTCATCTAGTTGCTTGCTTTTCATTTATCTTCTTTCTACAGTGGCGGCCTGGCAGGGGTCAGGGGGCAGGGGGGCAGGGGGGCCAGGGCTCCCTCAGCTGACTTTTTTGTAGGGGCGCCAAAGCTTGTATAGGGCGCTGAAAACCTGATAGACGTTTGATACGAGCGACTGGTTTGGTTATCAGGTCTCTAGTAGGTCAGCAGAGACAAATAAGATGCCTTAAAATTCTAAACTTTCTTGGGGTGCATGCCCCCATAGCCCTCGAACACTCTCACTTCAGGACACGTCTTCAAGCCCTTTAAATACTGTATTATCCAGACAAAACATTTGTACTGTTCGCATCGGCGCAAAAATTAATCAACTTTTTAGAGGAGTGTCAGGAAACTTACTGTTAAATTCTTTTGTGTAGAAGGCACAGCACTCATGGGGCATACAGACATACTCCGAAGACAGTCTGTGTTTAGGGTGTCCGGACTCATGCCCCACCCCATTCTAGGAAAATTTTTAATTCCAATGAGTCTCTTTGGCTCTGCTGTCCTTCAGAGACCAAATTAACAGACAATTTGGGCGTCACTGATGTTGCTAACGAGTAGGTACTTCAGGTTTCATTTTCAAGGGTCATGCATTCAAGGGTCATGCAAGGACAGTCAATTTCGTACGTGAGCCGGTCCAACTTGTCCTGACAGCCCCATGAAAACACTTTTTTTTAGGACCCTGTGCTCACGTGGGGGTCAGTCTATCCTTGACATACAAGATTAAAAAATATAAGAGCATTACCAGACGGCCAATCTTTTCAGGAAAAGACAATAATGTTAGTTATAAATGGCGCCATTTTGCTGCTGGCCCCTCCTGGCGAAAAATGCCAGGCCGCCACTGATTTTCTACTTCCCTTGTTATGTGTATTTTTACTTCCCTTTTTCCTTATTATTTTGCTAACAAACTTGCTTTCTCTTACACTCTGCAGGTGCCCTTTCAGTTGCTGTACCTGGAGAAATTCGCGGGTTACACGCTGCATGGAAAAAGTATGGAAAACTACCGTGGCGTGATCTCATTCAACCGACCATTGATATGACAGAAAATGGCTTTAGAATTCAACTTAGGCTTTATGAAGCAGCCAATACATTTAGAGAGATAATTGAAGCAGACGAAGGATTCAGGTTATTTTCAGTATTAGTTGAAGTTAGATTTGCTTTTAATGTTGCTCGTTTAAAATCTATTTTGATTGCATCTTCATGTCGCTACTTAACTTTTCTTGTCTCAGAGTAGTTCTTTTTATTTTTTGAGTGAATCTCAAAGAAAATGTCTATGATTTTGTTCGTGTTCTTTTTTCGTAGTAAATTGATGATACGGAATGGAACATTGAAGAACCTTGGAGAAAAACTGACAATGCCAGACTATACGAAGATGTTGAGAAAAATCCAAGAAGACCCTGAAGATTTCTATCAAGGTTCTATTGCGCGTGAGGTTGTTGAAGATGTTCAAAGTCATGGTGGGATTATCACTCTAGAAGACTTGAAAAATTACAAAGTTCAGACCCCAGACGTTCTATCACATCGAATAGGAAACTATACCTTCAACACAGCCACGTCTCCCTTTGGGGGACCTATAGTCATTCATGTCCTTAACATTCTGAGTGGTAAGCATGTGTGTTTTCCATACAGATTCCGAATTTTTTGCTTTCAGGAAGTTCTTCTGAGAAGTACATCGTGTCAAGTGTCGTAATGAATTGAATGTCGACTAGAGCGAAAGTTGAATTTCGCTCGAATCGAAGACGATTGTCCTGGTCCTGAGAAATCAGACGTTTCTTTGTTGTTTTTCTTCGCTTAAAGGTAAGCCCCTCCGTAACCCAATGATTGTGGTGGAAAGAGAATTGAGTGAAAAAAAAAACAAATTAATGACGTAGTCAAGTCATTAATTTTTTTCAGCGTTTTAGTATTATTCAAAGACAATAGATACCCGCCAGCTTGTCCCATACTTGCCCCACACACCATGCATTAATAAATACTCTTATACCAATCCAGTTCAAATATCAATTTTATCATTAGATTATTATTGTGCTTTCTTTTTGCTAGGATATAATTTCACCAAGGATGACTTTTCGAGTGACGAGAAATCACTCCAAACATACCAGCGAATTGCAGAGGCCTTTAAGTTTGCGTACGCGCAAAGAACACAGGAAGGCGACCCTGATTTTCTAGAGGCAGAGCTCGTAAAAAAGGTAGCATGACCAAATGATTAACCTGAAAACATTTATTTATGTATTGTAAGATATTTGCAGGTACGACCATTTGTGAAAATTGAATTATTCTGTCTTTTATTATGCTATCAATTGTTTTGGAAAAAAGCCAGTTTAAAAAAACCGCGAGAATATTGCAATTATTAATGTACGATTAATACCTGTGCATCCAGTGATCCTATTTTTTCTACAAGCAATCTTTTGTGAAAGTTAAAGGCATTTGCTTTACAGTTTCTTCAAAACGTTACCTCAGATGAAATAAGCAAATATGTGAGGAGCATGATTACTGAAAATTCGACTCACCCTGTTGATTACTACGGCCCAGTAATGGCACAGCCTTTGGAAGAAGGAACAACTCACGTAAGCATCATAGGCCCCAATGGAGATGCTGTTTCAGTAACTGGAACTATAAACGAGTGGTATGTTTCTTTAATGCACTCGTTACATTTGATAAAACGAGGGCATCGATACCATTTTTTCACTTTTTTATTCACTTTTTCACGCATTTTTCTACGGCTCAGTTGTTTTGATATCGAGAATTTTCTTCAAGTTCTGATATGACCATAGGCTATTTTTGATGAACTGAACATATTTGAAAATTTACTATTTCTTGATTTTTGTAATCCTGTTCTATTTTCCAAACCGCCACCCTAATCATAGCTACAAATAATGGTAATTTTTGTCTGAGGCTTTCTCCAAACTGATTTTTAATGGAAAGTAAAAAGAACTCACAGATAATAACCAAAAATCCGCTTCAGCATGAAGCACAATGATTCCCGAACAATGAATAAATATAGTACACTTACGTGACAAAAGTATTTGCACGATCGCCTTAAAGAAAACATGGTTAACCCTATGAACATAACGAGATTGCTGGTTTAGATTTTCGATTGTAATTTTACTCAATTGTAAAAACAAGCACAAATTTAATAAATTGTAAAAATAAACATTTCAAACAAATACAATTTGCTTTGTTTTATATTGTGTCGGGTGACTTACAGGGATCTAGGCAACCACTATTTGCACTGGAACTCGCTGAAATAATTTTGCAACAAAATACCTTCGGATACTGGAAGGAATCTCAAGAAAGTTTTTAAAGAGCCCATTTTTGGTCTTAGAAGATTCCATTTCTTGGATTTTTCTATGAAAGCCAGTTGTTTTCAATAATTATTTCATTTAAAATTTCAATAAGGCTTTGACTTTGACGGGGATATTGAAAGACCATGATGTTAATAACTTGGAAATTTTTGTCTCAATTCCAACATAAATAGATTTGTTTTACTTAATAATAAATGTTCTTTACAAAGCATCATTTATTGTTTCTGTATTTGCCTGGGGGCTTTCCACAAATAATTGGACAAAATATTCAGCGTTGATTGACATCGCACACAATGCAAGCATGCCGATGTCATTAGGACCAACCTGCCTGCCCTGGCCTACCTTTCTTTGAAATTTAGTCGGCCTTGTTAACTTATTGTTCCTGTAAATAACATGTTTTATAGACTTGCTGCAAACAATTTTTCTTACAGTTTCAGCAAACGAATGACACGCTAGACCAAAATTTTTATTGTTTCTCACTCTCTTTCTGGTCGTTTCTATGTTTTCAGGATTGAAACTAAAACATTGATATTTTCCATTTCCCCTATGCCATTTTGTTACCTTTCTATCATAGAAAAGTAGGAAATAAATTGAATTGGCCAAGGATTGCATTTTTGCTAATGCACTTCTAGAATCCCGCCAAAACAGCAAGATTTGTTCAATCAATGTTAGAGTGCAAGTTTTGGAGCCGCCATTTTGTTATTCATCGTCCTTATACTTATGTCACGTTGTCTCGTAAGTGAATTACAATCTTATCTTGACTGGTAACTTTTTGTATATTATTATTTTTCAAATTTTGCACCTTTGCAGTACCTCCTTTTATCTTTTTTTCTTGAAGACCGAAAGGTGTAAGAGTTAGGCAGTTCTTGGTCGGCCCCTCTTTCCGGGCGTTTGAAGGTCCTTAATCTGTTGCCTTTGTCTTTTGACTTCTTCTAAACAAACTGTGGAATAATTTTCAACCTTTTCTTCGGATTTACAAAATTTTAACCTTTTTACTTGTTGGTTAGGTTTGGAGGTGGTTTTAGATCGAAAACAAATGGAATAATTTACAATAATGAAATGGCTGATTTTGGCCTGCCTGGACACAGCGGGCATGAATTCCCAGCAGCCCCTGCAAACGCCCTGAAACCAGGAAAAATACCTTTGTCTGCTAGTACTCCAATGATTGTGACAGATGACAATGGAGATGTGAAAATGGTCCTTGGTGCGTCTGGTGGTCCGAGAATCATCACAGCTGTTACTTGGGTGAGTTATGCTGTTTTGTTGAAATTTGCTTGCTGTTTCAGCATTTAACTTCCTCGTAGTTTCTTTAGGTTTTTGGGCCATTCATTGTGCTGAACGTCAATTTTATCCACAAGCAGCTGTTTTTAGGGAAACAAAAAAAGTTAATTCTGTTTGGCAAAAAGCACCTGTAACAGATCCGAGATAGACTAAGATAGATTAAGGATTATCATTGCATCAGTTTCCGAATTTACAAAGCATCATATGAATGGAAATCTTAATTATGAATTCTATTATCAATTTTGCGTAAGAAACTAAATTTTTGATGTATCATGGTGGCTCGATATGAATTGACTAATTCAAAATTCGTGTTTTAAATCACGATATTGAAAAAAAGCGACTCAAAAAAGTGCAAAAATTGCTGCTTTCCCAACCACTCAAAACACATATTTCACCATCGTCTCTGTTTTGAAAACCTTTTTCGAATGGAATTTATAACCTAAAGGATAACGGCAATGAAGTAAGCAGCTCTTTAGGTAGAGATATATCTATTTTTTAAAGTAATTTTCCTACATCCAGATACACATCTTTCTTAACGTTATACCGCATTTTGGCAGAAATGTATTCTAGTAATTCTCTTACACGAAAACCTTGTCACTCCCAGTCATGATAAAGCTTCATTTAGCATTTTGTGAATCGACAGGTTAAGAAAACTACAACATTTGTGGCAGGAACAAATGAATTAGAACTAGTGATAGAAATAAAATTAGAAATAAAATTAGAAAATTAATTATAATAGCAAAATTAAAATAAAAAAATGTTTCCGCTTGATTTGCAAAAGTTTATAAATGATCTTTGAAAAATAGACTGTTTTCATCTTCCCTATTTTTGGCACACAACGGAAGTTGCAATATTAATAGTCAAAATTAACATCAAAAGTTTAACTGTTTTTCAGTTATTTTGCCTAGAAAGATATTGTATTAAATTTTGTTAAATTAAGAATTTTGGCCTAGATTTTTTTACAGAGGGTACCTTATATAAAACAATTCAGATATCTAGCATTAGAATTAACAATAACCTTAACTCTTATTGTTTTTGAATTGTTACTTTTGCAAATATCTCAATTTTTCATCCTTTTGGATTTGATGCAAAGCATTGAAAAGCATAATGTAAACAAAGCAGTGTGGAGGGAGTCTTGTATTGATCTTTTCTGTTAGGTAATATTGAACAAATTATGGTTTGGTGACGAGCTAGGACATGCTGTGAGTAAGCCAAGGTTTTATCATCAATTGATTCCAAATCACGTAACAATGGAGGAGAAAATACCAATGTCACAGAAAGTGATTGATGGACTCAGGAGACTTGGACACGAGATTGACTTCAACGATCGTCCTGAATTTTCTTCAGTGCAGGCTATTTATGTGGAAAATAAAACGCGAATTTTCGCAAAATCCGATCCAAGGAAGTATGGGCATACAGCGGGATTTTAGTTCGTTAATTTGGTAAAATGTCTGAATAGAATATGAACTAATATGACAGCCTTCCCTGATCCATCCACGGTTTATAAAGTTTCTATTCTGTGGAAAAAAGGAAGTTTAGAGCAGAATCTAAGGAGAAAAGAAGGAGGGAAATGAGTCCGTAAAGTCTGCACGCATACTCAGCGTATGGGGATCGTACGTGAAAAGGGCCACCAAGGATACTACACGATGTTAAATCGTATGGTTAAATGAACGCGTTCATATCACCTGACAGTTGATGCAAACAAAAGCTTTATTGCTATAAATATTAACTGAAAAACTATGGAATATTAGTTGATTAATCACATTAAAAAGATCTAGTCAACAAAGCCACTCTTTTAAACTTAACAGTTTATGGTAGTATTTTTTAATATTTAGGCGGTTTATTAAAGTTTTCATATATAACCCTTTTAATTAAAATGATATCAATTTCTTTGAAATATATTATTCATACCTTTTTTGTTTGCACATTATGACACACATATCAATTTATGATAAATATTGATATGTTTTTTTTTAAATTTTAAATTTCAAACCTAAATGTATTCTTAAACCATTTCAATCCAAGCAATTGGCAAGCTGTCTTAGGGAAATGGAAAAGAGAATGTAAGACCAGAGTCCTCGTTTTAGTGTGGTTAAGACACATTCAAACATAAAATTTATGGTGTTGAATTACTGTAATTTTCTTATATCATTGACGTTCAAAACATGTAAGAACAACACAAATGAAAACATTTCATTAAGTTTTCTCATTAAGAATTCTTGATCTTATCTGAATTTTTGCAAGATTTGAGCTTCAGTATACGTAAGAAATGTGTTAATTCGCTATAAGATTATAAATTGTTTACAAGATTATTAGATCATTATATCACATGGTATCACATACCAGTTAGTTTGGTATACCAAAATACTAAGTATTTATCATAGAGCAATCAAAATGGAAAGGTTATTTTTTTAAATGTTTTTCTCCGTCTACCTTCGTTTATGATTATTTGTTTTCGTACAATAATTTGCTGGCTGAAATGGCTAAGGATCCTGTGTGACTGTTCATCTAAATTTTGTTCTAAATGTGAAAACGCAGTGAAGCTTGACAGACTTGGTTAAAGAGGTTTTACAATGCCATTCTAAATGAATCTAATTTTCTAATGAGCTGGCTAAGTCTTATCTCAAATAGTCACTCGGGGGAATAGCCACCAAACCATCAACGGACTGGCAAAGAAATTTTTCAAACATTACAATCTTTGCTATTAAGCGCGGACTTCTTCGGGACCTTTAACATCGCGAGCAGTGGCCTCTCTTGTTACTAGAGTTAATGCAGCTCAGCCAGTATTTCCTAGATAGAACAGTTACTCAAGTTCTTTCCTAAATACAGTAACCCTCGACGTGAAGTATGAACAGCTTTGATCTTTCAGAATGATTAAAGCCAGTATCTTTGCCATCTTATAAGTTGCATCCCACGAAATTCTTCAAGTATGCAGTTTCTCAGGTGGAAGAATGCAAATATTCCTGCGCGATTCCAAGAGGGACCGAAGTGCATGCTGGGTGGAGATTGTCCTTTTAAAGTCATTCATGCTCATAATTTTGAACTGTCAAACTGCATCAGCGTCAAGTTTTTCAATTGAAATACCTGCTACCGTTGCCCCGCAAAAGCCGGATTGGAAGAACTGGATGCGAATAAGAAAGGTTTTCACTTAATTTCATATTTTCCTAAACAGTTACTGTTTTTCCTTGAACAGTAAAACATTTATAGTGGAGAAAGCGGGAAATCGAAAGCTCTGTCTTTGGTAAGTGTTTGGTATTTGCTTTTGTTCTTCATAAAAATTGCAATATTCCTTATGCCTAAGCGCCTATCCAGAGATCTCTTTACATAGAACAAGGAAAACAAGATAGCAAATCGATTTGATTTTTGATAGTTATCTTCGACATGTGATTGCTTTTTCCAGAAGACCTTTAGCGAACCCTAATAAATCAGACATTGATGAGTGCTTTCGTGAAGCATGTAGGATGATCTTTTGATCACTAGATAATAAGAACATGTAATATTGCTTGTTTTATGCTCATCGCAAGACACATTTCTTTCTTGAAAGGAAATCAAAATATCATGCTTCCTTATGCCTTGTTCTTTTGAATTTTTAAGAATCCCGAAAATGAGACCTCGAACGTCAAAGTTTAGAAGCAATTGCAGTTATTTGAAACGAAAATATAATCTTGCCTTATTTTCAAGTGTATTCCAATTGTCTACCTATACAAGTGACAATTGATTCAATTTTTGTATGCAAACTTCTTCTTTCAGCCTTCAAAGGTAGAAAAAACTCATCGTTGAAAATGACAGTATAAGGGAATGCAAAAGATTAATTCGTAAAAATGAAGCCGGGGGATGATGGCATGAAAAAAATTTCAGATCAATATGAAAGTAAAAAGGCGAAGAGAAAAGTAGTGTGAGTTTTGAAATGTTTATGAAAGCATAATAACTCTTTACCAGATTGTTCTTTATTAGGTTCTTTGGTATGCTTTTTCCCGGTAGAATAATATTTCTTAAAACAACATTGAATCTTTTCTGCCTTAAGTCCTATTTGAAAAATATTTAAAAAAATAACTATCTATTTCAAATAACAGATTTATCAGGAAATTATACTAAATATTTCATCAAAAGATCAGGCGTATAGCACAAATAAAGTTTGTATTACAGCTTTGCTTGACAAGGTTTTGATTTTGAATTCATCATAAACATGAAGCATTTTTCTTGCAACTTCAAACGCTCTTTTGCTCTAGCAAGATCAAAGGAATCTATAAAGAATTTACGTAACAGTACTCTTGTTTTATGGACACTAGCTATAACTGAATCTGAGCAGTTCTCTTATATTTTGTAGCGTCAGCAAAAAGCAGTTCGTGCTTATTTCACTGACAACTCTGACTGTTCTCGCTGCCATTGCTGTAGCTGTTGCAATTACGCTCTACTGCTTTGGACACAAAAGGCATCACCATGGTGTGCCGCGGTCTCCTGATGCAGCTGAGCTGTACCACAATGGTGCAGTTGCTGCGGATTCCGTTACCTGCTCCGAGATAGGTAAGGCGCGATAAATTATTTTCCTCACTGAAAGTAACACATTTTAAAAGCAGTTGTGTTCATATCGCTGTCTGTAACTAATGATAAAGACAGCGTGTTTATGAAAATTTCGAGACGAATCGCGCTTCTCAAGGTTTTAAGAACTATTGCGTTCCTCCGTTTAATACTTCTTCAAAAATTTGGACGAATAGTAGGCCAAGCATAGCCAAAGCCTGGGGATGCGCGGTGCTTATTTCTCTTTACGAGTGTAGCATTGTGACTTGATAAAAATTGGGAGTGATAAAAATATAGGAAATGATAAAAATAGCAGAAGCAGAACGCTTATAACTAAAGTCATTTTTTTCGGACAATACATATCTCATTGCACGCCTATTGAACGTTGGGCAATGAAACAAAATAAACGGAAATTTAAGGCTTTGTTTAAAAAAATTCTTTTTCTTTAGGTCGCGATATATTGAAACAAAATGGCAGTGCAGTTGATTCAGCCGTGGCGACATTATTTTGCCTGGGTTTGTACAGTATGCATTCAACTGGGATTGGCGGGGGTGGCTTTATGCTTGTGTACACACGAAAAGGTAGAACTGTTGAAGCATTTGATTACAAACCAACAGCTCCAGGCAAGGCTCGGGAAGATATGTTTATGAATGAAGGGAACAGATCTTCTGTGGGTAAGACCAAGGCTTGTTTTTTCTCTTGATTTAGAAATCAGCAAAACATTGCAAGGTTGCAAAGTCTCGCTTTTTGGCCGTGAGACTCACAGACATTAACCTCTTCTCACAGTCTTACGATGGGAGTTACTTTTCTCACGGATTTCTTCCTGGGCCTCATTCTTCTTTCAATTCAGATCGAACGCCTCAGTGGTCGCTGAACACATTCCATTCCACTACATTGTTTATGACGTTCACTTGCCCAGACATGTTGCGCAAATGATTGTCAAGCGCGTTAATGTATCAGCATTATATATTATTATTGTTCATTGCTTCAATTGTATATTCTCACTATTAAAAGCGTCTGTGTTTTTCTGGAATGCCTTAAATGTGAAATAAACAAATGTTTAGGCACTCTGAATGGTTTAGTTTTAAGCCATTTGAGCACTCCAGATCTACTAAAATTCGGAATTCTTCTGCCCCCAACTCTGGACCCCAATTCCATTGTTCACTAGCTGCGCTCATGAATTCGCACAGGTATTTTTTTCCAAAACTTGGCAATCTTGCATTGTAACAATCCAAACTTGTTTGTTTTGTTCTAGTCAACCATCATCTTGAATACACAGCATTTAACTTCCTATTTGCAAACCGATAAACGTTACGATATTGCTTAAATATTCAATTTAGACATATCTAAAGCGTCTTAATAGGCCTTAAGACAAGCAATTGTTCAGGAAATTGGAAAAAAATAGTCATATTTTCGAAAATGCTGATAGAGGTTTATGCTGTTGCAATATACAGTTTCAGTTATTACTGTTTCTGCTATAATTTACCTCAGCATCTCATGCAAAATAAAAATTTTTAATGGAAATATTTTAACACGACTACTGCGCTCTTAACTGAAGATGTCTTGGTTGAATTTTTTCTAACCTTATCGCGAAGGTTTTTGAATGAATTTTGCAAGCTCAATCAACATTAGCAAATATTCGCATAATCTGCCTGTGTCGACAAATTTACTTGCAATGGACTACTAATCTATTGGTCCCCACTTTTTCAAACCACACAGCAGCAGATAATTATTACCATTTGCCTACATTTTGTGAAGCTGAAAGTACAAAAATCAAACGAAGGCTCTGCCTTTTGAAAATACATCCCGTGATTTAGGAAATATCTCATTTTAACCCCCAACGTAAGTTTGAATGAGCTCTTGTCATCGAAGATAGGTCTGAATCCAGCTTCTGTGTAACGAAGCATTGGAACATACACAAATATCCTTATGCAGCTAGCAGATAACCGACCGCTAGAAGCCCCGATCTAGTGACATAGCCAGAATCTGCTGGGAGATATGTAAAAGTTGGAATGAAATAATGTTGAGAAACAGCAAAAGGAGGCTTTGGTGTTGCAATGCTATAAGCCTTATAATGTAGCCAGAGGGCATGATCGGTAATGTTTATCATAGAATTGGAAGAGAGAGGTTGTGATGGTGTGCGGAGCGTTTCTCGCCAGAAAATCACTCCATTATGCTTATGCATAAGCAGATTACAATTCCAAAGTGGTTTTTCCCACCTAGGCATCTCGCTGCCAATGCCACTATGTCAAGATTAGACATTGCTTGCTAATTTTTCAATGTTAGTATTGAAATTGATTAATTATCTATGTTGATTTTTAAGGTGGTTTAGCAATAGCTGTACCTGGGGAAGTTCGTGGTATGTACGAGGCTTGGAAAAAGCATGGGAAACTGCCATGGAAAGACTTGGTACAGCCAACTATCAACATGACCCAGCGAGGGTTCCAGGTGCCTCAAAGAATGCACCAGGCAGCTCATATTTTACGATACCATGTTGAGTCAGACCCTGGTTTGAGGTAGGGACACGTTCTTAACCACGCTGTACAATTTTTTGTAATAGCTTTAAAAAGCAAAAGTAAACCTTAAGACAGTAGACCCTCTTTTAGTCATTTCAAGATTTTTATAGAACATTAAGCCTTTTATATCTATGGGAGCAAAATTTCTAGAATTTCAAAATATCACATTAATCTAACAGACTTTCAAAATCTTGCTTGACGGTTTAGGTTTAAGTCAAGCTTGACTGTTTACGACGTAGTCGAGTATATAAGATTGCCCTCATTGTATTTCATTTACCATATGAAGCAGACGTGTATGTACTGTTAACGAAAACACTAAATCAAAACAAGCATAGATTCTCTTTTAGCTTTTATACTTGTATTGTATTATTTTATATACAGAAAACTGCTTTTCAAAAATGGCAAAATTGTTGAACTGGGTGCAATCATAAAGGATCCTGCTCTTGAAAAGACTTTAGAGAGAATAAGGGACAATCCTGAAGATTTCTATACTGGAGCCCTGGCAGAGGACATTGTTAAAGATATCCAAGACGCAGGAGGCATTATAACATTAGATGACTTAGCAAATTACAAAGTTATAAACAGAAAGGCTCTAACTGATGAGATCGGAGATTTGACACTATACACTGTTCCTACTCCATCGGGCGGACCAGCTGTTACTTATATTCTTAATATTTTGAAAGGTAAGAGTAATGATGATTTCATTTGCTAGAAATACATCTGACCTGGGTGGAAAAGGGATAGAACACCCTCCTTAATTATTGTGTGTTGGTCTTAGAATCCACAAATCAGTTAAGTCAAATTGGAACGAAAATATTCTTTATCCGTGTTTTTGTAGATGAATTTTACTTTTCAAGATCCCCCGAAAGTCTTACAAATCAAGGTACGGCACTAATTAAAGCCTGTGTGCAGGGACGCCTTCAAGAGGAGCGGGTAGGCCTCTCATGAAAGTTCCTTTGACGTTGGCCTTCTTAAATTTCACGAACAGAGTTTGCGACTGCAGTGCCATATTTAATCAGTAAGGGTTGTTTTCATAACGACAATGTTTATGACAATTTTTTCCATATGCCAAAGGCTGGCCCATTCTAATATAACAAAAAAACCCAATAACATGCGCCAGAATGTTTTCTAGCTTAGCATTACAGCGGAGATCTGGTTCATGGTAGTTTTAGTCATTGGTGAGAAATTTGACCATAAAGAGGTATTTTCAATAGAAACAGTAAACAGAATGGTTCTCCTTATTCACGACGATCAAGAATACTTGAGCAACATCAAAAATTTATTTGAATCAGCAAAGGCATGATATATTACATGTAAACCTGTATGCAATATGTTTGAAAATCATATATGTATTTTTGTTTAAATTCTTGGTATTGTGAATGTTCATAACTTTTATTTGCTCTCTATTTCAGGATATGGTTTTTCCCAAGAAGACCTCAAGGAAAACAAAAAAGCTATTTTGTTATATCACCGTCTTGTCGAGGCAATGAAGTTTGGATTCGCACAATATTCAAAACTTGGGGATCCAGATTTTATGGAAGAGGAAGCTGTCAATAAGGTAAGGTTAAAACTTAGCTACCGCCGTAAAAATCTCCTAGTAGAGTGATCTAGATTCTAGCTCATGATACTTCAAATTAGTATCTTCAGTCTTCAGGCTTTGAAGTATAGACTGTTTTCTATCATTTAACTTAATTTTTAAGTCATTTATTTTCATTTAATTATATAATTGAGGAGTTATACATAAGCAAATCATGGCAATAAAACTCCCAAGACTGATTTAAATCCGTTTCTCTGTATCAAGCGATGTATGTTAATCTAATATTTCACACTGGAGTGATGTCATTGCTTAAAGAAGGAAATTTCACTTCATTTTCAAACTGTCAGAAGCGTTACGGTAGAAGATTATTTACTTGAAACAACCTTTGTTAAAAGTACAATGAATGACCAGTACGTTCCTTTAAATGTTAAGAAGCTCCACTGTTTAGTATCTGATCGTCACACTATTTAAATCAAATCTCACTATCCTAAGGTGTTGGAGACTGTTGATATTGTGTATTTATTACATTTTTTATTTGCTTTCAGCTAATGGATGATATGACAAGCCCGAAAGTAGGTCACACAATAAGAGAAAAAATAACCGACGAGTCTACACACGATGCGTCTTATTATGGCATTGACGTAGCTCTTTCGACAGATAAGGGTACAACACATGTTTCGATTTTGGCAGAAAACGGGGACGCGGTCTCAGCAACACACAGCATCAATTCGTGGTATGACAAATCAGTCTTAAGCTCCCTGTAAATGAGAAATGTCAAAGCGTGGTGAATTTGATCATATGTTTAGCTTATTTCCCCAGAAAACCACTCTCCTTCGTACAATCGTCTGCATGAGAAATCTTAAAGTGTTCAACCTGCTTTTGGAAATTAGATCCAGAATTGAAAAGAACAGAAATCTAGATGTTAATGGTAATTTTTTTAACCTGCAACAAATATAGGAATTCACAATGGCTTAAAAAGGAGAAGCAAAAGGCTCTGAGACCGAGAATCAGGAAAGCGGAAACACTGTCCTGCTTGAATCTAAGTTAGCCGTGTAAATCAACCTGGTTTATTTATCTCATGGAATAATCACTTTTGAAAATTGATTTTGTATGCCAATCTTTACCATGTGTCTAAGAAGTAATGGTATCATGGTGCTTAATATTAATCATTGTGTTGATAGAACCATAAAACCTTTCTAGTGTTTCAATTGCAGAATGGGTTGGTTTAAGAATAACCAAAAGTTTGGATAAATCGAGTTTTTGCTTGCACGATTGAATTGTTAGCTGACTAATTTCGCATTTTATCTACACAATGGTCTCCTCCTTTGTCTGGGAACATCAGTAAGACTACTAATTGATATGAATTTAGCGCTATCTATTGTTACTATCCTGCTTGGCAGGTGAAGCTAAGCCAGTTTAGATCCACAACTTGTTTACAAATCTTTACATGTCTTTTACTTATCACTTTGATTCTGATTTTTTCGATTTATTTCTTTGTCTGACTGCTTTTGAGAGTAACGATTTCAAACTTTTAGTTTTTAATGACAAATCAAAGGTACTCTTTTCTAGGTATGGTTCCTTCTTCAAATCGCCAACGACAGGAATCTTGTATAACAATGACATGGATGACTTTAGTACACAGGATACCCCCAGTAGGTTTGGGTTCCCTCCATCACCAACAAACTATATAAAGCCTGGCAAAAGACCAATATCTGCTATGGCACCATTTATACTCGTTGACAAGTACGGTCGAGTTAAAATGGTCCTGGGCTGCTCTGGGGGGCCTAGAATCATCACTGCTTCTGTCTCGGTAAGTCAGTCTCTTGTATTTACACACCTTGTTACTTTGGTATCAAAAATACAGGTCACCATAATTGCTGCGACATTATCAGCTTAAAAGTTCAATTTTCTTCAAACGGTGTTTGCCAATCAGCTCATTTTCAACATTATTGCTGCAACATTGTCACATTAGAAGATTTCTCGATATTTCTTGATGACGTCATGAATTGAATTTAGATAAGAGCGCAAGAAAATACTACTAAATGGATTTTTTTCGAAAAAGAAGGACTGCTTATCAAACTACTATCTCATATCTTTTCTACAAGATATCTATAACAAAGGAAGGCTGTTTCATAGCGTATAAGACGTTTTTAACCGTTGTCGATTTTATATCCCATTCCTCATAATTGTTTTAGTGTCCATTTGATGTCTTGGGAATATAAACAAAGGGTGAAAAGTATGACCATCCCTTAAATAAAAAGCATATTGCTGCAATATTTAAATCTGCTAGAAAGTTTTGCTTGCATGGCATTGATGTACTTTTATGCATTCAGTTGCAATAAATCACAACTAAGAGAAACTGTATGGTAAACAAGACTGATTTCAAAAATTTGTTCTCAGGTTTTGATGCATAAATTCTGGTTTGGAGAAGAGCTAGGTCATGCAATAACAAAACCGAGAATTCACCATCAATTGTTGCCAAACACAGTATGGGTGGAAACACACAGAGAAATACCAGAGTATATAGAAGAAGGACTGAAAAAGAAAGGACATAATTTTACACATCTCGAAAAAGAGGAAATGTCTGCATGTCAAGCGGTGTACTTTGAGGCAACGGGAGAGGTTTATTCTAAATCTGACCCTAGGAAATTTGGCCATTCGGCCGGTTATTAACTCGTTAACTATTTTCTAACAGTATAAGCGTCTTGCTTATCAGCATTATCTACTAAAATGCTGCATTTTTGTCACTAAATACTGCTGATCTAGAACGTTTTACGTAAGAACACTTTTGAAAGTAATTTTGAATTCTGCATAACAAAATGGCTGATGTTGCAAAGATGTAGATAGCATTTGATTTCACCTTTAGATAACGACAGAGTATTGATTATTCACATCTTATAGAAAATGTTCGATACATCGAGGATTAAATATTAAATGAAGCAAAACACAAACTGGGATGTTTTGAAAATATTTTCTCTTAAAACGTCATGCACCGAGTCACACTGTTATAAATCTTTATACTATATTATAAACAGAACGACTTTTAAAATGCCACAATGTTAAAGAAAATGCTTAATTTAAAATTTAATAGCAAGTTTATCAGGAGATAGAAGCTCCTGTTAAACTCGTGTTATCTACAAAAAACCTACCCATTAAACTCCTATTAACGTATTTTTTAAGTAAAAGCATGCTAAATAACAAACCTTCACACATTTACTTACTTTCATAGATAATCTTTATAAGCTTTTTTCAATATTTACCTGCTGTTTGATTGCATCGGCTGCCTGAGATTTACTTTTTACCAGGCTGCCTTCTTAAGTCATTGTACTATTTATTACCATAATCATTGTACCATAATCACTGTACCATTTATTACTAAATTCTTTGCAACTGGCAAGATGGAGATCGTTCTTTTTAGATTAAAGTCATCTTAATAATCAAGACTTTTCTACCTCACGACTTTTGAGTTTGTTCAACCTTTTAAAGCACAGATGCAAAGTTCATTATAATATATCAAGAACAGATTAAAAAAGCTATATTAAAGTTGTTTTGTCAGCTTTTCCTTTGAATTCAAGCCCAAGTACTGGGCTGTGAATTTCTGAGATGTGAATTTGCTTTGTGCTTCATTTCCAAACACGGCTGCTTTATTTGGATTCAGCGTTTTTGCATGAATCATTAGAAGGTTTTGTATCTTACTTGTGGAATTATGAGCTATGCTCTTATATTTGCTGAATGTGCAGAGCCGCCTAGAGTGAGGTCGAGCCCCAGGGCAATCAATGAGTGTAGGCCCTTGCTTGACAACGAATACAGATTCTAGAATATGACGGTCCGGGTTTCTGGGCACTTGTCCCGGCTACAACCCCTCCCCCTCTGTCGGTATTCCTGTGAATTTGACTGTTATTATTCTTGTATCTCTTATTACCAATCACTTGCAAAGGACATCATTTTGTTTTTCGTCGTGTGAAACTCGAAATGCATCTAAAAGTAACACTTCAGAGCCACGAGGACTGATTAACCATTGAAAAGGTAAAGGTGCTGCCTCCTTTAGACCTCATACTTTCTGCATACTTTCTTGAACTTTAAGTTAAGGAAATTCTGATTTAAGAAAAGAATGGCAATGCTCTGCTCGAAATTGTGTAAGACTATTACAAGCAGCTGGTTTGTCAAGTTACTTCTGGTATCATTGGACCTCGATAGTGAGTCCATTGCTCATAAAATCTAGCAGAGGCGTCTTGTCTTGGGGCTATCATCGAACGTTCGGCGGAAATTGTGTATCTGTTCGGCAAAAATATTTGTAGTTCATAGAAATTAAAGAAAGTTCAAATTAACTAATCAGTATAAGAAGGAAGGTAAAAACAGAAAAAGACAGTAACTCTTGTGGTTATTTATTTGACAGTTTCTCATCCAAATCTGTACATTTGTACAGGAAATGGCAAGCTTGCCAATTAGTATTACTGAAAGCTCAAGTGTGCAAAAAACAGGCTGCGATCAATAATGGGCCAAGAGAGGTTGAATAAATTTTGAGCTTGGCTGATTTGACACTCAGTTATGATGAAGTAATCAGCAAGTCTGCTGACACAACATTGCTAAAGAGACTTCTAATGCACTGAAAATCGCCCAGTTCGTTTCTTTAGATTCTTAATATATTCACTTACCTGTCCTATTGCGAGTTTTACTGTTCATCGCAGATACAGATTACTGATGATTATCAGATGTTCGAATTAGAAAATTTGCAGACTGTGCCCCCCTTCCTAAGAGTCACTACCCACGACGCTCCAGAAATTTAGAAATATTCTATAGCTTCTTGTAATGCAACACTAATAATAGGCGAGGCTATAGTTGAAGAGCTTTTGCTTCATACCTTGATTTTGTCGTGCGTGCCCTCCAATTTTTGGGACCTGACTTTCATAACAACGGTGCAGGGTTTCTTGTCGGGGTACCAGGTTGAAATCTTTGAAAGATGCGCAGGGGATCTGTTTCATGTCCATGAAAATTGCGTTTTTGCAAAAAGCACAGATAAAGATTTTGTGCGGCTGAGACTAATTACCATAAAAATACAGTATGTAATGTTTGGTTATACATTTCAGATAAAAACAGCTGAATGAATCATTGCAGCTGGATGAATCATTTTGATAAAAACTGCGCGGCTGCAACCGTGGCCGATAGTTGATGTGTGTGGACAGGGGCGTAACTTGGCCAATAGGTTTGGGGGGGGGGGGGGAAAAGGGTTTCTGCCCTGCAAAACTGACTGGTGCCCCCTGCGACCTCGTAGCAACGATTTGTCCTATAGGTACTAGTGAAAGCTTTACCAGTGTACACTGGTCTTTTACGAACGGACAACTTATAAAGCAATAGAAAAAATTGAAACTTCATTGCCTTGATAATAATCTATTTCTCTAACGTGACGTAATTTTTTTTTATATTCACTTCATTTTAATGTGGTTTGCAAAAAATACAGCTAATAAACAGCTAATGGGGGGGGGGGGGGAATACATGATGCAGACAGCGCAACGAAATTTAGCTCAGGGGGACTAAGAATCAAGTTTGGTGAGGTAGGAGGACCCACCGGTTGGGTCCGACGTGAAGAAAATTTTTGAAATTATACCTTCTAAAAGGGCTAAAAAGCATCTTTCAGACAAAAATTTAGCAAAATACTATTGTGCTAAAAGAACTGATTGTTTATTGAAAATATTATTGTTTATTGGAAAAAATAGGGAGGGGGGATATCATGCTAAAACTCTAGTGTTAAACGTTGGGGAAGGAAAGAAACGGCAACCTTTCGTTTCAGATTGCACGTAGTTGTGAATGACAGAGGAAGATGTTGTTTTGATTTGAGGAATTTTTCTTCCTGAACAGAAATGTGCAGTTTCTTGTATCGAGAAGGACATGTTTACACATCAAAAATTAAAACATTGCAATGTGACAGAAAATGATTTACTGAATTAATGCAAATGAAAGAAAAATGATAAAAATATACGTGAAAAAGTTAGCAATTAGATGAAACAAATTCGGTATCTTAACGATTTATTATGTTTTTTAGTTCATGCACTGTTAAAAAGTAATACAAAAAATGATAAAAAATTCTTATCTTGATCAAGGTGAGGGCCTTCAGCTCCCTATTCCCCCCAGTAACGCCGTGCCTGTCATGAAAATAATTTACAACTTAAATTAATTTGCATGGACTCAATTTTGCCCTCATAAACATATGCATCCATCATTGCATCCATTGGCTATGACTTTCGGTAAGAAATCCTTTCGCCTTGCAAATAACGGAGCTTTTATTTACATACCTGTTCCGTTCTCTAAAATACAATGTCAGGAAGGGAGGTTCATAAAAAATACGATATTTACATTTAAAAATTCCTAAACGGCCTTTTACGAACTTCAGAGGTGGCATATCTGCGTGACAATAAAGCTCTTCTTAGCGCCCTGCGAAATCTTCGATTGCCCTGCGAAATCGACTATTTTTTGGATTGGGGGGGTGTCACACTCCCCCACACCCCCCCCCCGGTATTTTCGCCCCTGTGTGTGGAGGATTTATCCCCCACGCAAGGCAAAAATTCCAATCTGGGTGGCATGCAGATGAATATTTTCGGCCTCCCCTCTTTCCCAGGATATTCATACTAAAATTCAGGCTTTATAAAAACTGAATGATCTAAAAAGAGCTCCTATTTCCAGCAAGTCACTACAGTGATGGCTTTTACCATAGAAATAGTAGCGCTACAATGGCCTCTCTGAACACATCACGTAAGCGAGGCTGATTCATGATGCCAATGTTTTGAAAGAACATAGAGGCAGATGTTCATTATCAGGAGGAGCAGCCAGGTGATAATTGATGACAAATGTGTTTGTAGGTCGTTATCCTTTAAGACCAGGTTAGTATTTCTCAGGATTCTTAACTTTATATTTCATAAGATCTCTGCTGTCTCATAGTTGTAACGTAATCCTTTCTTTTACGCGAATTACTAGCTGAAGCTTGATGTTTACAGCCTTGTCTGTTAAGTAAAATAAAATAAAAAAGAAGAAAAAAATTATGTTTATGTAGGAGAGTCCATTGATTTCCTAAAAAAGAGTTACTTCTAAGGAAAAATTGAAATTTACAATGATAACAACATATTCATGTTTATCTTATTTTATAAGTGTAAGTATCAACGAAAAACTAAACTACATTGTCCAGTTAAGTTTTGTATAATTGTGACGCTTCAGTATTGGTTGTTAAACTTTCCCTCTCTCAGCGCACTTTCTTATGCACTTGCGAAATCCCATTTTTAATAGTTCTTCTGGGTTATATAGTTGACACAGCTAAAACTGGTGCATGGACCCTTCAAAACACACCTTTAAATAACTGCATGTGCCTACTTTTTGCTTGCAAAATTTGCCACTTATTTCAATCCACCTCTAATGCATTACCATAAAAGATCAATAGGTATATCGTTGAATATTTAATGATGTTTATTATAAACTATATGAACATTAAATTTGAAGTATTGATGTTTTGGGTTCAATAATGTGGAATGATCCTCCCGAAGCATAAGAAAATTTCTGTCAATATGTTTTTGAAAACTTTTCATAAAAGTATAGTCAAAGTTCCTTATCACCCAATTTCCAATTCTTGGTAAGGAATAATAACACTGTGATGATAAATAAGTTCATAAAATGCAGCATTATAGCACTCTGTGAAATAACCCATAAAGCCTTCAGCCCCCGGGGTGGTTTCCTCTACTTGTCCTTGTACTACTATGTTTGTTCCTCTGTTCCTGAATTCCACAGCATATTCTGTCACAGCAAAATAATATGCTTATGGTACCTTTTTTTCTTTTGAAATGTAATTGTAATAGTAAAATTGTGAAAGTAATGAAAATTACTGTTTTACTTGTCTGTCATGTAGTGCTCTAAGGAGTAGTTTATTTTTGTGAGAATATACTTAAGTTAGAGTTGTATTTGATGTGAAAAAGGGTTTTATTGTAGAATCATTATTAGATGGAGGACAAGGAAGAAAGATTTGATAAAATTGTTGAGCAATTAGTAAAAAGAATATTTATTGATGCTTACCTGGATATTATAAGCAAAAAATTGGTTCAGAAGATATCAGAAGACTTAGAAAAGCAGTACCTTGAAGATGTTAATTTGCAAGGCAACCAGAGTCTTAAAGAACAAAAAGATCCCATGAGCAAGCAAGTAGATGATAGCAACAATAGTATTATGACTAAACAATCACTCAAAGAATTCAAGGAAAACAGTTTAATTTCTGAAATACAAAGCCCAGATGTAGATGTTAACAGTACTGCTGAAAATGTAAAGAAAGAGGAATTAATATTAGATGGCAAAGTTCAAGACAATGTTAATACAGTGTATGAGAATCAAAATAGGGATGAGCAGGCGAGAGCAGAAGAAGAAGAAAAATTCTCTAGTGAAGATGAAAATTTGAAAGAGAAAGGTAATAAATTTGCATTTGATTTCTTCATAATCACATCTTATTATGCCAAGCTTCTGCAGACATTTGTTTTTATGAAATAAGAAATAGCTATGAATTTAAGTAAATTGTACTAGGAACAGATAATAGATTATTGATTAATGAACTTTCAATTATAGCCCATTATCAAAACTAGCATGCAATCTAGTATATCATTTTTATAATTACCCATGAATTTTTCTAAATTATAACTATAGATTTAAGTAGTCTCATTGAGTTCTCAGATATCTTCGAAGAAGGGCTAGAGAGAATGGCTACAGATCATTATCCCCCTCACATCTTACAAAAACGGTATGACCCTGTCATCACCATTTGTCAGCTCAATATAAGCTCAAAATAAAATCGTTTTGTTATTTACCTCCCTATTAAAATCAGCCTTCTTCTAAAGTTGTTCCAAATTGATTAGAGGCTAGTTTAGGATTTATATTATATACACAGTATATGGCACAGGTGGCGCCAGATGGGGGGCTAGGGGATTCCAGCCCTACCCCCACTTTTTTGCAAAAAAGTGTTTTTAAGAGAATAAAAAGAATAGAAAATATAGAAAAAGAAGAGAAGAATAGTTTGATAAATCCTTTTACAGCATTCCTTAATTTTCATGGAATAAGCAGGGGTCTATAGTGCCTCATAAAGTAACAAATGCCATTTTAAGACTGGAATTAATTAAACATAAAAACAATGCCTTAGAAATAGCAAAATTTTTGCAAAAAACAATATTCTGTAATGTATTTTTAGCTGGTCTAGAGGGCATGGTTGTAAAAATTCTCTGCTTGCTTCGCTTGCAAGGAAGCCTCATCTTTGGACATACCTAAGGACTTTGACAACCTCTCATCTGCCTTCCAATGTACCGCTAGCATAGCGAGTGCCCCCATAAATCATAGGCATAAACATTGTGAATGCCTATGATAACATATTGCGTTTTTCAAAAGTTGATTTTTCATGAGTCAAGAGTTCTTGATGCCAGATGACGCATGCTTTGATTTGTAGAACATGAATGCTTTGCCATATTCCTTATGACTGATATGATGTGTCCATTTAGGCTTTGCTATTTGGGACAGGGTGAGATGAAGCTGGAACCATGAGTTTCATTGTTAATGCTTTATGAAGCTCAGGATTGCAACTTAGAAACCATCCTGTTCTATAAAAAAACATGGAAAGTTCTGTCTGCATGAATTTTAGCATTTGAGACGTTTTGTATATGTTTGTACTTGAAAGCCTTATCACTCAAATACCCTTGTTACAGAGCTTATTCATTTGGAAAATGATGATGATCATCCTAAAGAAATCCACAATAAAGTAAAAGTTGTCTGCTCTACTCCAGTGAAGAAGAGTACGACCAATGTCCAAGAAGTGCAGAAAGATGGGAATACATCCTTGAATCCAAACTTATCATCCAATTTGGCTGTAATGATTGGTGATCTGAGTAGCATTGGCAATGACATATATGCTGAAAGCATTTCACTGCTGAGTCTGCCAAGGCATGACAGAATGGAGGTTGACAAAGACGATGGTTCAAACACGCCAAGGCCATCAACACTGTCCCTTTCTGACTTGGATGACGCATCTATGGATTCTTATAAACGCATTTCTAGTCACCATGATACAGTGTTAGCAAGGTACTTATTGGGAGTGAATTTGTATAGATATTTGCTAGAGTTGAATCTGAAAATTTATAGATCAAAACACAGGACAATATAAATCTCAAAAGTTTGATTGAAGATCTGTTAAAATCCTATATGTCATTTTGATCAAAGTCTGTTTTTTCAAACCTCTATTCAAAAAACTTACTCCTCCTAATTGAATTTTTATATGGCTCCAGAGAATTGGTCCAGAGAATTTTAAAAGGATTGGGTCCAGAGAAAAAATATCTACTTTTGTCACAAGTGTTTTGAGATTTTCAGTTTTTCCCATACGTTAGATTATGTTCTTACGTTTTTTCTCGTGTTTCTCTTATTTTGGTGCCAGATGAAAGAATCCTCTGATAGGTGTTAGATAAAAGAAAGCTTTATGTGTCTATGCAAAAAATCTGCGCTTTGTCATTGGAATAATCTACTTATGCTCTTCATGCAATTCCGCTTTAGCTGCAATCAAACGATATTTTACTAATATTTAGATTACAAATTTTATAGTTTGGTTAACGATCAGACAATCACTAGTGAACACGATGAAGCTGTTAATCAATTACAAAAATGGTATGAAAAAGAAATTCGACGGCTCCAGTTTGAGAAGCAGGAGATTGTTGCGTTAACAAGATCTCCAAAAAGCAATGTCTCTTTGATGAGGATGAAGTATTTAGAAGAGATTAAGGTTGATTTAGAGGAAAGATGCCACCAGGCGGAGAGACGGAATAAGCAGCTTACATTAGAGGTTGATCGACTAAGCCGATCCTGTTTTGAACTGGAGAGGAAAGTAGAGCTCTTGGAAGCCGACAAAGCTATGCTTCAAGAACGCAGTTTTAAGATAAGCCAGGACAGGCAAAAATCGATTAACGAAATAACGATTCTGCAGGATCGATTGGGGGAATCAATCAGGTTTGTGTGATTGTATTGATAAGTCGTTTAAATGATAGATTTTGTTTGGATATATCTATTCAGATCAGTTAGGCACTATTTATTTCAGACAGGGGGGATCGGTTTTGCTTCGTTTTTGAATTATTCAGAATGTTCAGCCAATATTGAAGGGCCCAAAATTCTTTTTACAAATATGTAGAAATGACTCATACAGAGGTATTGTACAAACATGTACAAACTAACACAGTCATGGGAAAGAGGCAGCCCGTGATCATTTTCAAACTCCGTACATCTACACATTGCAATTTACATATAACGAATATTTGTTCCTTGATCTGCAAACGTTTTGGTTGGAAGACCCTCTAGAGAATTGAGAGCTGGCCCCCCTGTCCCCTTTACCTAACTCCTGGTTATATATCTTTGCCAAGTGACATGATAAGAGCTGATAAAGCAACCAGCTTTTTTATTCTATGCCAGTTAATTTTGCAATAAAATGTTCTAGTTACTGTTTTTAGACGAACGTTTTCGATACCCATTCATCATTATACCGAATTTCCTGTCTCCAAGCTTTTCTTCCTCTATAACACTATTATTAAAACTCCTACAGTGCGTGATAACTGTACATGAATCTTTTTAATGGTGAATTGGTGGCAACTATGCCAAGTCAGCACTAGAGATATGTTTTTTTTGTAAATAGGAAATTCTTATTCAAGTTTCAATGTTAAAAATACTTACCTTATTGACTTGCAGTTCTCGAAGGCTGCTTGAAGATGAGATTATCCGCCTTAAGCAAAAGGAGGTTTGTTGGTGTTACCAGTTTGTTTTTCCTTTGAAAAGATAGTTCCCTGTTGTTTCAGATAGTGAATTGTGGATGTTCCTAGAAGAGCAAATTGTGAGCTACTGGTATTTTCCTGGACTTTTTCCAGAAAGAAAGTGATCTTTGTAGTACACACACAGAAATGAAAGAAATAACTCTTAAATCATCCTAAGCCAACGCCAAAGGTTCTAATATGAATAAAGCTGTTCTTCTAGAACGTCTGATACATTTGATTAGTTTAACTTAAAGCAAATGTTTGCTTGTTCATATGTTAGTATAGCTGTAAGAATTGAATCCAAAATATTTTTGCTTATACTGAGAAATGTTAGTGAACATTTAACTAACATTTAAGAATATGGGGGATTTAAAGCTTAGAAGTGCTAGGCCACCAACACATTGGCACAGATCGTCTGAGAAGATAATGGCTGAGAAGAGAATAGTGAAGGATAATGCGCTATACAGGAAATATGGAGGTGGAGGATCAAGAGGGGGAGCACCGAAGAAGACGCTGGCATTAGCTGGTATTCTACTATGAGTAGGCCTTTTAATGACGATGATGATTGAAGCCTATTCTCAAAAGCTCTCTCGACGCTGTAAAAACAAGCTCAAGCTAGTCCTAGGTTTGCTGGACTTTGGGTTTGATGGTATCTCAGTTTTAATCGTAGTTTGGTCAAGGCTTTTGTCCGCACTCCCAAAAAGGCCTTAAGATTTTGTCTTTTTATTGAATTATTCTTTCTTTTTGCAGTTTTCTGCGAGCTCAAGGCTTGATGACAGTGGCACAATGATTAGCGAGCTTCGAGAGGATTTACAAAGCAGCAAGAAGGACTGTGCTGATAAGGAAAAGATTATTCTGAACATATCATCTCAAAAAAAGGAAATCCAGCAGAATTTGAACGAAGCTTTGGAGCAGGTGTGAAGCAGTTTATTACATTAAATACAGGATCTACCTTCCTAATTTCATGGAAAAATGATAATAGCTCGTGTTCTAAACAACAGCTTTAACTGTACATGAAGTGAATCAATGGAGACTATTTTCTAAAAGATTTTTTGGTTTTATTTGTTTTCTAAAATATTTTCAGTGCTCGAAATGACTATGATTTTCGTTATTATATTGAAAAACGTATGACAAACGAAATTCCTATTGTTCATAGACATTAAGAGATTAGGCCTAGTAATAACGTGAAAAAAACACTTTGATAGTGCTTAAGTGCCAGGAACCCGATTTCGTTGGTAGAAGGCTATTTATGATGGCTGGAGTTTGACTAGGATATGAGTTTTAGCATTTAATATGAGTTTTAAAACGCTATGGCTTTAACTTTATTGCTTTCTTTGTCTGCGAATATGTTTATGCATCAAGCCCCGTTCTACAGTTCTACACCAATCTTGCAATTTTTTACTTACACTTAATCCACCAATCTTCTTTTGCAATGCAATCGTGACATGTGAGCCTTTTCTGTCTTGTAGATCAGCCGACTTGAAGATGCATCATCTCAACGTGCAAGGGAAAAGAATCTTTTTCATAAGGTAAATGGATCTCAATCAAAATCTTCATACTTCATTGCGAAATATTTCATTTGAAACTTAAGATATTTTCTGATGGGTATATCTGACAGCCAGTTTTTGTATTCATACAGTACTGACTGTTGACTGCATCTTCATTAACTGCATTTTTATTAGTTCCTTTCTTATCATTATGTTTTATAATTTTCAGCTTTTAGAGGAGTACGAAATTCTCTACAACCAGCATCGCAGAATTAGGGTAAGTAATCACAACGTCTTTTATTTTCGACATTTTCTAAGATATCTTTTTCGTTTTGAATACTATTGATAGAAATTCCAAACATACTTTTCTCTCAATTTGATATCTTCCAATCTCATTTGCTTAACGTTTTGACTTTTTAGGACTTGTATAATGAGGCGCTGCAGAAGCTGGATGAAAATATTGAAGATGACAATTTCAAGAGAGGGTTAGCAAATTTTCATAGCTCCAATCCGCAATACAGAAGTGTTACAAAGCTTTTAGTTAATTGCATTTTTGAGATACTACAGGAGTAAAAAAATGTTTTGAACTTATTTCATTTTACCTCATTTTTCATAATTGATAATCCAGCCTCGAGGTTTGTTTACAAGAACACTACCACAAAAAACACATCAATGATGAAAAATGTTACCGAAAATAAATACTGAAATTAATGCTAGACTTGATCTAGGTAACAAAAATATAAGTAGATTCTCAGAAGCAATAAATGCGTACCTCATACCGTCGACATAAGAAACAAATCCTCACTGCAAACGTATCATAAAAATCATGGTTAGGCATTTTACGCCGTTGTGTAATTTTTCTTCGATTTTTGAGCATGCAAAGCAGGTGATAATTATATAAAAATATTATCTTTTAATGTTGTTGCAGACTTTTGCTGTTTGTTTTACCTTCACGTGTTTTTTGTTTTGCTTATCATTTGTGTATACAAGTAAGAGGTATTTGAATAAATCATTTAGGCCTAGAGATTTACCAATTTCATCAATACAGGCAACTTTTTGTAAAACATGCCCAACTTTTTTCCTTTGAAGTTTTATAATGCCGAGTAGCTTGACTATGGCTTTGATTCTTTCGAAGTTTTATATTCTTTATCTTTTAGCACGCCAAAAAGCGGCTTATCGCTTAAAATTCCGTCGCGAAACAGTTCTTTAAGAAAAAAATGGACCATGTCGCCAACATCACCATCAATTAGAGAGCAAGATGACAGTCAAAGTTCTCCTAAAAAAAGTAATTTTTGAATTTACTTATGTTTGTGATAGAGGTGTGGTTTTTCCCTTTCAGTTGTTAATGATCAATGCATTATTCATTTGCTCATTTTATGCAACTGCTAATTTTGAAAATATCAGAAACTATGTGACAGGTACCAGCTATTTTTTAGTTGGTTTCTTCCAATCTCAAAAATGTACCCTGCTTGTGATGAAGATTGCATTTGCTTTTAGAGCTTATTTCTAGTTGCTTAAGATTTTATAGGCTGAAATTCACACCATTTAGACAATAATTATACTTGCATTCAGATACCGATGTGTCAAGAAATCACAGGCATGATAATAGCCTTCTTGAGAACCATCACATGAACCGGCACAGTACTGGAAGCATACTTGCTTGGGAGACAGCTAGTGACTACAACAACAATAGTACACTTCAAAATGATAATGGCAGTGAAAGAGATTCTAGACTAGGAAATTCATCTCATACGAGATGGTTTGAAAAGCGTCTCTCTTACAATGAAAAGAGCACCGAGCGGCAACATGATGATGAAACAAATCGGATTGTCCATAGCAATGAGACACATGGAAGTTCCAGGAAGCAAAGGGATTGGGTTGTTCAAAATATGAATGGTATTACAAGATTCGATGTGGTATTTTCACCAACTAAATCGCGTTACCAAGAAGCTGAGAGGGAGTATACTCAAGGTAGTCTTTCCGAATCTTGCATTTACTTATATAGATCTGATCTTTTATAAGCTGGTATGGAGTCGCTGAATTCTCTCAGTTACCAGTACATAACCATACTGCATGTATTTTCTTCTCAAATATCTTTGGAAAATGTGGACACCTCATTGATACTATTTACTCTGTAGGGCGTGGGTCGTCGAGGAATGATAGCGAGCAAGCTCATGTCAACAAAGAACACGATCTGGTAAGTTAAAGGTTGCTTTGATCAACAATATTTTCAGAAACCCTGTGCTAAAAGATGGAAAGTCTTTGTTTACTGATTTTTTAGTTTACTACTTTGCAGGAAAAAAGAGATGATAGAGTTGTAGATTCCTCAGCAGAGATATACGACCTTGAAAATGATCTAAAAAAGCTTTCAGCAGAAAAGAACGAGGTTTGTTATGATATGACTTGTGATAATGAACTGAAATATAAGCCGGTTTGTTTTTGTTTTGGTATTTAAATGTTGATTTTGCTGTTAATGTTGCTTTTGAAGCTGTAAACTATAGGTGGATGAAACTGTATAACTGCCTGTCAACCAAATCCGCTACCGTTTTCACACTGAACCTCTAAATCAATTTATAATGATGATTAAAATTTGAATTAAAAGTTACCTTAAATAATTCATGTTTTCTTTATCTGCTTTTTAAAGCAGGATTAATTTTTCAAATTTTCTTAGTTTTGTAACTATTTTTGCTTCCAAGGTTTTGTTGATTTGTTTGGATATTTCAATTCTTGTTTTATCCAACACTCTTCAAAGAATGATGTTTTGATCAGTGCACGTTTTTTATATAAGAGACAAGCATATAAGAAACATGAGGCTCAGATTGCCGAAAAATTAAGAAGCTTTTGAGAAACATAACCAGGCTTAAATCAAGCACTAAATAAATAGTTTTTGTACCATGCGATAAAACCTTAGATCAAATACAGTGACAAAATAAAATTGATAGTTGTAAAGAACAATTTAGAAACAGAAGCTGACATTGGGGATAAGTTTAGAGACACCGAGGCTGAATACGTGGAGCATGTTTCTTTAATGAAATGAAGTAATTGTGTCGTGTAGAAATATTTAAAATGCAACCCTGGAGTTGGAAAATGTAGTATACATTGAGCCAGGTTTGTACTTAAAGTAAAACTTATTTCCATTGCAGATTGAATCACAATTAAATAGAATGCCAAGAAATGGTTCTGGTAGAGCACGGCGTTCAAATGCAGAGAAGCAGGTTTGCTCCTCTTTCACTGATGTATTTCTTTTTCACATTAATAGCTGTCTAAAGTCTTCTTTTTGTTAAATAGTCATATTTTTGCAGTTTTTTTTAATTTTGTGAGCGCTGGTAGAGGAAACTTTAGATCCAATGTAGGTCTTGCACACAAGCCTTTATTACCTTGATTATAAACTTTTTGCAGCATGTTATTGTTTGAATGGTTGTTGACCTTGCAATGCCTAGCTCCTATTACAGCTAATGCCCCGTACCTACCAGTGTACGACAAAATTATAGATAACTGAACGGCTTTTTTGCTTTGCATGCTTTTCCTAAAACATTTTGCTTATGAATTACTTTAAGTGTGTTTAAGGGATTCTCTTCCTTTTATGCTCTAGGAACTTCTTGAGGAAAGGCTAGACGAAGTTAATAAATATATTGGAAATATAAAAATGGCACTAAGGCGACACAAAGCACTCTAGAGTCTCAGTTTATATAATCGAGTAAATTATTCTTTATCAATATATTGATGCCATCGTAGCTTAGAGTGTATTTATTATGATGCTATGGCAAAGGAAAAATTTATAAAGAGAGTTTTCTTTGTAGCAGTGATGTATATTAGGTTATGAAAACTTAGTTAACTTTTAGGTTATCAGAATCGAAACTATAATGTTTTTTTGCCAAATGTGAACACCTGAAAATGTGAATTGATCTAGTTGGCTAACTGACAGTTTGCTGTTTCTTAATAATAATAGAGTGACATCCCTATTTGCTACTAGGGTATTTTATTGATATTTAATCGATATACATTAATTCAATCATGCAAGTTTTCATATTGTAACAATATCTAGTTAAATTTGTGCATTCTTCGCACTACACAGTCTATTTTTCTTTAGATGGCCACACCCTATATCCAATACTTCTGTATGAAAATATACATTGAAAGGTACTATATAACACGAGGTACCGAAAATAATCGGTTTCTTATTCATTTCCAATAATACTTACTTTATCGTACAACTGATACATCCAAAAAATTAGTATTAAAGATTTCCATTTAGCTGAGAGTAAATTTTACATATAAACTTTGTTTGATATTTTCTGAAATGATACTTTTAATTTTAAGTATTTATTGACCATACTAATTATAAACTTGGTTTTTATATAATTCCAAATGGAAGGTTTTAACTATTCAGCACAATATTTGTTTTGTATATTTTGGTATGGTTACACCAGAGGACGCATCAATAGTTTTAAAGACATATAGTGAAACGGCTAGAATTATATTTTTATGTTTCTTTAATGCACGCAGTATGTTTTTAAGTATTTTACATTTAAGTATTATGCCTTGGCATTTTATTGGATTCTTTAATTGAATTCGAGTGTATTGTGGATTTATCAATGAAGATTGGGCCTATTTCCTTACCAATATAACTGTATTTTTTTCGACCATAATAAACTGTGCGCAAACAATGGTATCGTTAGCCACTCGTGCATACTCTATTTATAGTTATTTGCAACGATCAAAATGTGTAACATGGTATCACACACGAAGAGGCGGATTGACTTGTGGGTGCCCTACGTAATCCCCGATCTTGGTGCCCGCATTCAACAATGTCCTATTCCTTTAACATTATTGGCCTGCTGCAGTATTTCAGAAAATATGCACGCCTGTATGTTTTGATATCAAATGTATGTATATTTTCAAAATATGGGTGGTGGAATGAGCTGCAGAAGCTGCAGCACGGTCAACTTTTGACTAAGCAAACACTATCCTATTTCATTGATTAATCAAAATGTCTCAATGGCAGTCCCCCAATCGTAAGTTCCTCCCACAGATTCAGTACAAACAAGCCACGATATGGTAACATTTAGGCCACCAAAATGCATTCCAACATCTAATCTAATAGTTCAAAATTTATGTGTTTCCAATATCCTTGACCTGGAATGCATTTTTCTACACTTCATTCTCGCAAAGTCACCTTTATCATCCTGGAAATCAATACTTCTCAGAGTGTATGCTTCAACTGCTATTAAACACAATGAGCCGAGCCTTTCTAGAAGTAAAGCTGATCTATGTATTTTGGGTTTGCACACGTTCCATTTGCTAAAATGACATCACAGTTTGTGATCATTAATGTTAAAAATGTTCTAATGGCCATTTCAAAATTTTGAAAAGCAGTTTCTTGTTTCTCTTCTGTAGTTGTATTATATACTCCAATGTGAGTATTATATACTCCAATATGTTATAAGTTTTTTTGAACCTATGAAAGACATGGTGGATTTTAAGATATTGACAGATGCAATCGAAAGCATGACGTTGCATTCAAGAAATATCACACAAGTAGTATTATGAAGATAAAATTAATAACTTTATCAAACCAAGTTTTTTATTCTATCTTGGTATTATGAAGCACAATAAACGTCAAATTTTATTTAGCAAGGGCTTAGGCCAAAGTGAATAAAGTTGGGGCAAGATCAAATTACATACTCCAATCAAATGATTTCACAAAAACTTTATGATATTGCAAAAAAAGGGACCATGCCCATTGAAACTTCTTTCAACTCCCTTATCTGAGGACCTGTGTAGTGATCCAATCTTTTCCACTTTGAGAGAATTTGTCATCAGACAAGTTTGCCTTAGGCTGCAAAAGAAGTAAGTCTGTAAACAATTGAGTTATCCTCTGACAGCAGAGCAAATCGATAGAGCTTTCTTATAATTAATTTGTACTCGTTTTATCTATTTTCGCACAAGTCTTCATTTTTTCCAGGTTTCTCAACTTGGTAGGGCCCCATTTTGACCGTGATGGCAATTGTATTAAAATTTCCTCTATTTTGCAAAGTCTGCACGAAGGCTAGTTGAATTTATTTTGCCCTTTTAGTGGTGCAATTAATCCGCGCACAAAAACCTGGATTTTAAAAACCAGTTAGGCTAAAATTTCAAATTTAGGTTTCCTCTACCTAAGAACCTATCCAGGCTCTAATTTCAAGTTAGGTTCTTACCAGTGAAGCTGCTGTAAAGTAGAGGTTTCTAGGTAAAAAATGCTCAACAAAGTATCTGCGTATATCTAAATATAAATGGCAAGAAAATTTTTCTTTAAAGCCAAGAGACAAAAATGTGTCCAGGTTTTCCACATGCATTAACCTTGTCTGTTAACTGACATTTCAGAGATTTTGCTACGAGTTTGTTTGAGTATATATTTGTTTTGTTAGATCTGTGCTTTCTTTAAGTATTATCAGAGTTAATTTTAAGGAATTTTTATCACTGCACATATTCAAAATTTTTGAAAATTTGGGTGTCACCTTAAGAAAATTTCATGACCACACCCATCAAACTAACTTGATTATGAAAAATCTCGATAGGTTTTAGATAATGAACAAATTTCAAAGAGAATTCATAGATTATGATCATTGTTACTGTTATGTTCTCGTTTTTGATATTGTAATGCTCTTTTATAAGCTATATGTGTCTACTGGCAGTTGCTTCAATTTTGCTTTTTCATTGCCAAATCTCTTTATTTTAGATTTATCACTGCACAAAACTTGAGTTTATCACTGCACAATAATGATTCATCACTGCACCAATTGGGTATCACTGTACGTTAAAATAAACCCTGGGTATTATATTTCTGCATGATAGGGAAAGTATGATTTTGCCACAGTAATAAAAGAACCTATTTTAAAAGCCTTGTTAGCCTAAATTAACTGTAAGTCTAAGCACCATTCATATAAGAATCTTTCTAGGTTTATTGAAAAAAACTAGGATCTTATAAGCGGGTTTTTACTGCATTTAACAGCGGCGTCCCATCAACTTAGAAGGCCAAAATTAAAAGAATCTATAACTTCAAAAAAATCCCTAGATAAAATTATTAGAATTTTCAAAATCGATAAATGTATTATTACGTTTTTCACATTTACTCTCAACCTCCCAAAGAATAACTCACTTATCCGTGTTGGAATCGAGGTGTCTTCAGAAGCTATTTTGGAAATGAGGCTAATCAACTTCGCGGGAAAGAAAATTGTAGAGAATGGTGAAAGAACATATTTTTGGAATATTTCCTTGTCTAGGAGCTCTCCAAGCAAACAAGCGGAAGATATACAAATTGATAACGAAAGATGCGTTTCTAAAAAAGTCAATTTTGTCAAAGTAAGCTAGCTAAGCACAATTTTTTTCTTAACATTCTATTTTTATTTGATAAGCTAGGCTGTCAAAATCTCTAATACAATTTGAGTTGAATGAAGTAAAATTAAGTTGTTAGAATTTAAACTGAGAACTGTTGCCCCGTCCTGATCTACTATCATTTTTCTGCAGAACTCCACAATTCTTCAAGAGCTGATATTTGTTCAACTCTCGCCACCCATTTTCATCAACAGAATTAGGCTAACGGGAAGACAAATGATCAAATCCATAAGGCTTAAGCTTCTCAGAAAATTTAGAAAAAATTACAGTGTAGTATTAGTGTTATTGTATCATCACACCACAATTAGTTTTGTTCATTGGCATGATTTTAAATTAAATATTTGAATGCTTTTGATAAACAAGAAGTTGTGACATCATTGATGATTCTCACAACATGCAATTGCTTCATGTGTTGGTGAAATGTTTAATAATTTTTTTGGAATTTTCATCTTTTATAGATCAGATAAAATAGCATTTATGATAGATGTAGCAAAAGAAAGAGATTTGAAGGTTGACTTCAAAGAAAAAGCCTACATTGATAAACTTGTTGGTAGCAGGCCACATCAGGTAGCAGCATTTTGTAGTTTGTGTAATATCTGAATTTTTTGTATTGTGTTAATATCCATTAGGATGGACTATCAATTAAGAATATTTATCGTGTTTGAATATTTGAGACATTATTCAGTTGAAAATATGAAATGAATGTTTTTTTCTTTTTATGAAAATACCTTGCAAAAATAATTTGCATGATTGAAATACAATGATTGTGTGTGTGAATGTCAAGTTTATCAATCTTAGACTAAAAAAGACAGGAATGCTAAGATTCTTCATCCATTTAATAATAAAAAATTTGTCTAAATCATTTGTTTAATAGTTATTTTTTACATTAAGATCCATAAGGTTTTGAAGATAAATTTCAACCAGCTCCTTTCTATACTGGAATTCAATCTGAATTTAAAAAATACAACAATTTTATATGCTTAATTTTGGCTCAATAAATGATGTATGAAAAATAACAACAACTTATTTAACAATGGTTTTTTCTTTATTTGTAGAATATTGTTATGCAAGTGTCACATCTTACCCATGAAAAGTTAGATATCAACAAAATGAAAAATACTTCAAATGAATGGTTTGTAGAAAGACACACACACACAAGATAATTTTGACTTTTGAAACTACATGAAATAATTTCTTTCAACTTTCTGATATCAAGTCTTCACTAGTTTGTTGCTTTTCCTTCAAATTATATTGGTTTATCTCAAGGATTCTAAATTGAAGTTCTTCAGCATCTTTCTTGTTCTCTTCTGTAAATAATATTTATTTTTATTTCTTGCTTAAAGCAAGGGTCTTGCAGTTGTTCTAAATTTGGAGGCTGGAGTTTCCTAATTTTTTTTAATTTCATGATCTGGGACCGAAGGAGACCTAAAAGTTCATGTTTTAAACTGAAAGCTACTGCTAGAAGGGCCAAGATTCTGGTGAAAACATGTCTGATTGTAACTTTTTCACAGCTTTTTATTTCAAGGCTAATAAGAAGAATTATACATCTAAACAGGAGTGGACAACCCCTGGCACTTTTGTTTCGAAGTTTGTTTGGGTTTCAAAATTTTGCATCATATGCACATCTGCAGCCTGAATCGATGATATTTACCCCAAATGTTATTTACTTAACAATTAATTCACATTTCGACTTGTTACTGGGTTGTTCTGCTTGTTATTGGGTTGTTCCGCTTGTTCCTTGTTTTAGAATTGGCAGTTGCTTTTCTCAGTTCCTCTTTTTGCAGTTATGATTATTATACCCCTATCTAGCAAACCTATTCTAGAAAGTTGCAAAAAACCTACCTGCCTTTATGATTATTTGTTGATGTAAGACAATGTTATTTGTTTTTCTTATAAACTTTGGCCCACTTGAAATAAGGTCTGGAGCAACCACGTAGCTGTAGATGTTGGCTGGAGGGGGGGGGGGGGGGGGGGGCAAACTCAAGTAAGAACCATGCCTGATGAGGGCAGGCTTTAAAACAAGAAAACAGATATATAACAAACAGATATATTTGGACTAAATCAAGGTCATGGAATTATAAATATGCCAAATTTTCAAAATATCATTTGAAAAAACTGTAGCCAGAGGGGGCAAGTTGTTGTCAAAATTTTCATTTAGGGGGGCTATTCATTTTCATTTTCATTCAAGAGAAAAAAGCTATATATAATTTTTGTAACTTTTGTTTTTGTGTTAAATGTCTTCTGATCAATATAATATTTTTATCCATTTTTGATATATAAAAAGTAATAATTAACAACTTTGTTAGTTTGCCATAAACATGAAATATGTTTCAGGATGGAAGACAAGCATTTTCAAAAGCAGTTATGGATTGCATTGGATCAAGTACAGGTTTAGAGTATATTTAGTTTGTTGATATTCTTGGTTTAGAATTTTTTTTATTTGATAGGTGTTTGCCAGTTTGTGACTTTTAAAGTGTAATGAATTGTATTTATCTGAACTGTGTAAACATGCAATATGACAAAAATATATAAATAATTTGGGGTTGTGTCATTGATTACTTTCAGAAGGAATTACTTTCAAATGTCAGCTCTTCTGGAAGGTGGTGATCCTTTCTCACAACTTTTCATCTCAACCATTTTTTGAATCTAGGACCCAATGAATTTTGGTGCTGTTCTTCGATCTGCTGCTTATTTTGGTGTTGAGGGTATCATTGCAACTGCCAAGAACTCGTATGTCATTTTCTATTGTCTACCTATTTACATTGAAAAAAGGTTGAGTATGAATTGAACAGTTTGTTGACAAAGTGTATGTAAAACAGAAAACAGTACGTTTTCTTCAATGAGCACAACATACAACTACTCTTGCTTGTATCATGTATTCAGTCAAAATACTTTCTTTTTGCAAAATTTTACTTCCAGCAGAATTATTGGTATACACAAGTCCATATTACAAATTTCTTAATCAAGATAAAGTTTCAAGGATAATTTAGAAGTTTCTGGCCGTTTTAAAGATTTTGATAATCAAATTTGCCTCTAATGATATTTGAGCCAGTTTTGAAGGCCACAAAACATTCTTGGAAATGCATATTCGAACAGGCCCGAGGCCATAGAGGAGCTGGAAAGGCTAAGCCCCGAGGCCAAAGGGGAGCTGGACAGGCTAAGCCCCTAAATCCGATAAATATCCCCTCCAATCAGAATCCAGCCCCTCCCCCTACACAATTACTTCTTACGTCCCCCTCCCAAAAAGAACGAAACCATTTTTTGTTAACAATACAGAATTTTGTATGAAATGTTTAAAAAATTGGAATGTGGACGTGTGTGTGTGATAGGTTGTGCTCCTTCACAGAGACACTTTATGACCTTGAAATGCAATAAGTTATCTGTAAGTACAAAACTTTCTCTCATCTTGGTCAAAAAATTGGGATCCATAAGCAACAAGTGACGTTTTTTAAATTTCCAGCTGAATATCTTGTCTTATAAAAGTAATCATAATGGTTTCACCTGTACTTTACTTTTCACTTCCATAAGAAGTTAAAACACTTTTGGTTCAAATTTATTTTGCATTTTAAGAGTCGTCCGGTTTTTTTTAAAGATAATTTCTCATTTCATTTGAAAATTGTTTTGATTGGATGCATTAAAAATGTAAAAGCTGCATTCTTTACAACTAAAATTTTTTAAATCAAATTGTTTTACAAAGTAATGCCCCCAACTATTTTTCCATCAAAATCTATTTTAGGTGCATTTTTTTGCTCTCTAAAATATTGTATTTTTAAAATTTTTCTTTGGCCAACCATAGGGCCGGCCTTTGCTATATACATCCACAGTGCGAACTATTTTTTGGCCTTATTTACTTTGCGACAGTTTGTGTCTTTAGCCCCCTCCCCATAGAGTTATTCATGGCCTCGGACCTGTATAAGAATCAATTTCTGAAGAAACTGTGATCTTATTTCAGGTGTCGTCTTAGTCCAACAGTCAGCAAGGCAAGTGCTGGGGCCATGGAATGGATGAAGATTCATTCTTCAGAAAACTTATCAGCTAATCTCAAAGTAAGTGTCCCGTAAAGTCAGCTTTTTATCATGAACATACTTTGGAAGCGCTGGGCCCGTTAAGATATTTTATCATATTATTTAAGACAAAATTCAGGAACAAAGCAAAACGGCGACGAGAATCCAATATAATTGAAAATAAATTGAATAAAACGTATACTAATATTTTGCCCCGGCATACAGGGCTTCATCAGAGTGTTATTTAAGCATTGGTTCTTTGCCAGTCTGTAACGTTGTTTTTAACTATGGCAGTTTATCAAGTCTATTTGATACAGTATGTGACTTCTTGACAGTGTTCGATAGCTCATTGATAATTTTTTTGATAATTATTTTACTTGTTGAAGGCCTGGTTTTTTAATTTTTGAAGGATTGTGAAAAACTGAAGTTGAAGGCCCCGGCTTTAAATCCGTTAACTTTGTATATTTGTATGCAATTTTACTTTATATGTTATGTTTAACTATACTCCTTTCACTTGACAATTGTGCCACACTACAGAGACAATAGCACTGGGAGATAAAGACAACAACTAACCCCATGGCCATTACACAAAAAATAACTGAACAAGAGCAAAATAAGCAACTAAAAATTGATGGAAACTGTTACTAAGATGGGACAGTTATATTTTTTAAATGATTAAGACCAGCATTAGAATATTAAACAATGCTTTATTCAGCTTCTCAAAAGGAGAGAAGTGAAATGAAATAGTTAAATCCTGTCATTTTGATCAAGCGTACTATTTACTCATTTTGAATACATTTCACCCTTTTGAGTCATATTTAGTCATTTGCATTATATCTGTTAAGTTTAGCCATATATTGTTAAAACAGATGGAACCATTTCCACCTGTAAGATGGCACTGTGTCTTTAAAGAACTTGATTGTACTGACTGAAATTAATTCTTCAGGTCATTCTTTGTGGGGAGCTAATATATGAACTGTTCAGTTTCTGTATGTGAGGTATTTTGTGGCTAAAGTGCTCATTCTAGGGCTGTTTGAAATTCTTTAGCAACCACTTTTGTAACAAGGGCTAACAGGCAGTAAACACATGGTCAAATTGGGAATGTATTTGAGCATCAGAATGTAACCCGTGGAGGTAATGATTAAAAAAGATATTACAATTAAACCGTCGTTAATTTTCCCAGGACTTTCGCTGTTTGATATCACCCTTTCTTATATCCTGTTCTTATAAGTCTATTTATGCCTTTGTGCCTTGATTAAAAGACTGACTTAATTTCGTCTTCTCCAATCTGAAAACCAACAGACTTATCACATTGGGATAGAGATTTAGGCTCAAATTCTCTTCTAAATCTAACAATGTCATTATCACGGAAAGCTAGAACAGGTCCCTTTGCAGAGTAGAAGATCGCATTAAACAATTTGTGGCACGTCCCTTCCCTAGATGTAACATGATTAAAACTGGACCAAGGATAGATTCTTGAGAAACGCCCTGTGAAAGCATGCCGGTAGAGTGAAAATTTACTACTAACATTTAATGGAGTGGAAGCCACGAGCTTTGGTAAAGCGCTTGAATAAATAAAGGTGTAAAACAGGGAATGTTTTTCTTTTTGTTTAGCAGTTCCAGTTCAAATTGGGGTAAAATAATAGTACAATAGACTTTACTAGCTTCAATCTACTGCTTGAACTTTTTACCGACCTAACTAAATTGGGTGGTTGAAGAATTATACTAGATTACGTGCGGTACAATATAATGCTATAATAACGATCAATGTAAGTAAATTGTACCAGGAAATTTTTTTTTAAAATACCTTGATTGGTTGAAAAATTGGCTGGTTATTCGAAACCAAAGCATGGTATCACAACAAGGATGGGTATCGTAATAGCCTGGAAGAATGGGAACGAGCTTGACGTCATGACGTGTCAGTGTACATTATTGTTTGAATAATTTCCTACAACCTAGAATCATTATACCGTCACTACTTTAAGCCAGTTTTTATGTGCTTTCTTTGCTTCTCTAATTCTCTAGGAACTAGCATGTAATGGTTGGGATGTTATTGGAACTACCATGCCATGCAAAGAGTACACTGATAGCTCCGATGTGATGCCATGTGCCCAGTTAGTCTTAGAAAAGCCCACCGTCCTTGTACTAGGTTCGTGTTTGAAATTTCTATTAATAAAGCACTCCCTGCTTCAAACATGATTTACTGTTTCTATTTAGTGCGAAATTATTGCTGGATGATTTATGGCAAACATTCAATATATTGTCAAGCAGAACTTCAAAATTACCATTCACTCTGAAACGGTGTCAGGTCTTTATGTAATTTCTGTTAAATGGCACATTATTCGGGATTTCCTTTGAATATGACAAATTTTGAAATGCAAGGGATAATCTTTCATAACGGGAAAAGTTGTCAAGTTTGAGTATTGACTTTATCTAATCTTAGGTAATGAAGGGTATGGTGTTAGTGGTGACGTCATCGATGCATGCACTAAACTGACCACTATTGACTCCACTGCAAGTATTAATGACATGGACTCTCTCAATGTTGCGGTGGCTGCAGGTTTTTTCCATTTTTTCCTTTCTTCTTAAGCACATCTTGCCAGAAAATTGTGTTGAAATTCACAATTTTATCAGTTAGAAACTTCAGCAACCCCGTGTTGTTAATCGTAGATGAGGATTTTTGCAATTTTGGTTAAAATATCAGACTCGATCCTTTTTGTTTCGTCAATAGAAAGGCCAAGAAAGTTTTTTTGTTAATGCATGATCTACAAGTTACCTGCTATTTCGTTCAAAAGTAGTTTCGCATATGGCTCTGAGAATCATGCTGAAAAATAGCAAAGGAGAAAGCAAGGATGCTCTCTAGAGTGTAGTTGGTTGTCACAGAATATTGAAAATTGCCATTTTACCTTTTCAGGGTAGTTTTTTTAATTTGAAAGTAATATGTCCTAACTTGAAAAATAAACTCATTTCTTGATCAACAAATCGCACTCAAGTTGAAGTTATTTTTTTCCGTAGGCATCCTGATAAACCGTTTGATGACGAATGATCAAAATGCATTCATCAAAGGTCGATAATTTTGATTGAGAATACACACACCCCTTGAAGCACGCGTCTGTACATTCGGTAACGCCGTTCAGTGGACGCGTTGAGCAAGCAGGTTTGTTGTGAGGTATTGATGCGCTGTTTGCTGCTCTTTTGTCATCGAATGGTAATTTCGGCTACTACTTAGGCGCAGGTACGTTCACAACGTTCTGTGGAAGAGCAACTTTAATCTGTAAATATGTTTTGATTTTTGGATGAATTAACAAAATCTATATTTGAATGGTATTTCTTATAATGATTGGCAATGAGTGATTGTTATGTATTGGTAGTCGTAGTTTCATTTCGTTTGATAAGCATCATTTCATTTGATAATATAAACTTTTTCAATTCTGCACACGAAAGATTTCCACCAAATGTGTAAAATTCGTGCTTATTCGCGGAATGTGAATCACCTATAGGCACCAACTATGTACGTAGGAACTTTTGGGCCCAAGCCTCTCCCCAAAGGAAGTTTCGCAAAAACGATCAGCCACTGCTGTCGGACAACAACAATGTAGGAGTATATTTGCTCCGTTTAAGTACTATAGATCTAAAAGGTTCTTATAGAAGTCTAGATTCTCTATTAAAAGAACCAACAGTACTTTGCGGATGGTATAAACCATTTTTATAACAATATTTTAATTTCAAATTTTGAGCAATCCATTGGAAAATTTAAAGTTGGTAAACGGAAAGGTCCAAATAAATAGTGTACTACACAGTAGTAAGAAAACACAAACTGCACGGAACAGAAACACTGCCAACATATTTTGATAGAGCTAGTTAAAATAGAAATGTCGCATCATGCAGCGTCGTGTAATGTAATGATATCCAGACGATCATGTCCTTTTTACTTATCAAATGCTCTTGCTGGTACAGAGCCTTAAATTTGGAAAAGGTATTCTACTCTTCTACCGAAATCATATATAATGTCAAATCATTGAATACCTTACCCTATATCAAAAAACAGAATGAGAAACTCACTTTTCACTCTTACAAGCCATCTTTACTCTTCTATATCCTTTCATACTTCTTTCTGCCCACAAAAAGAGATTAGCTATTTGGCAAACCTTTTCCTCAAGTTCCAAAATGAAAGTCTTGAAATTGAAAGCTTCTGCTTTTAATACAAAGTTTACAGTTTGTTTGAGTTTTGCCAAAGGTTTTTGGTAACAGAAAGACAGAGAGACACACTTTATTATAGTAACAAAATTCATCTCCAAATTCATTACAGCATTAACTAAAATGACAATCATAATAAGATTTGCAATCTATGAAAATTTTTGGATAAGCCTAAAAGCTGCGTTTCGAATTCATAACAGCTACTCCTTATGATCAAGAATACAAATACTACATTCCTTTGCCTTCATCTGTCTACGACACTATTTCGTTTGTTTTGACATTATTGTGTGAAAGGAATTTATATGTTTATCTTTATCGCACAAAACTGTGTGAACCCTAATGACCCTAATGACAGGACCCTAATGACAACAGTACATATTGTACATGAACAGGACCCAAATGACAACAGTACATATTGTACTGATAGGTTATCCTGTTAAAATATTCGATTTATTAAAATATTCGATTTATAACTATTTTTTTCAAATTTGACGGGAATTTGTCGCTCATTTGGAAAATAAAGCATTTGACAAATTGACTAGCAGAGAAACGATGCTCTTTCGCATATATTAAGTTACACAATGATTTATCTGATACGTTATCTATTGGCTATATACAGCGAATAAGAGGATGTGTGTAGAAAATAAAATAGAAATTATACAAATATCAATTCTAGATAAAGTATAAAAAATTACGTATATAGTTCCATCAAGAAAAACAATTTTAATCCTTGTGCTAAAGTCCGACTTGATCTTCCATGGGTTGATCATATTGAAGTCAGAGTTTAGGTACTTCCTTTCCAAAACGAGCCAAATCTACATCGGGAACAAAATATACTTAATGATGCTCGATTTATTAGATGCTAAATAAAGTATACGATCGACAATCAGTTACAAGATGAATAGAATCATAAATTAAGATTGTTTGCTTTGCCCCCTTTTCGAGAGAGCTATCCGAACTTTTCAAAGATTTCTAGCGCAATCTTTGATAAGCACACAAAGACCATCGAAAGAGGCTTAGCGTTAAAAATCGCTGAACGCTCAAATGATATATGTGATCTTGAAGGGATTTTCACTGGGAAGAAACGCCCAACCAACCACATCACCTTTCTCCAGAAAATAGTGATAAGCTATTTTATCCATTTTATCTTACACAAAGATGCTGCACTCACTTAGAAATTTCGAAATTTCAAAAATATCAAAGTACGAAAATATTCTGCTGAAATTGAGAAAAAGCTAAGTCACTTACATTCCACGAACTTTTGGCTCTTTCTTGGGTGTCTCCTTTCCTTTCTTCGCTCCAGTTTCCCTACGCTTCTTATAGCCTTCGTCGTTCTTGTCTAATGTCGAGGACCGGACTGGCCTGAAATGCAACAGAAACACTGTCAAAAAGACCCTGGAAGCAACCCGGTGATTTTTGGCATAAAATGTGTTGACTACAGTCGATAACGTATAACTCAGGCCAATTGGCATCTGTGACTTTGTTCGACTTTCCCGAAAATACGAGATAGACAATAAAGTAAGTTAGGAATTGCTCATCGGCTTGAGATAGTTTTAGTCTCTGAGAACAACAAACTGTTCACTGTCAAATGAAATGTATTTATCAAATTTTGTATATGAATTAATAAAGGTAGTTTCCTTTCGGAACACAAAATGTCAACGATGAAACGTTGAAGTGAAAGCTAAAAATTATTGTGCCCTGAAACATCACTGAATATTTCATATAAATATGCATTCTATTGTAAACATCCCGCGCAAAAGATCTGATCAGATGATGATAAGAGTAATTTGATTATCTCGAAAGCAATCCATTCTACGAGAACAGCATCCACATGCTTGATGAGGGAATCTTGGCAGAAGCAAAAAACAGGACAAAACTCACCCTGGCACATAAGCTGCCAAAACATCTTCCAACACACTAACTCTTTCCTTGAACCTGTTCCTTTCTTCCAAAACTTGCTGCATTTCTGCTAAAGTATATCTCGGTCGATTTGGATCCTTTTTGATCGGTTTCTCGTTCTCGTCTTCTTTCTTCGGGGATTCTGCTTCATTCTTTGGTGTATTTTTCTCTTCACTTACAACTTCTTCTTTTTTCACACTTTTCACAGTTTTTCTACGGTCAATAAATGTTTTCTTCTTCTTATTGTTTGCTTCGCTGTCATTATGAGGAACTAAAACAAACCCATCGCTATCCTCAGCTTCATTCTTTACCGGTTCTGCGGTTGGACCTAATTCAGGAGGAGTGGGCCCTTTTGTATTTACAAGCTCTTCCTTCATGTCTTCTTCGATTGAAGTTGCTACATCGCCATCTTTCTTTACTGTTGCCTGTGCAACATTTTGGTTTTCTCTCAAGCTCCCTCTCCCACCTGCTGAGCGAACTTTGGTTTCTTTTGCAATTTTAACATTTTCCTTATCTTCATCTTCCTTAACAATTTTTACTGATGCGAGAGTTGCTTCTGCTTGCACCTTGTGTTCGATTGTCTCTGCTAAGCGGTCTTGTAGTTTTGAATTATAGATACGAAGTTTTTCATTCATGTCTGTAAGACGGTTTGTCTGTTCATTCAGCTAAACAAAGATATATATATATATATCAAGAAAAAGAAAAAACAATACGAAAATTAAAAAATATTTAAATTTATACAGTGAAACCTGTCTAAAGCATACATCTGTGCCAGGCTAGGTATCTTTACCACTAAAAAACAACAATGAAGGGGCGTTTATACTTTTTTAAATAAACATTTTATGCTTATTACTGGGGCTCCCAACTGAAAAATTCATAAGGGCCAAGCTGCCTCCGTTATGCCACTTGGTACAGCGTGCATTCTAATTCTCCTGTTTCTATGGCAGAAATATTTGGGCCCAGGCTTTGTGTCTCTTTGTGGCATCCTAATTGCAAGGTGGCTAGCAAACCAAAAGGGCCCGGTTCAGGGTGTGACAGATAAACTTTTTTGAGCTACACCCACTAATAAGAGCATAGCCTAAAATACACTCAGTATCAGTTATTGTCACCTGGGCCATACCGCCCCTGGTGTCTCTATCTCTAAACTAAATTACAATGATGATCAGGGATGTCCCTTATTGATTTGAGGGTAGTTCTAGGATTGGTAAAACCCCCCTTAATAAAAAAAACGTGCCATAAACTTATTGAAATATCTAGTTTGTTCTTGCATGTAATATTTCAAATTAAAACATGACAAGGTTGATGTTATTCTGAACAGTGGTTGAGCAAAAACAGGCTTTGTTTGGATGAGCAGCAGCGGAGATGTGAACATCAGTATCATTGACATACTCAAAGCGATGGAGCAGGGCATTGCAAGCTTATTAAAGGGTTTGATGAAGGGTAAAATCTTGCATATAATTATAGAATATTTCAGAGGAATCACTTTTTAAGGAAGCATGTGTCAAGCACAGTGATTATTACTGAATTTGATTTTTGATAACGGTAATATTTTATATTAATGTAAGAACATTGGACATCAGGGAACACACACAGAAATGTAAAATTTTATTGCTGTGGAAGATAGGCTTCAAGCCTGGCAGTAAGACTTTTAGCAGGGGATAGTAAACCGCCCTCCTTCAGTAATTTCCAGGTGAGCCCTTTATACATAAATAAGAATAGAAACAAGAAAAATTTATACAAGGACATCAATTTGCTTTTTAAAAGCAATTCAGGAGAGACATCTGTAGCTTCCCTCCAGCATTTGTGGAGAGCATGGAGGAGAGCAAGAGCTATTATGGCTCTTCTCAAATGGCCAGGGCCGAGGCCTCCTTAAGAGTTTATGCTTTGTATTGGTCCAATTTAATTTAGGTGGACAACAAGCAAATATGATTCTTTTAACTTGTTACTAGCAAGACAAAATTTCAAAATTTGGTCAAGATTACTTTAATAACTGAAACTTACAGCATCAATTTCAGATTTATGCCGCTCGTTTTCTTGATTAAGTTCTCTTATTTCATCCTTTTGTGAGTCAATTGCCATTCTCATTTTGACAATCAAATCAACATTGCTTGGTCGAGCTTTAGTAAAGATAAGAAAGGTAAGATTAATAAACAAGTTATCAAGCAAAATTTCAACCCAGCTCACTTTATTGCTCTTCCTTTGCAAAACTGAAGAGTAGAATTTCCTATAATGTTCAGAACACAAATTCAACTAAGGAAATCTCCCAAGTCTCTGGCACTAAAGAACAGAAGAAACAAAAAAAAAATAGAAACAATGGTTAAGGTTGAACAATATATATTATGCATTTAGGGACATATATATGACATGTGTGCTAAGGCATTTAAAACATCTCTTTCAAGATATTCCCATGACTTCCTAAAATTACACCTTTCACTACCTTCTTTGCAAGTAATCATCTGACAATTGAAAATATTCTTGCTAGAAAAGAACATGAGTACTGTAAATTTTCAAAAAAGCCCCCAAAAAAGCCTTTTTGTTTACCAAGGTTTGGTTGGGGCTTATTGAAAAGGGGGCTTCAAAAAGTGAGTCTTTAAAAAATTGTCTTCTATTTGCCACACACACAACTGCTTTTTCAGCTTTTTCACATTTCAAGAGCTCATTACATTTTTTTGCAAATTTCCTTGATAAATTATTCTACATTTTCCCCTCCCACAACATTTTACCTGATCTTAGATTGAATAAAAAATTGATCCTGTCATGAACGGGGAGGATGTGTCCCCCCCCCCCAATCCCCATCCAGACATTTGCATATTAGGTTGGGGCTTATTACCACTTCCTTCTTCCAGGGTGAGGGCTTATATGAGGGGGCCTTATATCAGGGGTAATTTGAGGGTTTAATCTGTACCCTGTTTAGCAACTTATCCCATTTTTATCTTTTTGATATAATGTGAAAATCCTTTTCTTGCAACAAATTATATTTTTTGGTAATTCTAAGCTTACCTTGATCTCTTTGTGTAGTAACCTCTTCGTCTAGCTCCTCAACTTCAGATTTGAGAAATTCATTTTCTTTCCTCAGGACGTTAATGGTATGTTGCATACTTTTTGTGTCATCATTCATCATATTCTCTAGATATTCAACTTTCTAAAATTAAAATCAGGAATGAAACTGACTTTAGGCTCAGACTAGTGAGGCAAGCTGCTAATAAGGTCTTGTTTAGGAATTAATGATGCTCATAACAAAGCTATTAAAAAACTCTGTTGATGTTTTGTATATACAAGAAAAGCAACTATAATAATAAAAATAATAATTTATCAAGTAAGGGAGTATGAGGCTTGCGGCTTTTAAAGCTCGTAAAGTTATATTTGTGTTTGTAACTGAAGCTGCTTGTAATGTTTGTAATGATTAAGTTTTTCAAAATTCAATACTGTTGAGATGTTGAATCATATATCACATTCGTTTAAAGGAATAAATCTTATAAATTTATAAAAAATTTAATTGGTGTTTTTGATTATTTCTCAAACTTTGTGATGGTAACACAAATTTCATATTTTTCAGCATTATTTATCAAGACACTTTGCAAAAATTGAATAGCATCAATAGCAATATTTAGAGCTAATAATATAAGATAGAAAAATTGTGAAATATTAACTTTTTTCCCACAAAATCTGCAAAATTTTTTGGAGTCACTGATGATCCAACATTACAATGATTGTTGGTATAATGTTAAAAGCCTACAAATGAATCTCAGCATTAATAATTCATAGAGTGTTACTTTCCCAAAGATGAGGCTAACGTTGAATTTCACTGGCAACCTACTGACAGTGACTGTTGACTTTATACCAGAAAAGATCATTTCAGCTCTTCTATTTCACATCTACAATCAAATTTACGTGTTTCACCACAAAACTGCAAAGGACATAAATATTGATATAGGAGATCCCACTTAAAATTAAATATTTATTCCAATTACCAAAAACCTAAGTTTCCATTATAATGCAAAAACGGTTTCAGCGCATTTGTAACTAAACGAGTCTGAATTTGTATCATGTTTGTAATTAATGTTAGCATTGCTCTTTTATTCATTAGGGTTGGGATGATATGTTGTCAATTTGGCATGCCCTTTTAACAGGTGCAGTTAATATTGATTTGATTCCAAAAACGACTGCAGGTCGAAAGTTGTCTCAGGCTTAGGCCTCAAATAGTATAGCGAAATATTATATGAATTTGTTACAAGTTGATTCATCGCTTTTTGTCATCAGTGGATCTATGTAGCATAAAGTCAGCTATTTGGAAATTTGGGTTAAACGAAGCAGGATAGAAATGTTCGTTACTAAACTTTGGTAATAATTGTAAGAACAGGAGTTACAGGATGCAGATTGAATTGAACAATCCAGTAATGTAAAACAAATTGTTTTTATTGCGCAACCTCTTCTGTCTGCCTTCTGATTAAAGCCTCCCTTTTGCATTCAATTAATAGTCTCTCTTTCTCTGCGTTAAGGACGTCGATGGCCGAAGTATCTTTGTGCCTTCTTTCTGCAAGCCCTTCGAGTTGTTCCAAAGTAAAAACGATCTTCGGCATTAAATCTTCCACCGAACTCTCCCCATAATCCCGTATCAATCTCTCTATATCTTGGCCAATTTTAGCCGCATGCTCGTATACATCAGCTACTGTAAAATCGTCCATCTTTGATTTAAAATCTGTCACAAGACATTCAAGTCACATCGCTCTTCTCTTTCGCAGTTCATCTGTGGTGCTTTATTGACAGTGGCAGCAAATGGGGAAGTAAAGCTATCACATGATTTGTGCTGTGCAGCGTCCAATATCCTCGCGCAGGGACAAAGAATTTATCACCAATGTTGGGACGGACTTAATTTTTCCGGTCACATTTTTGCGGCTCTGGCACCAAGGGTAGAGATGGCAGTGACACTCTAAAAAGACATCTTGATACAAGAAACTAGTCAATCTGTAAATATGCCTTTCCTAGTTTTTTACTCAGAATATCAGAATACAGCTATATCATAAATTTCAAACTTTTTTGAAATTTTTTTCCTCAAAACGAATAAATTGCTAGATTTTGGTCATAATATAAAGGGGTTTGGACCTAATTCTGATAATAAGCTCATTTATTTAAAAAAATGACTTTTTGAAATTGTCAGATTTTATTTAAAAGTAAGGCTATAGGCTTTATCAAATATTTTCGAAAAATATTTCTTCTCATTATCATTTAATTTTCTTCTATTTGATCAGAGAAACACAATTTGAAGCTAGATCTAAAAGAAAAATAATTCTCCTCGAACAAAACCATATTTTGAATTGGCCAATTTTTATCAAAATGTAAGACTATAGGCTTAGAAAATTGTCAAATATTTTCGAAAACGTTTCTTCTCATTATCATTTAATTTGCTTCTATTTGATCAGAGAAACACAATTTGAAGTTAGATCTAAAAGAAAAATAATTCTCCTCGAACAAAACCATCTTTTGAATTGGCCAATTTTTGATTAAAATGTAAGACTATAGGCTTAGAAAATTGTCAAATATTTTCGAAAAATGTTTCTTCTCATTACCACTTAATTTGCTTCTATTTCTCAGAGAAACAGGATTTGAAGTTAGATCTAAAAGAAAAATAATTCTCCTCGAACAAAACCATCTTTTGAATTGGCCAATTTTTGATTAAAATGTAAGACTATAGGCTTAGAAAATTGTCAAATATTTTCGAAAAATGTTTCTTCTCATTACCATTTAATTTGCTTCTATTTCTCAGAGAAACAGGATTTGAAGTTAGATCTGAAAGAAAAATAATTCTCCACGAACAAAACCATCTTTTGAATTGGCCAATTTTTGATTAAAATGTAAGACTATAGGCTTAGAAAATTGTTAAATATTTTCGAAAAATGTTTCTTCTCATTATCATTTAATTTGCTTCTATTTGATCAGAGAAACACAATTTGAAGTTAGATCTGAAAGAAATATATTTTCCTCGAACAAAACAATCTTTTGAATTGGCCAATTTTTGATTAAAATGTAAGACTATAGGCTTAGAAAATTGTCAAATATTTTCAAAAAATGTTTCTTCTCATTATCATTTAATTTGCTTCTATTTGATCAGAGAAACACAATTTGAAGTTAGATCTAAAAGAAAAATAATTCTCCTCGAACAAAACCATCTTTTGAATTGGCCAATTTTTGATTCAAATGTAAGACTATAAGCTTAGAAATATTGTCAAATATTTTCGAAAGATGTTTCTTCTCATTATCATTTAATTTGCTTCAATTTGATCAGAAAAACAGGATTTGAAGTTAGATCTAAAAGAAAAACAATTCTCCTCGAACAAAACCATCTTTTGAATTGGCCAATTTTTGATTAAAATGTAAGACTATAGGCTTAGAAAATTGTCGAATATTTTCGAAAAATGTTTCTACTCATTACCACTTAATTTGCTTCTATTTCTCAGAGAAACAGGATTTGAAGTTAGATCTAAAAGAAAAACAATTCTCTTCGAACAAAACCATCTTTTGAATTGGCCAATTTTTGATTAAAATGTAAGACTATAGGCTTAGAAAATTGTCGAATATTTTCGAAAAATGTTTCTACTCATTATCATTTAATTTGCTTCTATTTCTCAGAGAAACAGGATTTGAAGTTAGATCTAAAAGAAAAACAATTCTCCTCGAACAAAACCATCTTTTGAATTGGCCAATTTTTGATTAAAATGTAAGACTATAGGCTTAGAAAATTGTCGAATATTTTCGAAAAATGTTTCTTCTCATTACCACTTAATTTGCTTCTATTTCTCAGAGAAACAGGATTTGAAGTTAGATCTAAAAGAAAAATAATTCTCTTCGAACAAAATCATCTTTTGAATAGGCCAATTTTTGATTAAAATGTAAGACTATAGGCTTAGAAATATTGTCAAATATTTTCGAAAAATGTTTCTACTCATTACCACTTAATTTGCTTCTATTTCTCAGAGAAACAGGATTTGAAGTTAGATCTAAAAGAAAAATAATTCTCTTCGAACAAAACCATCTTTTGAATTGGCCAATTTTTGATTAAAATGTAAGACTATAGGCTTAGAAAATTGTCAAATATTTTCGAAAAATGTTTCTACTCATTATCATTTAATTTGCTTCTATTTCTCAGAGAAACAGGATTTGAAGTTAGATCTAAAAGAAAAATAATTCTCTTCGAACAAAACCATCTTTTGAATTGGCAAATTTTTGATTAAAATGTAAGGCTATAGGCTTAGAAAATTGTCGAATATTTTCGAAAAATGTTTCTTCTCATTACCACTTAATTTGCTTCTATTTCTCAGAGAAACAGGATTTGAAGTTAGATCTAAAAGAATAATTATTCTCCTCGAACAAAACTATCTTTTGAATTGGCCAATTTTTGATTAAAATGTAAGACTATAGGCTTAGAAAATTGTCAAATATTTTCGAAAAATGTTTCTTCTCATTACCACTTAATTTGCTTCTATTTCTCAGAGAAACAGGATTTGAAGTTAGATCTAAAAGAATAATTATTCTCCTCGAACAAAACTATCTTTTGAATTGGCCAATTTTTGATTAAAATGTAAGACTATAGGCTTAGAAAATTGTTAAATATTTTCGAAAAATGTTTCTTCTCATTACCACTTAATTTGCTTCTATTTCTCAGAGAAACAGGATTTGAAGTTAGATCTAAAAGAAAAATAATTCTCCTCGAAGAAAACCATCTTTTGAATTGGCCAATTTTTGATTAAAATGTAAGACTATAGGCTTAGAAAATTGTTAAATATTTTCGAAAAATGTTTCTTCTCATTATCATTTAATTTGCTTCTATTTGATCAGAGAAACAAGATTTGAAGTTAGATCTAAAAGAAAAATAATTCTCCTCGAACAAAACTATATTTTGAATTGGCCAATTTTTGATTAAAATGTAAGACTATAGGTTTAGAAAATTGTTAAATATTTTCGAAAAATGTTTCTTCTCATTATCATTTAATTTGCTTCTATTTGATCAGAGAAACAGGATTTTAAGTTAGATCTAAAAGAAAAATAATTCTCCTCGAACAAAACCATCTTTTGAATTGGCCAATTGTTGATTCAAATGAAAGGCTATAGGCTTATAAAAATGGTCAAATTTTTTCCAAAAGTTCTTCTTCTCAAAACTTTTCTATTGCTCGCTTGAATTCCTTATTGTTCGGAAAATCAATCTATAAATATTGTCAGATTTTGATCAAAATTTTCTTCTAAAAACCAGAAAATTTGCTTCCTTTTGATCATGATAAACAAGATTTGGATTTAGATCGAAAAGAAAAGTGATTTGATTTGAACAAGAATTTATTGTCAATTTTTGATCAAAAGTAAGGAAGTAAGTCTATAAGCTTAGAAAATATTTCAAATCTTCGTATTTACAGGGGCAATGTAAAGTAGAAAATTACAAAAATAGCATTTTGCCTCAACATTTTTGTCAGGGATTGTAGATCGTAATTAGAAGCTTCAATGTATAGCTTTTATAAAAATTTGAAGGCAGGTCTATGACATTATTATTTCTCAACTGATCAGCAACAACATAACGAAGCTTTTGCTATTGTAACTTCACACGGATTTTGATACTTTTGGTTTTATTGAGTTGAAATCATGAATTTTGCTGGTATTCATACCATCACTTCTTTCCAGCTCCTACTGGCGTGTGGATTAAGGAAAGAAGCAAAGACACGCATAATGCAGCCATAGGGTCAAAACTTAGATCCTTGATAGCCAAGAAAACTTTAAGAAGATATATAATGTTTTTATAGGCACAGATAATCATAGGCAATGGGTCGTGATAAAATAATCTTTCACTGTCATCTGCTTTCAGCATTACCACTTTAGTTTGGCAGCAGTTGTTTTCAACTTGCTATAGTCGGAAACTTTTTCAAGTGTCAAGCCAGCCAGCAGTAGGTAAATCACGACATGGCGAACCAGGGTATACATATCCTCGCTTTTATCACGACTCATTCCCTATTATTATGTTAAAATTATTTTAATCTATCTGGTGTGTCAAATCAAACAGGCGTATGAATGTACAGATGATGTCTACTAACGCGATCTCAAGATCACAATTTAATTTGTCATTATTTGATATGGAGAAGTAAAGGCAAAACATCAAATGGAAAAGTCAAGTTTCACTCGCATTTGCTGCCCTCTGCTGACAGGCTTGATGCAAAGATTGAAATGGCAAAATGGAGCAAACTGGCAGAAGGTGATGGGGCTTCAAGGTGGGGGGGGAGGGGCCAGCTGCTGGGGGTAAAATACCCTGAAAGACGGGTTCCTAAGGGGTCGGTGAAATTTTATAAACTGCTGAAGGATAGTGCATGTCTAGCTTGTATCTCAAGATTCACAACGGCCTAGCAGTGGTATCAACAGTTCATATTTGCGATCTGAAAAATAAAAAGTTTCTAAATACTTTGGCCTAGCAAAATGACAGTTAAATAATCTATAAAACAGTGTCAGCTACACTAGGTTAGATTCAAATTACACATACGATTAAAATCTAATGATATTGAAAACACAGAAAAAATGTGTCAGTTGGGTGGGCTTTTGGAAATAAGCGCGAAGTTTGAAATTTGTATTATACATATGATATAAATAAATAAAATTATACAAAAACGAAAATATAAGACTCAGAATTATAATCTGCTAAATCCTAAACGAATCTCTTGGCCCGTTTATGTGACCCAGTTTTAGATAAACGTCAGTACCCAACCCATACAAAGTGTAGACTTCAAGTGTTCCCCCAAGGAAACTAGCATATGCCCTTGTCGTTGGAAGTCCAAAGCCATACCCAGACATGGCGCCACCAACAGCAGCAACATGAGCTGCCTTCACAAGGCTATCAAGGCCCCCCTTGTCACCATCAGTGGCCTCTTCTTCTTTCGTTGTTGTAAAAGCATAGTCAAAAATGCGCTGCATCTTGCTGTCGTGAATACCGCCGCCACTATCACTAAACCTAAAAAAGAATCATCGGACTCTCAAGACTTCGATTGACAATAAATGTGCATCAACATGATTATTTACGATGTGTTGAGGTTTCTCAAAGTCAGAGAGGATTAGCCTTGCAATAGCTAATAAACAAAAACACGCGAAATAAATCAAATTAAGGAACATTGAAGGTGATCATTAAGTTATCGCTTCAAATCATTTTTCTTAATTATGGCGATCTCCGCTTGCTATCTAATTTTTTCAAGGAACAAGGTGTTTTTGATAGAAGTATTTAAGCTTCTTCGCCAGTCAACCATCAGAACCTTTCTCAAGCACAAAGCACCTTGTTGAATGACCAACATTGCCTATGTTAGACGTACAGGAAATAACTAAAATATTCGTTCCCTATTGAAGTATGAAAAATATCAAGAAACTAAATTTGCAAAAAACAAAAGTTTACAAAAAAACATATACTGGATATGGCAAAAAGTTTCAAAAAAAGAATCCGTACTTTAATATGAAATGTGAATCGTTGTTGCAAATGGTTACTTTGACTGGTGGAATCTCATACCATGCCTTTACTTTGTCACGATGATGTAAAACTGTTGCTCTAAAATCGAAATTAAATGTATCATTAGCTTTGAGATTTTGAACAGTAAATTAGCAATGTTTATAATTGAGGGTTTAATTGTGGCGATAATGCCATTTTTAGGGGCTATTTACTTATTGAAAAATAACTGAATTACAAGTTTGAATGGGTTTGTTTGAGAAATTTAAGATAATTCATAAAATCATGAGTCATCTATTTGTGTATCAGCGGAAAACCCATAGTTCTCTCAAGTAGAAATGAATAACAGATGTTAAACAAGGGCCTTGTAAATAATGCTTTTGCCAATAAAGTGTATAACTCACTCACTTCATGGCATTTTTCAACAGCTCTTGAATCATGTATTCTAGTGGAGGTGGTAGATACGGAAAAGTCGCTTTCACATGCCCATTGATTGCAACAGATGGTGCAATTCCATAGTTGTGTTGGCACATCTCCCTATAGAAATGAGATTTACACATTAACTCTTAACTGATATTATATTGCAAAAAATACTACAGTTGAATCAGCTTATATACAATCACTACACTTAAAGGCACGCCAACATTTACAGTCAGATAAAATTTATACTCAGATACGAAAAATTATTAAATTACAGTACAGTGATAATGGGTTAAAGTCAAGGAAGTGCTGCGGGGAGCCAGAGAAAGGGGGTTAATCTATAGGAATAACTGTGAAGCCACTCCATTCAGCAATCAAGAATGCCAATATGCAATATACACCAATCAAATATGCAATAGCACCAATCAAATAAGTTGGAATGGCTACACAATTCTAAACTGGGCTGAGCAAGTATGGCTGGTACTGCTACATCCAAAGTTCACTTTGTTCAACCAGGGCTAACTATACAGAGTATTGTGTTCAAATAGAAAAGATACAAACTTCCAGACAAGTTTCAAAAGTGAAGAAACTAGCAAAAAAGTCATACAGGCATTGTTTTTCTTTCAAAACAAAGTATCACTGTTTAATTTGCACTGATCAATTATATTAAAAGAAGACCTTTTTGGAATAGGGGTGTATTCCATTCAATACCAGAGCCGCTTATCCAAAAATGGCTCATTCAATGGTAAAAAGTTTAGGAATGAACAGAGATTTTGTAGCAAATAATTCAAATTAAAACATACCTGCAATAAAATACACATTTTTCTATCAAGTTTCTCACAGACATGTGCGTGCAGATAATACCAATATAATTTTCCTGTGAATAAAGAGAACGAAATTGCGCAAAGCAGGCCTCAAGATACAAGCACTAAAACGTAAACATTTCATCTGCATTTCAAGGAACTTATGTGCGAAAATTAAGCTTCATAATATAAAACTGACAATGACTGAGCACTATCTTACCATATCTTGGAGATAGATACAGAAAAATAAGGCAATATAGCAACAGAAAAATAATAGCAACAGAGGAATATTCATTTCAGATAGATAATATATGTAGGCTCATGGAGGCAAAACTAAAAAAAACAAAAGTTTCATTCTTCCTAAATTCAAAACAATAGTGATATACACACTACACACCCTTTCATTTCTAAGCCCAATGTGATGCTCTGCTAGTATCCTAATGCCAAGACGTGATGTTAAAATCCTCTCCACCATCTTTGACATCTCCTCATACTAAAAGAAATTATTCTTTCAGGTAATGTTTCTATAAGCCCAAATATATAAACACCTCCTTGTCAAATAGCTACCGTGCAGAGGACATTAATATTCCATAAAACTTAAAAAATGCCAACAAATAAATATGTATGTTGTTCCAATATATTAATTGAATTGCATGCATCAATTAATGGGTTAGAAGCATTTAAACCTATGGGAATTTTTTTAGAGATCCATGAAGTTCTAACATTAAAAGGGAAGATAAGTTGGATTTACTGCAGACCAGAAGTATTTCACCCTTGTGCCTTCTCTTCTATCTGCAGTAAAATGGGAAATTTTTATCTAAACAGAAGAGGACCCTCTAACAATATCAAAAAAATTCACTACAAGAACACAAAATCAATAAAATTTTACCTCTTTGATCAAGAGACTTATGAACTGACATTGTCATTTAGACTTGGCTGGAGCTGGTTCTATCCTGAACCCAAAACCTTTTTTGGTATATAACTCTCAAATTCCTTCCATGAAAAATCTTATTGTATCTATATTATTCAAAAATTGTTATTCAAAAACATAACTTTTCACACTAAGTCTGTTTATGTGGTGGACTTAATTTTGCCTTTATTTTCCATCACTGCAGGCTATTTTTCTGTTTCATAGAATGCAGATAAAGCAGACCTGTCAACCTAAAATTTCAAAACCTGGAGATTTCAGATTTTTGTTGAGAAAAACAGGGAGATTTGGCCAAAAACAGGGAGATCTCTGGATTTTGTTGAATTTATAAAACAACATACCTTTCAAAAGAAGTCATGTTGGAAAAACAGTTTATGATAACAATTATCATGGGTAGTGTCTTCCTAATGGTTTTTAGCGTTTTTGTTAATTTGTAAACACTATGGAGAAACTTTGTCACGAAGAAATTCATTTCAATCATTTTTGTTAAAAGAAAATCTCTGTTGAAAGACAAGAAAAACAGGAAGAAAATTATAAAAACTGGGAGATCGAGAGAAAGCAAGCAAAACCTGGAGTCTTCCGGCAAAACTGGGAGAGTTGACAGGTCTGTAAAGCTACCATTTGACACCAAATAGTCTAAATACTAGCCCTATCAAAAAGATCAAATACCTGGATTTGTGATTTGACTTGATTCACTGCTTTTGCTAATGAGGTCACAACATCTTTGTGGTCATCTAACAACTTTTGAACCAGGTTACTATATTGCAGTTCTTCATCCAAATTTTCAATGGGCTTATATGAGGATAGCTTATAAAATGCCCGCAAGTATAGTTCATACTAAAAACAATAATATCATGTTTTATACAAAATTGCTGTTGTGGGTCAATTCAAAAGAATACCTATAGAATATCTTAGAAGATAGATTTTAATAGAATTTAATAACTAGCAGCAAGAAATAACACTTCTTGTAAGATGGAAACAGATACCAATGGTAACATGTGATAAAAATGCACCCCGGAAACCTTAAAATGTGAAATTGCTTACTGCAAGAAATAGACTGCTTCCTTTGTACTTCTAAAGACTAATAATGTGAATCCAAACAGCTACAGAAATTACTTTATTTCCAGATTATCATAATTGAATTCTAACCTTTAAAACTTAAAACACACAAAGAAAAAAAATTGGTCGCTGGAACTTACCACTTCCTGCATAGTTGGGTTTATGGCTACTACATATGGGAGATTTTGGAGATCTTTGACTCTTCTAGCTACTCTTTTGGGTAATTCTTTATGTAAATACTGTGCACTTTTCTGAAAACATCAAAAACGACAAATATTTATTACTACCACAGTTGCATTAATTTTTATTAGAGGATACTAGATTGAATCAATGTCAAAATAAAATTACATACAGCAAAAGCGTCTACACCCTAAAATAAAAAACCATTAAAGCTTCTTTTTATTAGGTTTTATCCCTTTTCTTAACATTGACTTCTTAGGTTTTAGCTCATTTTTATAGCCCCCACTTTTCTTAACATTGACAGTGCCTGATTTTGGATATTTAAATATTTAAGAACTTTAATGTTTTGCCTCAAATGCTAAAAATATTTACCAAAGCGAATCTCTTTGGACTGAATAGAAGAAAATTAATAATCATAACTTACAATGAGGTGTGACCCATTGCTTGACTTGCCTGCATAAAGCATCTGATGTGGTGTCAATTTAGTCAGTGCCTTTGATGATGAAAAATATAATCAAAATTAATATTGAAAATTAGCCTAAAAATAGTTATGTTAGGAAAATTAAAGTTTAAATGAGAATCAATATAGCTAAGAAATTTCAAAGACATGCACATAAACTTCCAGTTAATTCTTTAGGATGATATAAACAATTGCGATATAAATAAGACCCTCTCTCAGCAACAGGTTTCTTTAAAACATTTGGTTTGCTAACTTGGAAAAAGATTACAATTTGTTTCCGTTTTTACTATCTTCCTTTTCCATTATTTGCTCACAAGTTTATAGATCCATTTTTCAATATTTCATCTAGTTTGTATCTGTTCTTTTCTTCTTGTCCTTATTTTTTCCCTTTGTTCTCAAACCCTGACTTTAGGATTATCAACCCTCTGTAATTTTTACTCTTTCTATTTCATTTAAATGTCCTACAATATTTCATCTTTACCATTTGGTGGATGACAGATATAGAGCATTTCACAAATAATAGATAAATTATTTTTAATAGGATACAATAAACAATCTATGCCTGGTGAAGTACAGGCTTTGATATGTCTATATATGTCTATATAGGTATATATGTCTCGCATCAACATTATTCATAACCCTTAACCAGACCACTCTCCAAGTCACGCCAGCAGACCCAAGGTTTTGGTTGCTTTCTCCCAATTTTTGAAATTTTCTCCCGGTCTCCTAATTTTTTAAAATTTTCTCCCTGCCTCTTCTGTATCTTTCAGCAGATAAATTTTTATAGCAAAAATAATTCACGACAACATTTTTGTTAATGTTTACAAAATAATAAAAAACTCCGAAAAACCATTATGAAAAAGATTCCTATTATATATTTAGTCATTAACTGTTTGCCCAGCATGACTTTTTACAGATGTGTCAATCAGAAATTTAACCTAGTAATAATTATTTTATTATTTCATCCTGATTCAACAAATTAGGCGGACATATTTTGATTTGCTAGAATTGGCATCTGCCCTTGGGCATTAAACATTTTTCGTAAAGGAAACCCATAACCTGTTTTGTAAAAAAGAAAAATTGGGTTGAGGAGCAAGAAAGTGGAGATAGTATAAAAAAAGAAACTCACTTTGGAAGAGAAATTGTCAATTGCTGACTGGTTGTAGTAGGCCCATTTCTTTTCAAGTCCATATTCTGTTCCAGGAGGTGATGCATATTTTCTTGATGGTATAATAACACAGCTGGAGCATATGACACGCAACTTGTCATTCAACCCTCCTCTTCTTCTCACAGATCTTGGCAACCAAGCCATAGCCTTTCTTCATCCAAGCTAGCTGATACTAAAATTTATTATTCAAAAGCAAACACTATAAATATTATGAGACTTCAATATTACTCAATAAAACATTAACAATTAATCTAGCACCAGTACATTGGGTTACCAATTTTTAGATAGGGCCAACAGGTATCAGCAAGTTTTTTAATAGCACCTGCTTCAAGCATTCACCTGCAAACGCCTTACACAAGGGAAAACACCATATATGGCTTGATAGATAACTATATAAGAATTTTGAAAATATAATTGAAAAGAAAAGACAGTGACTTTGGAAACATAAAGATTAAAAAAATTATCAACAGAAATATTAATCAAAAAATCAGATTGAGTGGTACATAAAAATTGGAGTGAAATGGGGATGATTTCGACTAAAACTATATGGTTAATGCGGCTTTCATCGTCTTGGGCACGCCAAAATTTGCCGATAAACCTGTTCAGCGTGAATTGCGAGAAACTGGAACCAAAGTTTTAGTCCATGTTTAAGGCCGCCAACGAATACTAATTTTGTACAAATGAATATCAATCGTCAAAACCGGTTTTTCGCGACATATGAAAAGCAATAAACACCCTTGTATTTATTCTGAAAATATTATTACACAAAATAAAAAGGAAGCGTCATTCGTTAAGTCGAGTCAATAACATTCTTTCCTTTGGTTCTCAGCTTTTAGGTAAAGCTGCTGACCGTGTCTCGATCGATGATGAGCTGTGTTAACTTGAAAAGCAAACAATTTTCTACAACTGCTCCTTCTTAGATACACATTTTTAGTTTCATTTTGTTAACACAGAATTCTTGCATTTGAGAATCGCCGAATCCTCATGATGTCATTGCCCGTCGTAGATCCGATGAGGGCTTATATGTTATAACAAAATGGTCCTCCATTGAAAGGCCTAAGTGCAAGTAATTCTTAATATTACATATAACAAAAAAATTAAAGTTCGACTACAGTAAGGCTAGGAATTCAATAAGTATGTATGAACTACAGCTGATATCTAAATATATACCTTGAACCTTGGTCGACAGGAAGGCTTGTTGGCCAAAGATTGTAAACGAAACGTGAGGTTTGGTCGGCTTCCAGTTTTGTTTACGAGGTCTGACCGAGACTCATGGGACCATCACGTGATCTAGTGGACAATAGGGCTATCTTTCCTCATAATAGAAAATCCTCATAGGGTGTTCAACGGATTATCATGTCTTGCGATACACTCTTTTTTTATAAGAACAATTATATAAGAACACGATCCTCAAAACTGGTCAAAAGTTAGGAACAAATTAAGAACAAGCTGAGCCTGAGCTTCTGCAAAATGCAATTTTGAACAACGTTTTTTCTCAAAATCGAGGATTTTAGCGATGAGTGGGTGCTTTTTCGGTGAATATTCAAATTTGTCAGCAAATTAAGGCTGTCTCACTCACTTTGTTGGCAAATGAGGCCTGAACACCTCCTTAGAGCGAAAAACCTAACAATAGCATTGCTTACACCCTCTTAATTTAAGAACAGATTAAGAACAATCCAGCCTCAGATTTTCGAAAAAATTAAGAACAGTCAGCCTGAACTTAAATTTACTGGTTCTTATAAAAAAGAGTGTAATTGTAAATATAATTTACAGTAAAACTCGCATATTTCCCATCTCGGTTATTTTCTGTCTGCTAGATTTGATGACCGATGATGGTCCCTTAGTAATTTACATCAAGAGCTCTAGCAGTATCGAAAAAAAGACAAACATTTTCTTGCAAAATTTTATAATATTTATAATTTTTATAATAAATTAATTAAACACACGGAAAGTTTTTGGTTGCAACACGCATAAAGCTTTAGTTACATTCTTTTGATTCGTATTGGAAAATGAAACTAACATCTTGTAGACAGCTTGCCAGAACTTGGTCCTAAATAGAATAGAAATAATCAGTAAACGACAAAATAAAAACCCAGCTATTTATTAAAATTTTCTTTCTTCTTAATTTTTCGATTCTTTCTACATACATTATCTAATAAAGTTTTGCATTCGAATATTCGTGAATCCGATCTTGTAAATTGATACCAGTGTATCACCACATTTGGCGATGATTTAATCTTCTGTTCTGATAAAAGGCAAAGCGCCAGGCTAACAGAATATTCATCATAAGGTGCTACTCATAAAATAGGAGTACTGCAAGGATCGATACCAAGTACCTTCAACTTTTCTGTGCAAGGTGGCTCGATATGCGTCCAAGACATTAACTCAGCCATTGAACTTTGTTTCTAGATGCAAAAGGATAGCAATATTTAACATAAAAATGTACTTGCTTCTGTATATAATATTTCATAATTCTTCTCTAAATAATTTCCTGAATTGAATCCCATTTCAACTTGTTCAAAATAAACCCTAATGAAGTTAAAATAGGCCATGAGGAGGAAGCAAGATTATCGATCCATTTAGTATTTCCTCCATTAAATGGCGTAAAAAGAGGAAACCAGCCTATGAGCCTTAGCGAAATTTATGCAGTAGCATTCAAACACAAGACGATAAGTGGTAATAAGAAGGGCAAGAAAAAGTACGAAGATTATGCACTTTTTCAGTCTTTTTTGGATTGATTCCAAGCTGACTTGATCGTGTAGTTTCGGCCGTTGTCGATTCTACGGGCACCTCGTACTCCTAGGAATATTAAAGTTACAGAATGTTATTTCTTATATATTTAAAATAAATTCTTAAAGCGCATGTGTCCTGAACATGATTGGCTAATGCAATACAATTATCTTCTTTGTCTAGTACAAAGCATTGAATCGAAGGTGAACTTTTACGGCAGCAAAAATTAAAGAAAAAGAAATGGAAAGTCATGAAACAATGGAAATCCATTCCAAACGCTTTTGTTTTATTAGCCAACTGTCAATGCGACATATGTCCTTTGAAAATCTTGACCAAAATAAATCAATTTAAAAGCAAACGTTGCAAGCCTAATGGAATCATCGACATTGAGATTCTTTAGAAAACGACCCCTTCCTGAAAATATTTATCGAAAAACTGAAAATGCACAAAAATATATTTAATGAGGGCATACTGTTTTAATTGCAGAAAAAACTACTTAGAATTGACAAAAGGCATCTTGTCCCGTCAGTCAACAGTAACAAGTTAGCAATGGATGTTGCAGCGTGTTTAAAATCGAGAAAACATTAAAGATTAGCCGATAGGCTCCGTAACAATAGGTCTGTTGTATAGTCTAACAAATGGATATTTAAATGGCCAGCGAAATGCATCGGGATAAAGTGCCTTTAAGCATGCAAGAAAGAAATAATCAAAGTACTTTACTATTATAGAAATTACCAAATATCGGCAATTGCAGCTCAAAAGCTCATGGGTGCTGCAAGTTGTTGATTCATGGAAAGTAAACAGATCCTAAAAAGAAACATCTGATAAGACCTGATGCCACTGAATTTATATACGAACCACAGAGGTATCCTTCATAGAAAACTTGTACATTTTTAGTTGCATAGGTAGCAAAATATCTTCAGGCTGCCTTAAAAAAGCAATCCTAGAGGTGACATTAATACATACTTCTGTAAAGAATGGCATTTTCGTTTGTTGGGGCACTGAATACATTCTTTGGTTGGGGCATCACCTTAACTTGCTTTTAGGAGATCATAATGTAACTGGCCTAGCTAACTAATCCATCCTTTGCATAAACAAGTCTGGATGGATAAAATTAGAAGCTGAGGTGTTATGCGATAAATAGGTCAAGACCAAAACTTTTTGATAATTCCTTCATAAAGCTCTTGAGTGAGCCATTCGAAGAAAAATGACAAAGAGAGACGAATAAAATTTTATGAAATATAATGTATAAAGGTTTTTCGGGTCTCAATCCAACATATATCAAACATCTAGTGGTAAAGAACAACTTACAAATTACTGGCGCCACTGATATTTGGTTTGTCTATCAGATATAATGTCTTACCCATTTTAGGCAACTGTACATGTACTCGAGTCATAATGGTATCTTCCAACAATCGTAAAAATGGAACATTGCACCTTGTTGTAACTTAGATAACGGGAAGGGTTACATTTTTGATGAATGTGGTAAAGAAGGAGACAACTATATAGAGAAAATTTACTGTTATTATAAAATGTTAATCAAAATATGTGAATATTCAAAATATCAGCTATTTTTGGTTTTCGAGACAAAAATGTTTAGGTAAGTTTTTTTAGGGTATTTATAAGCATTTATCTTTAGTTTTCATTAGATTCAAAAAGTTGATATTTATCATATAATTCAAGAGTGTGCTACCTACTAAGATGTCTAACTAAATTGTATCCAGCACCATCAGCACAAATAAATAAGCTTTCTATTGAGTTTTAACAAATGAATCAGGAGGGTAATAAGCGATAGTGGAAGATGCTAAGTTTCAAAATAAAAAATGATGCGTCATAATGCAACATACAACAAACAAATTTAAAATGCCAAAGTTATGAAAATTACCTTAATGTCTTCGTGAGAAAAATTAGCTTTGCTGGAACCTGAATCAACAACCGATCCACTCAAACTTTGCTTTTTCACTTGACGTTGAAAGATTTTCTCTTCAATAGTCCCCTGTGGAAGTTTTTAAATCTACGTTACAAAAGCATTTACGCTCCATGAATCTCAAAGTGCATATAATCGGAAGAAAAAGCGCGGAATATTATCCTACATAAAAAAATGACATTTTTCCACAAGAAGATTAAAAAATGGTTCATCATTATTGCTTTAGAATTCATCTGTAACAATTTTACTCACAGTAGTAAGAAGTCGGTAAATATGGACTTTCTTCTTCTGCCCATCGCGCCATATCCTAGCCATCGCCTAAAGAAAAAGAGGAAGACTTAAATCTAGTGAATATCGCATACCTGTATTTAGCCCTTGATGCGATGGCCAGTTTCTCAAAAACGAATAGAATATTACATGTCTTGTTAACGGTGTATCTATTCGAGTAAAGCAAAATCAACCAAAATGCATCGTAGACAAAAATAAGAGAGCGTTGTTGTTAAATCAACGCGAAGAAGGAACATACAGTATATCTATAATAAAGTACCAAGAACAGACCTGAAGATCATTGGCAGGGTTCCAATCAATGTCATACAATACCAGTCTTGATGCTCCAATCAAATTCAAACCTGTTCCACCGGCTTTGGAGCTAAGCATGAAGACGTCTACAAGCAGATTGGGAGGCGAATGAGAATATGTTTAAATATGCACTAAAAACTCAAAATCAGTACGAGCCGCGAGAGTGCACAAAATTGGGTTCGTGTTTATGATGTTACGAAAAGTAGCATAATGAAATACAAAATTTCCAGACTATCTTATAGTGTTATTGTTTTTTGGCAAGGAAATGTTTTTCGGCCAACGCTACGTTTCTACCAACATTTAATGATCAATGCTATTACAAAACAGTTGGGAAAGTTTAAATAAAAGGTAAGGAAATATCTCTCATGGGTACTTTTAGGTACAAACTTTTACTATCTATAAAGCACAAATGATAAGAATTGGTATCTGCTTTAACATTGGATTCTCCTCGTCACTTTGCTTTGTTCCTGACTATTATCTTATCCTGCCTGTCCTGCTTTAAACAATAAAGTACATAGAATTTCCATTTTTATAGGCAATCTGGTCATTATTTACATTTTGTATGTAATTGGTGTAGTTGAAAAAACCTTTTAATATCAAAGTAAAAATAGGCCTATGCATACAGCAGATTTCTGGCATTCGTGCATGGCAGCTCAACATACCTAACCGATACTCTTGCTTTTACGTTAACTGGCAGAATATTGAACATCTACATATAAATCTTACTGACACAGATAAAGGGGCTTACACATATATCTCGTTTGTATATCTATAGATTGCTTCTTAAAAGACAACCAGCTATAATCCATTGATAAAAGTGGAGAATGTCAATTTGTAAGTATAGGTTTGGAAATACATAGGCACATATATAATAAAATAATATATATAGGCACACATATACATTTATAAAATAAGTTATGCTTTGTTGTGGAGGGCAAATTGCTAGATACAGTTGCTAGATACAGTCATGTGCTAAAGTTTAAGAAAACGAAATTATTTAAAAACATCATGTACATTTATAGATTTATACTGCTTTATATATCTATACATAAACGTTAAAGATATTTATGTTAGACACTTTGCTTTAAAATTCCAGTAAAGTGCATTGGAATAGTATTTGTAAACAGGAAACCTAATTTTGGTGTAAACATAGAAAAATGGGTGAAAGTGGCACGTAGTTTTGAACTTATGCACTTTTCACTGTATTATAATAAAGTTTTAACGCCATCTACAATTACAGCAATTCCTATAAACTAATTTCTTAGAAGAGAAAAGTGTAGCTGTTATTGTAGTTAGGTGTTATACAACTGAGGATACTTGAGTAGCGAAAAAAAGGTACTCACCAATATCAGAAAAATTACTGTTAAAGCGATCAACTAGTTTCATCCGGTCACTCATCGATGTTTGTCCATCTAACCGTAAGTATGTTTGGGCCTTTGTTTTCAGGAGCGACTCAATAACATCCAAAGTCTTGGTAGAATTCGAAACGATGACAACTTTTTCGTGCTGGTCTTTAAATGCACATAGCAGACGGTCTAAGACTTTTAGCTTTCCAGAATCTGCTGCTTCATAGCAGCTTTCGTAAGCATTTGGAAATACAGTGTAGAGATCATCATAAAGACAGTCCTATACGAAGAGAAGATCGAAACAGTTTTCAAGATATATCATAATTTCCTAGGTTCAGAATTATAATAATCGTCCAGTTTAATTAGCTAAATATAAGGTTTTTCTATCACGCAAGAAAGTAAGGGGGAGACTGTTCCTTTCCACTACTATGCTAGATCATGTGTTTTGGTTATGTCGAGAACTGGGATGTAATTTCGGATTTAATGTAACATTGGCTTAAATGAGTTTCTCCTGACCATCTTATGGACGTTCTTTGTATAGTTCTTTTCGTTACATCTTGCTGAAAATTCAAAATCAGGAATTCTGCTATTATTTTTTAACTATTTTATTGCTTCATAATAAAATATTAAACAGAGATGTTGTCTTTATAGATGTTGTCATTTGATTAAAAAAATTAAAGATTGTATAAGTAGCAAGACAAAATTGAGACAGGAATAGTTACCTCGTCTTCAAGAAGAATATCGTCCTCATCTTCCCCACTTTTATAACGACTTGCAGGGTTGGTGTTCTTCCTAGTTGCATTGAGAAGCAGAACTGGATGATTGCATAGCTTCTTCAAGGCCGAAATACAAATAAGATGCTGTGAACCTCTGTAATATGACGACAAGCAGGAGCGAACCATTCTTGACCTTATCGCAGCTTGATAAAGTCTCTTTTGTAGTGATGATGTATTACAAAACACAACAAGCTCAACTAAGACAGATTGATTGTAAAATAAAATGAATGTCCTTGTAAAGATAAGAGAACGGAAGACAAGCTTCATGACCTGACATAAATGCAAACTTTAAAGATAATATAATTTGAAAAATTGGAAATATCGAATTGCCCCCTTCGCAAAAAACATTGTACGAGCACCGTAATTTGATGCACACACTTTTTTTAAAATTTAGATCTGGTTACGTAGCTATCAATTCGTGATACTTATTATCTTCTATAAGAAAAGTTTTATTTTTCAAGAGACTGCGGATATCCAAGAAAATTCGGCAGGCTTATAGCGACTTACCAGAGGGAAGGGGTGCATTGTGTAGAATCATAAAGGAACTGCACTGTGTAAAGCAAAAAGAAGGGGAAGACTTCCAGAAAACGTTATCACAATAATGATCATTGACTAGAATGGGTTCAATGGGCACAAACCTTTAGCTGGGAGATAACTGCTGTTGATTTCTGCCGTTCTTCGCAACACAAATGAAGCAGCTAACCTCTTGAGCTATAACAAAAAAACATTCAAATAGAGAAAATGAGCAGGACTGCCCTTGTCTTGACTTGGGTGAATATAATTGGTTTCATAGTACGTCCATCGTTGAAAACAATTTGATTTAGGTGTGCTGTAATGTTCTAACATCAGCGATTGTTTGATAACAAGTGATTTGCGTATCAATGAGATAATGTCGTAAATACGCAGTTTAATTGCTACAAAATAGGAACGATGTCGACTATCTGTCCGCCCATCTGACTGTCCGCCAGTGAGCGAGTAAGTGAGCAAGTGAGTGAGTGAGTGAGTCAGACGGTCAGTCAGTGGGTTAGTGGGAAAGTGGGTTAGTGAGCGAGTCAGTGAGTCTGTCAGTCAGTCGGCCAGTGAGTCTGTCAGTCAGTCGGCCAGTGAGTGAGTGAGTGAGCGAGCAAGTGAGTGAGTGAGTGAGTCAGACGGTCAGTCAGTGGGTTAGTGGGAAAGTGGGTTAATGGGTGAGTCAGTGAGTCTGTCTGTCAGTTAGTCAGCCAGTGAGTCAGTGAGTGAGCGAGTGAGCAAGTGAGTGAGTGAGTAAGACGGTCAGTCAGTGGTTAAGTGGGTTAGTGAGTGACTCAGTGAGTCTGTCAGTCAGTCGGCCAGTGAGTGAGTGAGTGAGTGAATGAGTGAGTGAATGAGCGAGTGAGTCTGTCTGCCTGTCTACACGTCTGCTAGTCTGGAAGTAACAGTTATAACGTGAATTCAAAAAAAGCACAAAAAATATCTAACTTATGTTTTAGATAAAATAGATAACCACAATTAAAACTGACTGCATTTTGATTACAAAACAGCAAATCTCGTTATGTATGCAATACATGAAAGTTGTTACATGATACAGAAACTGTACCTCAACATTGATATCGGAGGCAGAAATAGACTTAAACATCCTAGAATCGAAATGGACAGCTCATTGAGACCCGTTTTACACTGTAGCGGATACAATTTATCCGCATAAAACTTGTTCGCATTAGTTTGCGTTTACACTGTGCGGCACAAATTTTGTCCACATTGCCCTCCCGTTTACACTGTGCCGGATAACTGCAGTCACATGACCTAAATCATGCACATAACACCCAAAATGAAGTCTTCTCTGGGCAACAAAATAACAACAATTCCCATAAACGCAAAAAGACTTCATTCTTTCTTCAGAATCATCTGCTTCTCTTTTAGACCAAGTCCAAAGATATTGTCAATATAAATTAGGCCTAGTTTCTTTCAATAGTTTGTTCTTGAAACAAAATGACACTGAACTAGCAACGAAAGCAGGGAAAGCTGACAAGGATGCCAATTTTACATGGACTGGCAGGATACTGCACTTTTAACACGAGTATTTATCGACAACAAGGCAGCCAAGATGGCGAAAGGTCTTGATTGGGAGACAGTGAAAACTAAATTGGATGAAATAGCCTATCGCTTTCGAACAAGATACGATGTGGATAAAATTTATCCGGATAAAAACTTTTACACTGTACCACATAGCTATCCGAACTAATTTAATCCACTTTCCTAGGTGAACTAATTTTGTTCGGATAGCGTGGGTCTAGTGTAAACGCGACGCCTATCTGAACTAATTTTGATGCGGATAAAATTTATCCGGCACGGTGTAAACGATGTTATAAGCTCGCAGCACGCAGACTAAAACTACTGGTAAAAATCTTCGGCCCAGGCTTTAGATCGCACGATAATTCGCCTGACCTTATCCAAAGCGATCCAAAGTCTCTTTGACATGATCGTAATGACGAAATTTTAGCTTAACGATGTTGACGTGTACCAACATTCCCATTCATTCCATCACATTCTCACATCGCTGCACAGGCATTCTCTACGTCACCCTCATTTCACGCTTTCAATAATCCCTAATGTTCGCATAATCTTTGTCAAGCTATTCAATCTACCCACCATCTCGACTTGGCCTTCTTTTTTTTGTTTTTCTCGCATGATTCGTGTTAATTTTAGATATTCATTTCTGTATATAAGTTTGTTAATTTTTATGTAAGTTTAGTTCAGTCAGAATCAAGAAACGCAATAGGCACATCGTCTTTTCTCTGGCTCGGTGTTCTCCACACGTTAAATAGGACTGCACCGGGTTGGAAACCATACGTAAATCGATGGATGGATTTATTTAGCGCTTAAATTGATCGCCGTTACGTTGCATGCTAAACATTCAAAGTTTTCCGTTGACAATCTGATTGGTAAGATGCACGACAGGAGGACTGACATACAATGAGCCAAAATCACACTTAAAATGCCAGGAAAGACATTCTATAAACTATGATGATATGTTCATTTCAACCCTACTCTGCATGATTATACCGCATACAAATGATTATACCATGTTCATTTTGATACTGTATACATTATGATATTGTTCACTATGGTACTGTATACTGTGATACTGTTTATTATGATACTGTATTTATTACATTACGATACTCTGCACTATTATAATGTATACTTTGATATTGTGTACACTTAGTCCTACACTGTGTTCTATCATGAAGCTCTAATTTTATACTGAAATGATACCAAAAGGAGTAGTGAAATTTCTGCATATTTGCAATAAATAAAACAAGCGTTTGTGCTTTTGTGTTGGGCTCGTTCTTTTGTGGATTGACGGAAAGAGGATTTATGCTTGCAAAAGTTTGATATATCAGAGTATTTGATCATCACTTCTGTCAATCTTGACTTTTTAAACGTGATAATCATTGCAACTAGCATCTTCAGCGTAATTAAATTAGTTTGTGCACACAATGCTGAATAGTTAGTTGTGTGTATAAAAATACAATGAAAACAAATAGATAAAGGCGTTTCATGAAGAAAATAAATTACAAATTTCAAATAAATGGTATTGATTTAAATCTAAACAAATCAGTTTTCAATGCTGATGTCTGCAAATGCGATTGGATCAGTGCCAACGTCTCGATGGGAGACACGATTGTCTTGAACAATATCGTTTTTCATGGCTTGGTGGATTGTGTCAACTGCACTCCTGACAACAGTGTTAAACTGACTAGAAGATGGCGTGATCTGGTTAGCTGACTGCCTGTGCACGATAACTTTCCATACCAATGGGAAGAATATTCCAACCAACTGAACAATACCAAACAACACAAAAATAGATGCTACAAGAAATGTTACTGTGAAAGCATTTCTTTGCTTATATTCGAAGAGAAAGAGCAATGGAACAAAAATTGCCCACAAAAAACAGCTGACGTACAGTGTAATTCTGATGCTGAACGACTCATTGAAATTCGACGGAAAGTTTCGAATTTTATAGCCGTAATAGGTACAGGCCATCATAAATATAAGATTTGGAAGAAAAGTTAAGATAACAAATGTTGGTCTCAATTGGCAGGCAACAGTTACATAACTCGTGTCTGCGTTCATCTTAAATTTCACTGATGGCTTCTTCAGTATCAGCAAAATGACGTCATAAATAAGGAAAACCGACACCAACAATAGAGACAGTAACACTTGGGATTTAGGACTGACAAGTGCTGGCTTCTTAACAGATTTCTTAGACTGTGAAAATATGCGATACAGTCGCACGATTTTTAGCAGCAGCGGTGCGTAAAATGCATTTAAACTGGTGCTTGTTGCCAAGCTGAGAGCTCCGCAAACAAACCTAGTCGGTTGCAAGAGGAACAGAGAACTGGAAGCAAAGCATAGGTAGAGAGATATGACCATGATGAGACTGAGTTCTCTGCTGGCCGCTTTCACGACGCGGCTTTCTTTGTTCCGTATTCCAAAAGCAACAATAGCTGTGTTGAGAAAGATTCCAGCAAGAGTACCCGCCAGGAGAACCGCGGTATAAAGATTCTCACTATCCATGAAACGTCTTGGAAGCATTCTGCACATGCGTCTGTCATCTGTAGGTACATGATAGTCTGGGCATTTAATACACATATTGTTTTCTATAAAATAATTACGGTTGCACTTACGGCAGACGTAACAGCAAGCTGAACTATCGCAACCTCGGTCTTTAATCTCATCTTTGTCGCAGCTTTGGTAACAGGAAGATTTTGGGATTGTGTCGTTTTTCCATGCAATATCTTTGACTGCAAGCGCGAATAAACGCAATTCACGAGAATAGTTCCAATACCCTACTTCGTTGTATTGAGATCCATTAAAGTTTAAAATAACAAGGTTTCGTTCATAATAACCATTGTCATTGAATTTCACAGCATTACTCAGCGAACAATTAGGCGTTCTAAAGTTATTAAAAAGTTCACGCTGGATAGGTGTCGTATATATATAGGCCCTTCTAAGGCAATTGGTTTTTTGACAATTGAAAGAGTTCCAAAGAGCGCAAGCCAACGATTCAATTGCATTCAAAACTGGCTTCACCAAAAAATATTTCAAGTCGATATGGTCTGTAGTAAGGGTCTCATTTCCAGTGCACTCCTTTGAATCGGTCATGTTATCATTCCATACCCGGCTCGTTATGTACGAAGCAGATAAACTACAATTGAAAACATGTCTCCAGAATTCTTTAAACCATGTATAAGAATTTGTTGCAAGTTTCAAACTCATGAAATAACTGGCAAATTCCTCGTCATAAGTGTCTGCCTGTTGCAAAATGAGCAACCCTTTGGTTACGTCATTTAGGGAACGCAGCTCCCTGACTTTTGTTTGCAGCCTTGATTTGCTACCGGATATAAAAGTCAATCTTCTTGCGTATATCCCACTTTTCATAAGGCACATTGTCTCTCGATAACTCGTGAATAATATGACAACGTTTGCTCTTTTATCTTTTCTCAAATCATCGAGAATCTTTCTACATTCCGGCTCACTTGGGCTTTTAGATATCCAAACTTTTATGAACAGGCATACATCTCGCTGCAAAGACCAATCAACGAAGGTTTCTACCGTATTTTGTGTTTCTAGATCATTTGAACCTACGACAGAAATGTACGTTAAGTTCAGTTTAATTAGGATGTCAACGATTGCTTTTATCTCCATTTGCTCAGGTGGGACGGTGGCATAAAAATTTGCTCTCAGAATATCAATCATTTTTTTTATCGCAATTTTTCCTTGTTGGCCACCAGAATTGAGATCGTTACTGTCCATAAAAGCAGATTTAGATAAGTTGAAGTTTCCTTCTGTCCCCCAAGATTCAACATTCATAAATGGCAAAGGTGTCGCCACTAGCTGGTGTTGATACTGCAAATACCTTATGGCTTGCCAAGAGTAAAGACCGCTCACAAATGGATATCCAGGCAAGACCATAGGAGGAGACGAATCAATGCAATCAAAAATATAGTAACCGACTTCGATTCCGGTAAGGCGCTGTATTCTTTGGAGTGCAAAACGCATGGCCTCCAACATCACGATCCCTTCACGATAATTAGGGTATTCAGCATCAAGTGACCTGATGTTGAAAAATCCAGTGATGAGATAAGAATATGACCAACGGTTTCTTACGATATATAGGGTATTTCTATAGACTGCAATGAAAAAAAATTGATATTAGCGAACTGAAATTATTTCAAGTTTGGGAAAAAAATTCACAGACTTGAAACAGTTCAACCCCTTAGGAATTATGTTTGATAAATTTATTAACATGTAAAGAACTAAGTGCATCAAAAAAGTGTTTAAAGTGTAAGATAAATTGCAATTGCATTGTAAATTCGTACGCTTTGAAGGTCAATGAAGCAACAAAACCACAATTTTCCTTAGACTCTGCCGCACTCAACACCACAGCGGTCAGATAGCCTTTACGTCAATTTCCTCGCGACTACAGCAAAGTATGCTGAACTAACTAGTAAAAATTATTGCGTCAGAATGATATGTGGTGTAGCTGGTTCTTTTTCGAAGATTGCAAAGAAACATAATGAATCAATTTTAACTAGCATTCTAGATTAATAAGAAATAGAACGTACCATACTCTGAAGGAACAGTGGCTCCAATGAAAGGTACCAATTGATGGCAAAAAATGAAAGGTACCAAAAAGGAAAGCCTCATTCTTTAAATCTTTCAACCTAAAATTGAAGTAATTTTGTACTCAAGTTTTGTCAAATTTGATGAAATTGTATTAAAACTAAAAAATTTATAAAGATATGGACCAATTTTGATAAAAAGATGTGACGTCATTAAAGCAGAATGAGCGGCTATTAATGATGGTATAGCTCTACCTGATGAAAAACATGCAAAATTACCTTGTTTTTTTCCTGACCAGATCCTCACTTCCTACTCCTAACAACCTGAATGACAATGAATCAAGACACGACGAGTTTTATGCTCGATTTGAAAACAAGAAGGTACAGCTGCTGAAAACGGCTTTCGTAAAAATAAATTTACTTTTTGGATACGAGTATGTGAAACTAAATTTTAAATAACAGTTTTAAGCACAAACTGGCGAATTTTTCAAAACCTGGCTTTTGAAAATTTCACCTGGGTTGAATAAGGATTAGCATAATTGCAAAAAGTTCTAATTTTCCACCAACTGTTCTTGGTAGATATCAAAACATTTTTCAACAGCTGATAGTGGATAAAAGGCCACAAATAATCGTCGGCAATTTCAGATGGATCACCTGCAATAAATCTATTCATTTTCAAATCATTGATAAGCATATGTCGGCAAGTTTTCGTTGCGTTTAGTTAATTTAAATAAAACTATCGATAAGTATGTTTATTGCAAAATGTTACTTGAAAACGTTCTAAAATCATGGCTATTCTTTTAGAGGTCGCTAACAGGCTAAATTGTTTTATTTCGTCGTTAAATGACAAACAAGGTATATCTTGCTGCTGATCAGTGGCGGATTTAAGGGGGGGGGGGGTAACTAGGGGCATTTGCCCCTCCCTGGACGAGTTGAAGCAAGTATGGCGCCCCTTTTTGGAAATTGTGCGCCCCTTTTGAAGAATGAGAATCAGGTGAAAAAGTTTTTGGGACCAATAGGTTAATTTGCTTCAAGGATTACTTCAAAGTTATGTTGTTTATTCCGAAAATGGATTTGAAATTGTTGTATACAGCGTTCTCTCGTCATCAATTTTTGAAAATTTTTCAGCGCTCCCACTACCAACTGCCCCTCCTTCAAGTTTGCTCTGGATCCGCCCCTGTTGCTGATGGGTATTTTAAAGACCCGCCATATAGTTTGCTGAATTTTTTGTTCACAGAAAACCATATGAAAATATGGCAGTCATTGTTAGTAGCAGGCCAAATATAATATCAACATGAAATGCATTTGGTTTATTAAATACCTCCTGTTTTTTCAATGCAAACTCACTAGTAATAAATATTCGATACAAGTTTGGGGCCATGAAACAATGCCGGTGGATTTTCACATTTGTAGAGTTGTTTGTCAACACGGATACATGTTGTAACCGTAGTAACTCTTAGACCCTGTTTGCACGGGGAAAATGGGATTGATCCAGTCCCACACGAGATCGATCCCAAAACCTCACAATTATTCACAGGGGACCGATCCTAAGTAATATTGTGTTTACATGGGCTCGATCCCAAATATCAACCTACTGCTTTCTGGGTTCATTTTAAAGGAATACTCATGCGTAAATTGCTTATGCTATCAACTTGTAGAAAGATTGAGAAGAAAACGGCTTCGAATTTGAAACTTACCAACAAAGTGTTTATTTGAAGCTATGAAGAGACAGCCCTAATCCTGAAGATCACACTAGAGTACAAAGCAAATCATTTTCTTTGGAGCCTGTTGTTTGAGCCTGTTCGCTAAATTTATCGAAATACTCATGAAAAATGAAAACTTTCAACATCTTGTTTTTTTCTCATCTTGTGGTCGAACAAGGCGCGCAAAATCTGACAAAGAAAAGGTCGAAGCACAACGCTAAATCAACTCAAATTATATAGTACATCAGCCTCGCCTTCTGTCCGTGCCAATTTCAGGCCAATTTGGGATTGGTCCCACCTTTTTCAGGTCCCACCGTTTACACGAGACGGGATCCCAAGTTGGGATGCTCTCCAAAGCGAATCCAAATTAGTACAGATAGCCCAAGGTGGGATGCTCTCCAAAGCGAATCAAAATTAGTACAGATAGCATATCGATTCCGAGCATTCCCATGTAAACGAAAGGCTGATCCGTATCAGTCTGGGGTCGAGCCTGGCATTGATCAGATTCACTTAACAGGCGCCAGCTCAAATGCGACCACCTGACTAGTCCAACTAATGCGACCACCTGATTAAGTTGGATATTATTTCGTATTGCTCGTATGGTCACTTTGGCACTTTGAAACATTTTGATGGTAAATGGTTGTCACGTAACCGATGATGCATTTAATCGCCTGTAAGTGAGAACATAATGTCACAAAATTTGGATTTCAATCACACTACGCAAAGGAACGTGAAAAATGGAGCAAAACGTTTCACAACACCATTTAAATTTAAAAATTAGCTTCAAAACTACGCAAACTCTCTATCTATTTTCTCAGCCCTTGGACTCTAACAAAGAAGAAGAAGAAAAGGCACATTTGAAACTAAACTTTCTTGCCAAAGAGAAAAGCAGCATCCGCGGACGTGTGCTTCTTCACGAGTAGCTAACAGCATAAAGTCGTATAAAAATGTTTCAAAAAGCAAAAACAACCAAAAACTAGAAAGTACCAGGGCGCAGCTTTGGCTTACTTGCTACCTGACGCCACTTTCAGAACAGAAAAAAGAAATTGTTATTGTCACTGTCACTGGCGGACTGATATTTTCACGAAAAGTAAAAAGTTATCGAAACATCCGAATGGTGACAAAAAGAAACATACATTAGTATAACAGAGTTCTTGGACTATAAATATTCTCATTGTCTGACATTTGCACTATCTACAATTTTGTTTACAACATGTGCAATATACATTATAAAGCATATAATTCAGTATTAAAGTTTAGAGTTGAAGAAAAAAATAGATGGCGCATTGAAAAGCAGAAATAAGCAATGATAGTTTGCAGCATGCATTTCGAGTTAAACCTCTAAGCTCCTTTCTGCTATTCAAAGTTGAGAAGGACGGAGGGGGTCAAATCGAAATGAAAGGGGGTGTAGGTGTTAAGATATCAGAATTAAAAGGGAGAAGGTGCGATATCTTAACACTAACTGTACAAGTTGTATTGTATTCTAGGATGATATTTTGCAATTTTAATAAATAATATGTTAATTTTAAACCTTGTTAATGAGTGGGAGTGAAAAGAACAAGATCAAAAGCATAAAATTTTAAAATAAACGTGCTATATGCCTTTATTTGGTTTGGACGTATCTGTTGTGCTATGTAGTCAAGGTTTTACGTAACCATGCAATAATCAGTGCAAACAGAGAATAAGATTTCGAATGTTATCTGTTTGTTCTGAAAGCCACACGCCGAAATATAAAATAGGCTAATTCAACTTTAACATACAATCAATAGCGAACAGAAAATGTATGTTTACCATAACTTTGCAATTGCTTTGAGGCAATTAGTGAACGAATTCACTCTATGGTGCAGTGTTTTACAAGGTTTTTCGTAAGAACAATAAATAATACAGCTAAAAGCCGACTAAATGTACACAGCTGCTGGAGAAATAAGGAGTCTGCCTCCATGGGAAACAGAAGTGAAAGCCTAAAACCACTTTGATTGCAAAAACACGAATATCTTAGCTCTATTAGTAAAACCCTAAACTGAAATTTCAATGTACAGCCAAGTTACATCTGAGTAACAAAATAGGATCACCTCAACGCATATTCGATTTAAGTGCGCAAAAAGAGAAATTAACGTCGAACAAAGATCGGCTTTCGTTAAGATACTCTTCATAAAAACTTTGGAAAGGCGTTGCACTAACAAGACTTAATTGCTGTTTCGTTGCATAGTTCTTTTTAGACCTATTTATCGTTTATCTGAAATCACTGAATAGAATAAGCATACCATTGACTCAAATGACAGCGGGAGTTGAATAATTGCACCACAATGCAAAATAAACCAAAACAAATTAATACACATAAACCTTTACGGTTAAGAACAATAGGACATATGTTGCTGGAAATGATTTTCAGCAAAAACCATCTTTTAAAAATTATATGTTGGCAAAATTCACGACGATATGTTCTCTCTTGCGTTTCCGGAATCAGCTTGTTAGCAAAAACCCCGGAATGTTCTTGAAATAAATGACCTCAACTAGAAACTGTTTAACCTATTTCTAGGTATAATCGCTTTGGAGTAAATAAGCCTTTTTCTGGCGTCTTCTTCCAGAAGAAAACTCGGAAAAACTTCAATAGGGTCGGTTCCAACGTCCTTCATCCTTCGAACGGAATGGCTAGGGGACTTGTCAGGAGCGCAAATATTAGTGAAGGTACTGCCAGCAAAACTGCTCTCATTCCCGCTGTGAAAAAATTGACCAGTCTGCGGTGTAGAGTCTTTATGAACATACAATTTCCACAACGTAGTTCCGAAAATACCAGCCAGCATAACTAACCCAAGAATTATCATAAAATACGAGGTGAGAAAAGCTGTAACAAATGCATTGTCTCTTTTCAAGTCGAAGAGAAACAGCAATGGAATAAACATTGACCAGAGGAAACAGCTGATATACATTGTGATGGTAATGCTGAATGCCTCGTTGAAATTTGAAGGGAAATTGCGAGTCTTATATCCAAAAAAAGTACATGCACCCATCACCACAACGCATGGAAGAAGATTCAGAGCCGCGTTGGCTGGGTCAGATCTGCAAAGAACACTAAGCTGATTCCCCTTTGAACTAACTTCCAAACGAACCTTTGGCCTATCTCCAGCTACCCAAACGATGCCAAGCAATAACTGTATGCATATTATGAAAATGCATATCAAAAGCTGCGATTTTGTACTAACAAAACTAGGCTTTAAAACAAGAGATTTAGAAGCCTTGAAAATGCGGTAGATACGGCTTGTTTTCAAAAGCAGAGGAATGTAGCTAGCATTGAGGCTCAGACTCATGATGAATCGCTGAATTCCACACACAATAACAGATGGTCTTAGGACAAAGACAAACGGACAAACGAAGCAGAGGTACAGAGCTACAAGTATAAACAGGCTAAGCTCTACTCCAGTTGCCTTGATTACTTTCCGATCTCTGAACCAAACAAACGTACCAATCGTCACCGTGTTTAAAACAATACCCATAGTGCTTCCTATTATAAGTATTAATCGGTAACCATACTGAGAGTCGACGAAAATTGACGGCAATTTGTCACAACTGGTTTTCGACCAGTTGGGAACTTCATATAAAGGGCATGTAACACACGTGTCATTAGAGACAATGTCATTTTTGCCGCATTTCGAGCAAGTGAAGCAACAGATATTTCCTGCTGAGCCACGGTCCTTAACAAAACCATTAGGACAGGGCTTGTAGCAAGTTGACAAAGGCATAACATCATTGCTCCATACCACATCCTCTCTGGATAGATTCAACGAACTTTTTCGACTGGTTACATCATAGGTCCATTTACCAACTCTTTGTACATCAAGCCGTTAAAGTTCAAAATTAGGAAATCTTTGTAGTTAAAGCCTTGTTCATTCACTGCAATCGAATCAGATATTTTGCATTTCCTTTTTCCAAAGAATTTGACAGAGTTTTTCATAATAGTTTCTCTACAAGTTCTGCTTGTAAATGAGCAGTTAGCATGTGCCTCGCTTTCTTTCAAAGCACATCCAAATGAATCCACAGCATTCAAAATTGGCTTGACTAATGAATACTTTAAATCTACATCCACCTCATGAAGATCTTCGATGCCAGTACAACGAGGTCTCTTGTCACTTAAACTGCTACTAAGTGACTTATATCTATACGGAATGCTACAATTGAAAAGCATGCTCCAGAATTCTCCAAACCAACGATACTTGTTGGTGCTGAACTTTAAATTCATAAAATATTGCTCAAAGCCTTTATCGTAGGTATCTGCATGTTGCAAATGAAGCAAGCCTTTCACTGATTCTTTCTTAACTCTCAAATCGTGCAAATTTGCGCGGAAGCCAGTGCCAGCAATAAAAGTCAAATTTCCATCATTATTTTTAACCGCATTTAGAACTCCCACGCTTCATGCAACATTGTGACAAGCACCACAATTTTGGCTGAGTCTCCCCTTGTTAACTTGATTGCAGCATCAACGTATTCGTTTCTACTCGGCTTGTCTGAAATCCAGATGGTCTGTGAAATACAGATTCCTCTTTGGTACGCAAGAGCTGCAAAGTTCTCCACTGTTTGCTGTGTGCGCAAATCATTGGAACTGACAACGGAAATGTAGGTCCAATTCAGTCTTTCTAAAATATCAACAATAGCCTCGTTCTCCAAGGCATCAGATGGGACAGTACGAAACACATTACGATGTATCTCATCCATTTTGAATTTCCTTGACACTTCTGGCTTCATGACATGATCAAATGCTTCACTAGACGCCAGCACATTCGCCATCGGCGCAGTTGCCATCGTATTCGTAATCAAATAGTATGTCGTTTGCCATGACGTCAGTCCGTTTAAAACCAAGATGTTTCGATAGGTTGAAAATGGTGCACGGGATTCTCTGCAATCAGTTATTTGAAAAGACAGTGGCAGCTTAAGGAAGCCAAGCATGTTTACCCGATTAATTGCATATCGTGTGGCTTCTACAAGGATAACACCATCTCCAACATCCAGATGTTTTGATCTCCAACGAAAGTCTTTTTCGAGTGACTGAACATTAAGCAAAGCAAGCAGATTGTAATGCCTGTAGTCACCGCCTAAAATTGTCTGCCATGCAGATGGATATTGTCCCATGTCTAGAAACATAAAAACAGAGCGTTTAAGAGATAGAGAATGAGGCATGCTTTATTTTATTTTTACAAGGAAATAAAATTCATTTGTTAGAAGCGATGAATATGATATTTTAAAAAATTTAACATTTATGAACGTTAATGAACGGAAACTACCAAAAAATAAACTCAAAGATACTTATTATTACTTATAAGAACAATAACGGCACCCTTGCAAGTCATATTGCGAGTCAGTCACTATAAGCAATATAGGACAGTAGTAAACAACAATTGGTGAATGCAACCTGAATCAACAGTGGTTATTCAAGCAAATATATCTTATCGAAGGAACGTCGTCAAATTGCCTTATTCATTTTACTTTCACTGTTTTGACAACATACTTTGAGAGCAAAGGTTAGTTTCACGTGGCATTCTTATAAGAGGTAGGCCGGTATAGAAATGTACTGAATAGCTGAAGCTGAAGCTGATGTGTAAAGATGACACAATTATCAAAGTTTTAACAAACAAAAAACAACACACTAATATTATAGTTCTACGTCCCTAAATAAAATAATCCTTCGTTCAAAACTTTTAATATATTGCTTTCCAAAACTGCAGCTGCAAGATAAATCATTCCTTGATAATCTTTTTTGAATTCGCTAGACGAAAGGATATTACAAAATTAAAAATAAAATTGTTTTCGCTTCTGGCAGCGGTAAATTTTTCTGAAAATATCTTCTAGCATGCAGTCAAATGCGCTCCTGTCTCAAAACAAAATCAAACCAATGGTCAGAGTGATTCCGTTTGGACTCAAGATTTAATAACTCAACTATCAAAAAAAGTCTTTCGTGCTGTGTGTGTTAGATTATTGAGAAGTGATACACTTTGTATCAGTCTCGTTAGAAAAAGTTGCCACTTGCAATAAAGATCAGTGACGAAAGTTGCCGAGCACACAGTCTTATACTGTAAAATGTGATTTATGTTGAGTTTGAAGCTAAAAATTAGATTTTTGGCTGCAATGAAAAAATCTCTTCTCTATGTACACACAGCTTTATATTCGTCTTGCTCCATTGTCTTATTCGTTGTGCAGCATTACTGCAGTTACTAAAGTCTTCAATTTGCAGCTGTACATTGAATCTTATAACAAGATGAAACTCTTAGAAATATCACAATATACTGCTCTCCAGACAAGCGATATCTTCTTGATACTTATGGAAAAAGTATTGAGTTACAAAATCAATTTTCTTGTTCAGCATCTATTTATTAACCAGAATAACAGTGCTAGCTCTGACGATTTAATAACTAAGACAAAAGTATTAGCCAGCATTAGCGTTTGAAACAATACAAAATTTAATGAATAAAGATCTTAATCTACGCTACAGCTTCAATTCTTAAAGAACAGGCAAAAGCTGAAAAAACTGTAAGATGAAATTTACCCTGTTCATGCTTTTTGGACATAAAAAGACAATACCACGATTACACCTCATATAACGAACACTCGAATACAGCTGTTAAGTCAAAGAGTTTGTTCATGAAATGTAGACAAAAGATACATACTAGTGTCCCATACCACTGAAAAACCGTGAATTTGAATTATAGCAGTAAATGTGAAGGACCAAAATACTTGGGTCACCATCCTAAAGGATAAGAAAAAAGGTTTTTACCATACTAAAATACACACATATCATAATTCTTGGCTGAATTACACAGGAGACCAGTATGATCAAAATAAAAAGTTTTAATGAGAAATAATATAATCTATGACTAACAAGATAAGATTTTTTAAAAAGTAAATAAATTAGAATTTGCATTAATAATTGTCAAGAGAATAGCTTTAAAAATCGATCTCAACCGTAAAAAAATATGAAGCTAACCTGATTGGTAATGTCCAAAATTCATCTGACGTAACCCAGTCGTCATTTAGCATTAATATGAATAGCGACAGGTGTGGATCATCCGCTGACAGTTAACAAACGTATACATGGCGAGTGTCTGATTGCATTTCTGGTGGTCCGTTTAAGTTAATAGAAAAAGCTTTAGGTAAGCTGAGAAAACAACCAATTTCAAGCAGCATGTCAACTGTATTGCAAAGAGATACTATTCACCGTTGTCCAAGCCACATATGAAGATAAAACATGTATATTGACCAGAATGCTTTGACGCAGCAGTGAATGTAAACAGCACGGGTCAAAATCGAGGAAAAAATCTCATTTCTTCAAACAATGAGACACATGTCAATTTGATTTAACTTGCGTCTAGGAAGCAAATGTTCTTATCGATAAGCACCAACGTTGAACAACCTTTTAAGGTATCTAAGAAAATATTTGCGAACAGATTAAGTTTTCAGCAAAGCAAATATCGCATAAGCATTTCATGTCCGTTTCTTGATAAATCTCCTGCGCAGTATCACTCTTGGCTAGCAATGAACTGTGTTCTGCCAAGAGATCAGTCGTGTGCGCTGTAAAGACTCTTGCAAGCAAGATAACAGTTAGATAGAATATTACTGAGGAGAAAGTTACCGAATATTGCAGCAATATTGTGTCATTCAAAACCGAAAATTTTAAATATATACGCTTTCTCATTCGACATTCTTTCTAACTTAGAACACAAAATACGCGTAGGAAGTATGATGTTACTGGTGGCAACTAAACCATAAAGTAATCAGAAAGCCAGCTGAGTAAATTATATCTTAGATTCTGATTTGAGATATTCAAAACAAAAAACAATCTAAATCCAACATTTATGAAAAACACTTTTACTGAGAGAGATATTCTATACAATCTAAGGGGTGAAAATCATTTGCAGTTGCCAAAAGTGAAGACAACATGTGCCGACAGACAACATACGGAATAGAGAATATTCAGTACAGAGGTCACCATTTGTGGTCCTCATTACCACGGGAAATTAAAGATTCCAACACACTAGTTGAGTTCAAACGAAAAATAAAATTATGGCATGGAAAAACTTGCATCTACAGATTGTGCGAAATTTTCATTAATGATCTAGAGATTTTTGTAGGTTTTGGTATGGACATTGTAAAGTAGGTTTTAAAATATTTTGTTGGCGTTAATTAGCTTATTAGCTATATTTATTTGTTGTTCTTTCTTGCCAACGTAAAAGAAATTGTTAATAATAATAATAACAATAATTAATTCTAAACCAGTTGTCATTTCATTTTGAAAAACATAACACTTACAAACCTCACTATTACAAGGTAGTTTGTATGTGGCACATTTACATTGAAAATAACTATTACAAGTGCAAAGAAAAAAAGCGGTTGTACACAGCATAAATATAAGCATGATGATGTAATGATGGTGACGATG